TATAAAGATTTACTCTGTTATCTGCCGCTGTCAGAAGATCCTTTCCCTTTGAACATTTTACTATAAAGATTTACTCTGTTATCTGCCGCTGTCAGAAGATCCTTTCCCTTTGAACATTTTACTATAAAGATTTACTCTGTTATCTGCCGCTGTTGGAAGATCCTTTGCTTTTGAACATTTTACTATAAAGATTTACTCTGTTATCTGCCGCTGTCAGAAGATCCTTTGCCTTTGAACATTTTACTGAAGATTTTCTTTGTTATCTGCCGCTGTTGGAAGATCCTTTGCCTTTGAACATTTTATTTTACTCTGTTATCTGCCGCTTTCAGAAGATCCTTTTCATTTGAACACTTTACTATAAAGATTTACTCTGTTATCTGCCGCTGTTGGAAGATGTTTTGCCTTTGAACAATTTACTATAAAGATTTACTCTGTTATCTGCCGCTGTTGGAAGATCCTTTGCCTTTGAACATTTTACTATAAAGATTTACTCTGTTATCTGCCGCTGTCAGAAGATCCTTTCCCTTTGAACATTTTACTATAAAGATTTACTCTGTTATCTGCCGCTGTTGGAAGATCCATTGCCTTTGAACATTTTACTATAAAGATTTACTCTGTTATCTGCCGCTGTTGGAAGATCCATTGCCTTTGAACATTTTACTATAAAGATTTACTCTGTTATCTGCCGCTGTTGGAAGATCCATTGCCTTTGAACATTTTACTATAAAGATTTACTCTGTTATCTGCCGCTGTTGGAAGATCCATTGCCTTTGAAAATTTACTATAAAGATTTACTCTGTTATCTGCCGCTGTCAGAAGATCCATTGCCTTTGAACATTTTACTATAAAGATTTACTCTGTTATCTGCCGCTGTTGGAAGATCCTTTGCCTTTGAACATTTTACTGAAGATTTACTCTGTTATCTGCCGCTGTTGGAAGATCCTTTGCCTTTGAACATTTTACTATAAAGATTTACTTTGTTATCTGCCGCTGTTGGAAGATGTTTTGCCTTTGAACAATTTACTATAAAGATTTACTTTGTTATCTGCCGCTGTCAGAAGATCCATTGCCTTTGAACATTTTACTATAAACATTTACTCTGTTATCTGCCGCTGTTGGAAGATCCTTTGCCTTTGAACATTTTACTATAAACATTTACTCTGTTATCTGCCGCTGTTGGAAGATGTTTTGCCTTTGAACAATTTACTATAAAGATTTACTCTGTTATCTGCCGCTGTTGGAAGATCCTTTGCCTTTGAACATTTTACTATAAAGATTTACTTTGTTATCTGCCGCTGTCAGAAGATCCTTTGCCTTTGAACATTTTACTATAAAAATTTACTCTGTTATCTGCCGCTGTTGGAAGATCCTTTGCCTTTGAACATTTTACTATAAAGATTTACTCTGTTATCTGCCGCTGTCAGAAGATCCATTTTCTTTGAACATTTTACTATAAAGATTTACTCTGTTATTTGCCGCTGTTGGAAGATCCTTTCCCTTTGAACAATATACTATAAAGATTTACTCTGTTACCTGCCACTGGTGGAAGATCCTTTACCTTTGAACATTTTCCTAAAGATTTACTTTGTTATCAGGACGTTTTCCGACGAGTTGATATAGCCGGAAAAGTCGGCTTGTGATATTTTTTTTTCCGGCTGGTCTATTTATGGCTTTGAAATCAGGTATATTCAGTATTTTATGCTTGTTTTAATGGTGTGTTAATGTAGTGAATTTTTGATGTATTGTTGCTTTTTTGTTTCAAATAACAGAGGTTTTTTCTTCTTTTTTTCGTGTCTTTTTTGCATACTATTGGCGCAAAACGCAGGAAATCGCATATGTGGGATCCTAGATTTTCCCGGACCCGCGTATATTTATGCGAGACGTACGATTGTGCACTGGTCACGAAATTACCTAGATCCGCCCCTGCTTTAACCTCCTGTGTTTTGCCTTCATGTAAGTCAATGATTTAACTGTTACTTGTTGTTTTTTATAGGCGATGAAGAAAGTGAAAATGAGGAAAAGGGTGTATTGAAAATAATGATTTGCTGGTAGAAGAGCCTGCCATTGTGTCTTCAGACGATAACAATTCATTTCAAGGTTTGCCTTTTTTCGTAAAGTTAATATAATCGTTGGCGGTTGGTTTTATTTAATCAATAATAAACCTACTAATAAGTAGCTAATGAGCTTTAACGGTCAAACAATGGGTGAATGTCACTTCATGAGTCTAAACATAGTCATAGACAAGTAACATTAAATCACCGTTTTGCAGAGAAGAATCGGAGAAATTCAACGTTTGGATTGCCTTGTTGTTAAACTTGGAAAACTCATACGGTACTGAGCTCAATTGTGAAAGTATTTCAGAGAGCATTGGAGCCGAATGAACTAAAAGAAGTGTTTGTCTGATATCTACGTTGGATGTGGTTGGCTCAGATAAATTTTGGTGCTTGGACGTTGTGACAATCATATGATGACAATAGCCCTTTTGGGGGGTAGCGGGGGGTAGTCGTATGCCATTTGTCACTGCTGATGGACGCCGCTGTTAATATGTGTTTGCACATGTTTGCAATGCAATGCTTGATTTCAAACACGTGCAAACCTGGCAGCATGTGGGAAAACTTTACTCCTTTTACTGGATGATATTTCAACGTATTAAGTATCAAAAAAGAGCAGATATTTGGTCAATTTATGTTGATGTTTTGGCGAAGAACGAGGACTTGGCCGCTTCGAGGTAGGTTGGGCAGCTCATGTTATGTTTTAACACATTCTTTTGGCTACAGGGGCCGGTTGTATCAAGCCCGTTTTTATAGCTCTCAACGGTGGAAAAGTCAAAATTGAATAACTCTCTCGAATAAGTCAATTTAAATATTATGCACTGAATATGTATTTGTAAACAGTGTCTTTGTATTAAGGTTAAAAACATTTAGTTTGCTTGTTGGAGAGAACAATGGACTTGCTTTCTATTTTGAACTGTATTAAGCTATTAAACGGGCTTGAATGCTTGATATATTAAGAACTTACTGACTGAGAGTGAGGTCTGTACGGTAAAATATCAAACCGAGGTCGTGCCGTATTGACCGAGCGATAGCGAGGTCAATACACCAAGACCGAGGTTTGATATTTTACCGTACAGACCGAACAGTCGAAGTCAGTAAGTTTTTTATTATATGGCATAATTCATGCAGACATTGTAATGATTAATTCTTTATGAGTAATTTTAATGATAAATATCTCATCTGGGCACACAACACCAAAACATCGAAAGTGAAAAAAAACACTCTATTTTGTAAAATATAAATTTATTATTTTTATTTCAAATTCATTATTTTACGTTTAAGAATTTAATCTGTTTTTCAGTTTAAATTTAGTCAGTTTTTGCCGTGAGTTTTGCCTTGTTTTCACAGGGCAATAAGAATTGCGTATTGCCCGTGGGCAATACGGGGAAATCCAGACCTGTCAGCAGCCAATCAAATTGCAGAATTAACCAAAACAAACGCTTGCCATATAATAAAATATATTATTAAACCTGTCCCTGAACTTTCTTTGCCAACTGTATCCGCGTTTTTTACATTTGCGTTCAGTTTTACACTCCTACTTTTTGCCATTTCAGGCGTCTACTCGTCGTCAATTTGCCTTCGAAGAAGATGAAATTCATCTTCAAAAAAGATTTCGACTTTGAAAAAACATGATGATGATAGTATGGTTGAAAACGTCAAGAAAATGACAGAAGATTTTGTGCGAAACAAGGCTGGCTAAAGGTTTGATCACATTACAACTTTTTCTACCTTATTAAACTTTGACATAATATAACAACTAGATGGATATAGAAAGGAATTTTTGAGTTTTGACAGTTTTTTTGCACATTGAAAGATATTTGAATTTGGAACACCCTGTTTCATGAAGTCAAAAGAATCGAGAGTTGGCTTAACCGAAGCAGCCTGTTTGTAAAAAACCATGAGATTGGGAAGTTGTGAGACAAAACTGTCAAAACAAAACAAAAGGATGTATTTAAAAGATAAAGATATCATTGATGCTCTTTAAGGTATGACAAAGTGTAAATATTTGTTGTTATGCTGGCATATATTCCTCTTTCAATTCCTATTTCTATACAATATGATTTTGAAAATTTGGCCGAATTTACTTTCACAATCAGTTTTACATTTGAGCATTTTCAAAAAAGTTTGATTTTTGAGCATTTTGGATTAAAAGCAACTGAATTATTCTCATGTCCATCTGGTTGCATTGCTGGCCGGTTATTATTATATAATGACTTGATTATTGTTATTTTTGATATCACCCATTTTTTATCATGATCGATTTTCAAATGGTCCTTAGTATAATCCTTGCTTTTAGATTATTGATCATTGTTTAGCAAAATTTGTAGTACTTTTTATTAAAAAAGGCATTTTGCACTAGCTCTTTATAGTATCAAAACCTAGACCTCGTGATATTCACATTTTTCGTAGGTATATATAATATATATACAATAATTTCTTCATGTGTCACAAATGTGATATTGATTTTTGACAATTTAATGAGATAAGTGTTGAGATGAATGTTTAACTCATAATAGGTTTATCACAAATTTCCCAACTCAACATAATACATGTGCTCATGTCAACTACAGTGTGGTTTTAAGTATTTTCGGTAAAATGTTTATGTGACCATAGCATGTGATTATACATGACAGATTTACCTTCTTAAACAAATAAGTATTAATGTTTATCAATGTGTTCTGCGTAGAGTAGAGTCTTAATTAAGGAATGTTTTAATCCCTGCTGAGACAGAAGCATTGTAATCAATAAGGGTTAGAGTGAATTTCTAAGTATTGCTGTCTGTAACCATGCAAATGAATTGTCATTTAACCTGCAAACATGAATAAGAAAAACACATAAGAATAACATTGAAATATTGTAGGATATTCCAAAAATATGGAGACAATTAAAACAAAATATTAAAGTACATTTATACTGCTAGTATGTAATAACCACTATAGCAGGTATATGCTCTAATTGAGTACTTACACCATCGTACGTTGTAAATTGTGATATGAATCAGCCACACACCAGATCAAATATTGTGATCGTTCCTGCATGTTCGTAGGATAAACTATATGATGCCACAATTACAATAAAAAGCAATTTACAAGTCTGATTAAGCGCTGTATTAGCATTGTTCAATCGCTGTATCAGTGCTACATCACCTTTACTTCTAGTGTATATATTTTCCTCTGATTTTTTAGTGGGGTTAGAATTAGGTTATAATTGTTAATCGCTATGGCCTAAAATTCTTAGAATACAAATAACATTAAAAATTATCTTGGTATATTTCAAAAACATGGAAACAATTAAAACAAAGGACTTAAAACAGAGGGAATTAGGCTAGGGAGAGTTGCACCTTCTTCGATGGTACCTACTAGATTTCATAATTGAAGAATGTTGTTCAATTACAATGCCTATATATAGCTACCTTCAATGTCCACAACTTTGACACAACTCTTTGACACAACTTATTCACTGCCACCCCTTACGCTTGCCTTCCATGTTCAGAATGCAGCAGTGAAAAATCTCCCAGTTAGTATTGGAGATTTAGTATTCTAATAAGTATAACAGAAAAAATATATAAAAGATTTTGTCCCACCCACTTCTAAAAATAAATTAATTTTATAAATTTTACTGTAATTTTGCTATAAATTTTACTTCACAGCCATTGGTTTATTAGGAATAATAAAAATAGTTGGGGTTTTTTTAAGAAATGTCCAAGTTTAGGAAATCATTGCGCATTAAAACGTTTGACACAGCTTTTCCACTGCCTTCTGTGTTCAGAAAAAATATTGTAGTATATTTCAAGAACATGGAATCAATCAAAACAAAATATTAAAGTACATCATTACTACTAGAATGGAATTGTTCATTGTTAAGTGTTTCCATTTATTAACTCACAGTGAGGATTAATTAACATACAAAAACTGATTTAACAGAACGTTAACTCACAGGATAAACATACAAAACTGATTGAATTAACAGAAAGATAACTCACATGATATACATACAAAACTGATTGATGAAAATGAAAACAGCTAATGTAAATATAAAAGGTAAAATAAAAAGACCATATTGAAGGGTGCAGGGAATTAGGCTAGAGAGAGTTAAGCTTTTCGGATGGTATGAGTTTAATTATAATGTTCAATTACAATACCTATACCTTTAATTTCTGGTTCACATGGCTTTTCCACTGCGACTCCTTGCGCTTGCCTCCCCGTCATACGAGATCTCATACTTATCTAATAAGAATAACAGTAAAAATTATCATAGTATATTTCAAAAACATGGAGACAATTAAAACAAAATATTGAAGTACATCATTACTGCTAGAATATGGGATAACTACAACAGGAAATATGACTGTGATATACATGTGTACCTTTACCCGTAACGTTGCACCGTAAAACCGGGTGTGTCCGTGTCCCAGAGACCATTAGCAAACTAGCACTTGGGTACTTCAGGCTTGCACCATCGTCGTAATATCAAGCAGTCCCACACCAGTGAAGTTTTGGAATATATATTTCCTTCTATGTACAGCTTTGTATACAGGTATATCTCTTGTTAGTCTTGTATATTTCTCTCTTTTTTGTATGTAATTGCGCGAGCGTTTGTATAGTGCTCGCCCTCCTTAGATCTGACGTAAATGGGGCGCAAACTATGGTAATACAATCCGATCCTCCGATAACTAAGATACTGCTATTACCATAGAAGGCAATTCATTAGCTCGAGTTAGCGCGGTGTTAGCACTGTTCAAGCGCTGTTTTAGCGCTGCGTTACTTGTACATCTAGCGCAATAGTTGTTCTTCTGACTTCCGTTTAAGCTGTGTTCTAACGCTGCCAGAAGTACGTCATCAATGCAAACCGCTACGTCGTATAACTGCTGAGATTATGCACTATACTTATACATACATACATATGCATATTCAAATCTACGCTACACCTTAATCAAATGCTAGTTGTTAACTTTTCATGTCTACAGGCCCGGCCCTTTCAAGAAAAGTTATATTTATTACTTCGCCTTCTGCAAAAAATGCTTGATACAAATTTTATAATGGCTATCATAAGGCTAGATTGTTATAAGCAAACAGAAAACCAAATTTGGGGTTTTTCTTGATATTCCTGAATTATTTTGAAAACATTTTGTTTTTGGCTTTTTCACTGCCACCCCTTGCGTTTCCCTTTTGTGTCCAGGAGGCGATTGTTGAAAACCTCCCCGTCATACGCGATCTCGTACTTCTCTAATAAGAATAACAGTAAAAATCATTAAATTATCATAGTATATTTCAAAAACAGGAGACAATTAAAAGAAAATATTAAAGTATATCATTACTGCTAGAATGTAATAACCACTATAGCAGGTATATTGACTGTGGTTTACCTTTATCAAATGCTTCTTTTAGTTTATTTCTTTTCCTTTTCCCCAGCCGCTAAGGAATAAATTAAGAGATGTAATTTAGTTAAACTAACTGACATGCACAGCTGGGAGTATTCATAAGAAACCTGTGTGCATCCGGAGGGTGAGACCCAAGGCCAATAAATGTATTATGGAATATTCAAAATATCAAGTCTATATATATCCAAGGATGCAGCCATGCAGGGAATTAGAGTACTAAGGGTAAGGGAGCTAAGTTGAGCTCTCTCTTGTAATTGAAGAATGTTGTTTAATTACAATATTAAATGTCCACACCTTTAATTTTTGTTTAACACGGCTTTTGCTTTATTAAGTTGTTCTGGTTGCTAAGGAATTAAGAAATGTATTGAGTTAAATTGTATTATGGAATATTTAAAATATCAAGTCTATATATATCCAAGGCTGCAGGGAATTAGGGTACTAAGGGTAAATAAGGGAGCTAGCTGAGTTGAGCTTTCTCTTATAATTGAAGAATGTTGTTTAATTACAATATTAAATGTCCATACCTTCAATTTGCGTTTAACACGGCTTTTCCACTGCCACCCCTGGTGTTTGCCTCTTGTGTCCAGGATGCGACAGTTGAAAACCTCCCCATCATACGCGATCTTGTACTTCTCTAATAAGAATAACAGTAAAAATTATACATGGTATATTTCAAAAACAGCTGCTAGAATGTAATAACCACTGTAGCAGGTATATTGACTGTGGTTTACGTTTACCGAACACTTCTTTTAGTTTATTTATCTCCGCCCCCTTCAAGGTGACAAACATTTGGTACTTTGGCATTCTGCAAAAAATGGTTGACACAAATTGAAATGGCCATCATTATAAGCTATAAAATGTTAAGCAAAATGATCTTAATATTCCACCAAGGCCAGTATTTTTTCATTTCATGGCAGAATTATTTTGTATTTTTTAACAATTGTGGTAATTAACCTTTTTGAGATCTTTCCCGTTTTCCCGAATGATCTCTGATCTATTATAGTTTATTTAACTGTACTATATAATATAGGGAGCCGCCTTATGAGAACTTGTGAATGTGCCATGCGCGTGCGTATAGCGTGCAATTCACGTGAAAAGTTAATATAAACTTTTAAGAGAAAAATGGAAGATGGAAGACTGGAAGTATTCATATATAGGCAACCTGTGTGCATCCGAAGGGTGAGATCCAAGGCCAATAAATGTATTATGGAATATTCAAAATATCAAGTCTATATATATCCAAGGCTGCAAGGAATTAGGGTATTAAGGGTAAATAAGGGAGCTAGCTGAGTTGAGCTTTCTCTTATAATTGAAGCATGTTGTTTAATTACAATATTAAATGTCCCTACCTTCAATTTGCGTTTAACGCGACTTTTCCACTGCCACCCCTTGTGTTTGCCTCTTGTGTCCAGGAGGGGACAGCGGAAAACCTCCCCGTCATACGAGATCTCGTACTTCTCTAATAAGAATAACAGTAAAAATTATTAAATTATCATAGTATATTCCAAAACCAGGAGACAATTAAAACAAAATATTAAAGTATATCATTACTGCTAGAATGTAATAACCACTATAGCAGGTATATTGACTGTGGTTTACCCTTGCCAAACACTTCTTGTAGTTTATTCATTTCAGCCCCCTTCAAGGGGACTGACATTTCATACTTGGGCATTCTGCAAAAAATGGTTGATACAAATTGTAATGGCCATCATTATAAGCTAAAATGTTAAGCAAAATTATCTTAATATTCCACCAAGGCCAGTATTTTTTCATTTCATGGCAGAATTATTTTGTATTCTTTAGCAACTGTGGTAATTTTGCAATTTTTCCTGTTTTCCTGAATGATCTCTGATCTATTATTTTTTTAACTGTACTATATAGGGAGCCGCCTTATGAGAACTTGTGAATGTGCCATGCGCGTGCGTATAGCCTGCAATTCACGTGAAAAGTTGTTATAAACTTTTAAGAGAAAAGTTAAGTGTGGGCTGTGTGGCCGCTTTTATCCATCCCCGACTACAATTCTGTCCTTAATTATACGTGCTTTAGCTAAAAAATCTAGGAAAATGTCTGATTTAAATGTTTTTTTGAGGTCAAATGCAACTGGCGAAACGGCAGAGGAGAGCGCGCACGGACGCCCGTAGTCGCTCTCAATCATCTCTTTCTCGGCTTTCTTGACAAAAAATACAATTAAAACTATGATGGAATAAAACATTGTACGTGTTCATGATTCTGTACTATGCATAAGCGTTTTTTTTTCACCAAAAATTCCTTAGTTAAAAGAATTATTTAGGTCCTTCCTTGCTTTATTTCACTACAAGTGATATAAAAGTACAGCGAAATACCATTTTAAATATATCTTACTTTTAGTACGAAAATGAGAAATTTGTAAAATAAATTCAACTAAACCAAACAGAATATCATATCCAAGCATTTCTTCGCGAATAAAAAACGGACAACAAAGAATATTTGTAAAAATTTAACGTTGCAAATTTAGGAAGACGAGCGAAGCGAAAGCATGGAGGAACATGAGGCCGAATTAAACACAAAATTTAATCACTTTTATGCCATGAATATGGAGTTCTTTACAATAAACTATAAAACACCAGAACATACCTCTTTTTTGTCAGCGTCAGGATTGACTTTAAGTCTCTGTGAAAGTGAAGTGAAGTTTTAAACTTGGAAAACGACAAAAAACGACTCGCCTTGCCTCGCCCAGTGATTGCATTGCAGAATGAACTGGCCTCGCCCGCTAGGCTCGTGTCACATGTTCAAAAATACTGTCACATGACAACGAATCACTAATCCTATTGGACAAATGTTAAAAATACTGTCACATGACTACGAATCACTAATCCTATTGGACAAATTATTATTCTGCTGTGGCTGGTTGTACAAAAGCTGTCATTCCTAGGCTGCTGAAATGGAGGACAGTATAGATGGAGGCTCATTGTGTTGCAGGACGCTATGCCATCAGATCATGCAATAAAATAAAATAATATATAATATAAATAAAATAATATAAGTAATATAATATACAAGTAATATAAAAGTTGCGAGGAATCTATGCTTCATATTTCTATATCTAATGTTATGTTAATAGTAAAGCACGGAGACTGTGGATTATTTAGGAATAGATATATATTAGTACACAAATATCAGCTATTTGGTCACTAATTTTTGATAATTTTAATGTTTGAAAAATTTTCTTAGTCTCACTCTTTTCGGCACCGATCAGAAGCAGCTTCAATGCCGCTCCTCACTTCTCCATCAAGACGACAACCTTCGCCAGGTGCATCACCATTTATGCCTCATTCTGCTGTTGTGTAAATTAAAGAAAAAGTTGATTTAGGGACACACAATCGATTAGAGGATTAACTTATAAATAGTGACTAAAACTGTTTAGTTAATAGTTTATGAACTACAAGAAGTTAATTCACACCACGCGTATAGAATAGCTCCATTTTCCGTAGCCATTCTTGTCTCCTGCTCCGGCAAATAATTCGGCGAAGAAATGAAAGGAGGACTAGATAGGAAAAATCAGCATCGTTCTACTTTTCTCTAGGTATATAACTGGTATAAATAAGTTACTTAATCTCGCTTATACTAAGTATTTATAATTGTCCGGCGACCTTCCATTGATTGTGCACACTACCAGAATACGATGAGTGTTAAAAATATAAACGTCACTAGTCTCAAACGCTCGTATAAACGACTCAGGAACGGCAGAAAAGTTGATGCTGGACACCAAAATTTAATGTAAAATTTGGTCGTGAGGCCGTTTATACCAGAACTTCTCAATAACAATTTCAGCAACACTTTCTTAGTCACTTACTCTTTACACTTGATACACTTGATTTAGCTTTAATGCTGCTCCTGACTCCTCCATCATTCTTACCACTTTTGCCAGAGGCATCACCATTGATGCGTCATTCTCCTTTGTGCAAAGTAAAGAAAATACCACAACTAATGCAGTGATTTATTATTCATTATATAAGATATATAAAAAAAATAAAATAATCATATAATATAACATAAGTAATATGATATACAAGTAATATAACAATAATTTGTAGTAAATTTAATGTTCGGGGAACGAGATTACTATTTACTGCATGTGTTTGAAATCATTACCTTCGGACAAGGGAATCTCCATTTATCCGCTCCAAATCCATGGCTGGAGTAAATAAATACAGCGTAGCAGTTGGGCTTTAGTAATTTTTTGAATTTTTCTAAACAGGCCTTCAACAGCTTAACTGTTTTTGGCCGGTATTTCAGGATGAGCTTTTAAGAAAAAAGTGAAATGTAAAGACATGGCTATAATTATGCATGAAGTTAATGGCCACATATAAGTGTAAACATCTGCGCGATACTGCGCACGAATTTTTGCCAAGAGTGGAGGGGCAGGGAAGCACTGATAACTTTTTTAAAGTCAATATGATAAAATGGCCGAGTCATCTTACCTCGAAGAGGATTAAGTTGTCCCTTTATTAAAGTGGATACCAGTTCTGCCTTCTGTTCCATCCCGAACATACAGGCTGCGTTCTCTCTGATTTCTATGCATATCCTTTCCAGTATTTCGAAATCCTCTCCAGTATTACCAGAATGTATATATAGTATCGTATAAAATAAAATAATACATAATACAAGTAATATAACATACAAGTAATATAAAAGTTGCGACGAATCTATGCTTCATATTTCTATACCTAATGTATGTTAATAGTAAAGCTCTATCGATATCCTCTCCAGTATTTCGGTTACAGACATTTCCCACCGCAAACCAAAGAGTAACGCCCTTGGAAAAACGTCGGTCTACGAATACTCGTTCGAACGGCTAGAAAACACAAACAAAACTTCTGAGTGCTGTTGAGTGTTATTGACTTGGAATTGCTTTCTCAACATGATTCTCAGGCCTTCAACGGCTTAACTGTTTTTGGTCGGTATCTCAGGATTACCTTAAATCCTTTCCGGACCAGCGTATCTCTGACCATCTCAATGTCTGCCCATTTTCCGGTGTCAACTACCGCTTTGGAAATGATCATGGCTACCTGCAGTATTCGCGGCTGGTTCCTCTGGCGGGATGACTGGTTCCTCTGGCGGGATGAAACATTTTACCCGGACTGCTGTAGGCACGTTGTATAGCCTGCACGTGTTTCTTATTGCTGTTTCACGTACTTCTCTCTCCCCCATTCTGCATCCGACAACAATGGAGAGTCTGTGGTCTCCTCGACTTCGGTTCCATATTTTAGAAAAAAATTCATTGTCATTCTCCTTTGTGCAAAGTAAAGAAAATACCACAACTAATGCAGTGATTTATTCAGGATATATAGTATAATATAAATATAAAATAAAATAATCATATAATATAACATAAATAATATATAATATACAAGTAATATAACAATAATTTCTAGTAAATTTAATGTTCGGGGAACGAGATTACTATTTACTACATGCATGTGTTTGAAATCATTACCTTCGGACAAGGGAATCTCCATTTATCCGTACCAAATCCATGGCTGGAGTAAATGAATACAGCGTAGCAGTTGGGCTTTAGTGATTTTTTGAATTTTTCTAAACAGGCCTTCAACGGCGTAACTGTTTTTGGTCTGTATCTCAGGATTACCTTAAATCCTTTCCGGACCAGCGTATCTCTGACCATCTCAATGTCTGCACATTTTCCGGTGTCAACTACCGCATTGGAAATGATCAGGGCTACCTTCAGTATTCGCGGCTATATTAATCAAACACGATTACATCAAATAGTCCTTGTTGTGGTTCCTTGGCTGGTTCCTCTGGCGGGATGACTGGTTCCTTGGCTGGTTTTTCTGGCGGGATGACTGGTTCCTCTGGCGGGATGACTGGTTTCCTAGCTGGTTCCGTGGGCATATAAACGAAAATTAAAACAAAGACTCAAAAAAAACATTTCACTGCACAGTGTTTAAGGCGTAGATGCAGTGAAGAAGCTATTTTAGTGTCGTACCTGACGACAAGGAGTCTTCTTCTCTTCCTCTTAACAACTAGGCCGCTTCCTCTTGTTGATTTTTGCCTTTCTGCAAGTCTCTGAAGAATAAAAAGATGTTCTTTAGTCAAACTGACATGCACGTGTGTGCGTGTCTAGGGGGAGACCCCAGCTTTTACCGTTTGAAAAGCAGGTCAGCACTTTTTCAGCACTTCGGGATTTAACCCTCGAATCGGTACCCGAAGGCTGTGCTTCGACATTCTGTAAAAAAGGTTGATGAAATTCGTGATAGAACTATGTTAACTAAAAACAGGAAATAATCCGCCAGTGCATGCCAGTGTTTTTTTTTTTTGTTTTCCTAAATTCTCCCTTCGAGTTAAGCCCTTCGAGTTTAACCATGGCCTTAACTCGTTTGTGTTTAAAGAATGGCTTACCTTCCATTCACATTGCTTTAAAGTTGTTTTACATCCAAATATTTGTATAAAAAGGGGATAATTATATATTGAATATATAGTGCAAACGTCTAAAATTGATTTGCTTTCGACTTTCGGAATTGATACAGCCGATTCAGGTTGAGCGTTTAGCGGAAGTGTTGATGACGTTCGTTGTGGGCGTTGCAACGTGACGTTTCTAAGGGGCCAATTACACGTTTCTATGCAAAGAACGTTGCGTCGAAATATAAAGCACATGCTATGCGTTGTATATATTTTCTCTATAAAAATGTCTTTAATTCAGATTAAAGTTGTGTACAATTACTATTCAAGTAAGAGGATAACACCAATTTACATATTGGACGGAGAATTAGAGAGCTTTTCGTTTGAAATGTTTAAAATGCGTGTACTTAAAGATGTCCCACACTTGGCGAAAGCTGCTTCTTTGCGTTGGACCATAGACGATGATGGACTTGAAGTGGACTTGTCGCCAAGTTACTTCAATGTCCAAATGAGAGGAATTTTAGAAAAAGAAAAGAGCATTAGAATATACGCGATCGAATTCGAATCACCGATAGTGACAACATCTACATCGTCTTCGAAGGAAGCTTCTGGTATAAAGTCATGCACGATCAGCGCCGATGTCAAAAAGCCAAACCTAAAGCAAAATATACGCGCACGAAGGACATTAGTTCTACCGGAGCAAGATGAATCGAAGCTGGATTTTGTCTTTGGAGGAGAATCAGACGTGGACACGGACGACGAAAATACCGAAGAAAACGAACCACGTATGATGCCTCTTGAAAGGTACGCTTTGAAACAAAAAGAGACGATAGAAAAAATTTCGACAGAGCTACAAGAAGGAACTCGCCAATTGCAAAAGTTTGATGAAAAAATTCGTCGAGCATCGTCCCAAAATGAGGGAAGTTTATCTACGTGTGGGATTGTCACATGAAACTTGGCCACACAAAAAAAATATGTACCTTCTCTCCGTGTAAATCCGCATTTTCTTGTGGCATTCTGTCCAAGCACATGAATGAAAAGGCCCAACGTACAGCTATAGAAAGAGACATTGGCCGTTTGCGTGTTAAATTGAATAAGGCACGAAAGGAAGTGGAAGATGCCGGTCGAGCTGCGGACAAACTAACTCATTCCGTTGCCAAACGAATTGAAGATATTGTTATCGCCGAGCAACCAGACAGATACGTCAGTTTTGGGCTACGAAACTGGGCACTATTAAATAAGGATGTGGCTACTCTACAAAAAAATCTCAAAGGGAAGCTCCCCTCACGAGAAAATGTTATGAAACATATTCATGAAGTTGTTAAAAATACGTCGAATCATGAGAGTAAACCAAAGCAAAGATCTAGTTCCACGGCCAGTAGGGCGCCGGTTTTGAGCGAGACAGATCACAGGATGAGTTCGCACAAGCGTCTTTTGGCTGAGAATTATGGCATAAAATTTCCTAGCAAAGGAAAGACACAAACATCATCAGTCATCTGCTCTGGTGACGAGTTGAAAGGCTTCAAACTCGCACTTCAACTTCAACAGGAAGAAATGGAGTCCCCACCAAAAAGTTCAATACCAATGGAGAGTAAGGAGAGTTCGACGGCGTCGATGCAAAATACACGCAACGACCGAATCATGATAGATGATGAAAATTCCAATCCTGTCCCATTCCAAGAACCCTTCGGCTCCGAACTAGCATCAAATGATCCAGTTGCGGTAAAACGGACAGTCGAGAATATCGAATTTGAAGCCGACGCTGCAGCTGCCCTGCTGCAGTTGAAACGCCGCCGAGAGTCACAGTCCTAGACGTTGAAATCGACATTTACAGTACAGTTGTACAGGTATAAAGACAATATAAACGTAAAGTAAATTTATATTATTAGTTGGCTCATTTTCCTATTGCAAACAGGGCGAATTTGATAAGCTTCAAGACGGACTAATACGTAATGTTTATATTGTGTTTTTTTGTTTAGAGTAGTCAGATTATAATAGTCAGACTCAGACTCTCAGATAAATGACTAATGGAGTTTGTTTTGACAGGCACTTCGTTGCTTAATTAACTCCAAACGTTTTACCGTAAAATAACGCCATTTAACAATTGACGTAAAATAATTTCATTTATATAGGCTCCTTGATTGAAAATAATAGTTTTGAAACATGTCTATCCTATTGCATTAAATAACCAGTAATCTCATAAAAAGATTGCATGTCACCAGGTGTTATGAAATTAATAGCAGTGTATAAAGCCTCCTTTAAGTCCGTGTTTGTCATTTCCCAAAATCTGTATTTGAGCAAATATTTTAATTTGCCAAAAATACTCAGTGGGGTTAAAATCCGGGCTGTAAGCGGGCATATAAACTAACTCGATGTTCAAATCTTGAAGAAATTCTCGTAGAACGCGTTCACCTTCGTAATGATGTATTGGACAGTTGTCCATAACAATTGTATCGCCGACTTCAAGACATGGTCTGCCTGTTGCTGGGTTTACAGAAGTATATGCTTCTTCAAAAAACCTTAGAAATTCCAAAGTGTTAGACGGGCCATCTATTACATTCATATACGTTACCCCGGTAAGAGCACACATGAGATTTACAGTTGTGTTTGATGTTTCACAGTATCGCTTAATTTCAATTGCCCTTTCTCCTAAAGGAGCGTGTCCGTAAAATCTTGTGCCGTTGGTGGGTAACTTAACACCGCATTCATCAAAATATTTCAGGGTGTAAGGATCTTTTTCGTGTAAATAGTCCACAAACAATTGTGTGTATGCCATGTTTTGCACAGTAAACCTTTCCTGTGCCACGTGAGTTACTTTTTTATAGCTAAATGCTTCGCCACTCGGCATTCTTTTTCGAACAGCATTGCTAAGAGCTGTGGTTGAAGTACTTCCAAGGGGAAGGTCGCCAACTTCAATAAGAATATTTTCAATTTCCGAATAACTAATCGAAGGTTTTTGTGTTTTCAGGACTTCAATTAATTGGAGATCTCCGTCTGAAAGACCGCTTTTATTCCCCCCACCATGTTTTAGAGGGCTTAAAGACTTGTCCTCGACAAACTGCTTCCAAATTTTAGAAACAACTGGAGGGGACAAATTTAATTCATTTGCGATATCGGCATATCGTCCGCGAAAATGACCATTAGTCATATTTCCACCCCTCTCAATAATCTTATCAATAATAGTAGCTCTTAAATCGGATGACAAAGCTTTTCCTGGCCTATACGACCGCCCTTTACTGCTAACCTTCCACATTTTGTTTATGTTAAATATAGAACAACAATATAAATTCATAATTTCGCGCCGCGCCTCAAAAAAACGCAACGTTCTTTGCATAGAAACGTGTAATTGGCCCCTTAGAAACGTCACATTGCAACGCCCACAACGAACGTCATCAACACTTCCGCTAAACGCTTAACCTGAATCGGCTGTAATTTGTCCTCTGAAAAACATGCTTTCTTGCCTTTGATCCCGCTAGTCAATAATGTAAGTCACTTACCGGTCAATAATGAGTTTCCCCAAATTACAAAACAAGTAAGCCTAAAAACAAGTAATTCTGCATCGTGCGGGCGTTTATTACTAAGGTTTAATATTATGGTAACGTGTGTATAAGGTTTAATATTATGGAACTGTGTGTGTGTGCGTGTCTAGGGGGAGACCCCAGCTTTTACCGTTTGAAAAGCAGGTCAGCACTTTTTCAGCACTTCGGGATTTAACCCTCGAATGCGCACCCGAAGGCTGTGTTCCGACATTCTGTAAAAAAGGTTGATGAAATTCGTGATAGAACTATGTTAACAAAAAACAGGAAATAATCCGCCAGTGCATGCCAGTGTTTTTTTTTTGTTTTCCTAAATTCGCCCTTCGAGTTTAACCAGATCACGTTCATGACACGCCGTTTTTGTAATGCCTTAACGTTGTGTTTAAAGAATGGCTATAGCTATATACACTATTTTTTTTACCTTCCATTCACATTGCTTTAAAGTTGTTTTACATCCAAATATTTGTTTAAAAAGGGGATAATTATATATTGACTATAGTGCAAATGTTTAAAATTGGTATGCTTTCGACTTTCGGAATTGATAATTTGTCCTCGCGTGATGATTTGACTTACCGGTCAATGATAAATACTTGCCTAAAAACAATTAATTCTTTCGGTGTTTAGGGAGGTAATAACCACTGTAATAACCACTATATTGCAGATACTTGCATGACCATTGTCATAAATTAAGTAAACAAGACTAATGTAATAATATACCAATTTCATGGAACGCCTGTTTTAAAACCTCTTCATTCAACCCACGAATGGGTACCCAAATGCTGTGCTTCGACATTCTGTAAAAAAGATTGATACAACTCATGATACAACTATATTAGCTAAAAACAGCAAATAATCCGCCAGTGTGCATGTCAGTGTTTTTATTCGTTTTCCTAAATTCTCGCTTCGAGTTAAGCCCTTTTCGAGCTTAACCCAGACCAGATACACATATTGTCAAGCGAAAAATTAGCTAGCTATATTTTAACTGCATGTGGTCTAGTATATATTTATATTTATTCATTTTATTTTCGTTAAAATCATGATTTTCTGGTTTTTCGTTCTGTTAATGACTTTGTGCGCATATAAAATAATATAACATATAAAATATAATATAATATACAGTATAATATAGATAAATGTGCTATATAAAATATAGTACAGAACTTAATGAATATCGTCACGTTAGGCATTATTTCTCCTTTCACATGCACGCACCCCTTTTATCATAAGATGGTTCATGTTACGTGTTTATTCATGCAACTTTTTCTTCATCTTAAAGTATTATATTATTGTTATAGTAATAAGTAATAACTGTCATAAGATTAATCATGTCCACTTATTGTATGGTCTACATAAGTTTCCGATGACAGAGCCAGCCGGTCGGATTTCTATACTACAATAAAACTTTTATTCCTGGGTTTCAACATGTCAATATCCAGGTCATGTTTTGGTACTGATGTTCTGAGTAAAATGCCTGAGTTATATATTTAGATATTAAATTTATGATCTAATTGCAAGGAGTACCCCTGGACCAACTTGTATTAGAAAAGTTAATACAATCGAAAATCGTTAGCTTTTATTACCTTGCAATGCTCCCAGATGGACTTATGAAGAAATTGATATTTCACGTTATCTACCAAAAAAAGACTAAAGTTAAACGCTGTCAAAAAATTGAGAGAATAATTCAGGCTCTAGTCGTTGCAACATTGTGCGCCAGTCTTGGTATAAAAAGATCAATGCCAGTTTTAGATATTTTTCTCATCACAACATTTGATACATTTTGTCAACCTTTAACTATCTGAATTATCTGGTGTTCTATGTGCTTCCTTATTTGTGTTCGTCTGTGGTCTTCTGTGAATGTATCTGTGTTTTTTTATAACTTAACTTGATGTGTGTAATCGTTTATAATTATCTTTGTTTCTTCAGACTTAACCTTCTTTCTGTTCAATCAGTGTTGTATTGTGTTGTATGTTTATCCTGTGTGTTATCTTTCTTTTCAATCAGTTTTGTATGTTATCTTTCTGTTTCAGTGTGAAGTTATCTTTCTGTTAAATCAGTTTGTATGTTTATCGTGTTTTAATCTTTCTGTAAATAAATGGAAATACATGTTTATTTTGAGTTTAGCTTAAAGTTTAATAAATCATTCAATTTGACTTGTGCGTGTTTCTTTGTAATTTTCTAATTTTCTTTGCTGGTGGGATTCTTCGACCGGACAGTTATGCGTTCCAAACCGATGGACAGTTTTTTAGGGTATCTGATCTGTTTTCACAGAAGATTCTTTGTGTAAAACCAGCCTCACAACGGCAACGAATTATTCCCAACGGCAACGAAACGCTTGGTCTTAAACCCCTCATACTAGAGTCTCGGCCAGCAAGAAGATAGGCAATACGAACAAGCCCAATCTCGTTCCCCGAGCCCGCGATTCCTCTGGCGAGAAAACGAAGGCTCTGGGATAATCCAAACCAGAAATGATTCTGATTGGTTGTTCACGCCGTTTTAATTTTGAAATACAAAAAACCGTTACAAATCGCAAGCCAGGATTTCTGGCTTCCGGTTTGGATTATCCCAGAGCCTTCGTTTTCTCGCCAGAGGAATCGCGGGCTCGGGGAACGAGATTGGAACAAGCCTCTTTGTCATTTCCCCCGTGCCCCATAGTTACTGGATTGGTTAATCAGAATCATGCATTTCGGGCCACGATTTTCACCAAAATGCACGTTTTCAAAAAACGAGCCACCGTTAGCCAATCAAAACTGTTTCAATTAACCAATCAGAACGGCTGCTATTTCCGCAGGTGTGAATTGTGGGCGTGAATCTGGCGTGTGAGCGGCGAGAGGCTGGAAACCAATCTTTTAAGTAAATATTTTGGTTTATGTTGCAATTTATTAAGTGAAACTGCTTCTGATTCAAGATTTCAATTTTGCAATAAGAAGAATAGATCAGAGGTAATTTAATATGAACATTTATTCTTCCAAATTTGTTATTTGAAATGGTATTAAAATTTCATATCTGAGATTTAACGATTCGTAAATGAACTGATTTATAGCTACATGTAGCTCATCTGTCTTCATCAGAAAAAATCTTTACACGTGGCATATTACTGAATCTTTATTTGCAATCATTTGAGCAGTGTTTGCATGTGGTTAATTTAGAAGTGTTTGTTCCACATTATGATTAACAGACTAAATAAATGTAAAGAGTTTGTTGTGTTTAAATTATCCTCCTGCATGCCAACCTATAGTCCACCCTGACCAAGCTCTGTTCCTCTGCCTACTCTAAAACATGTCCTTAAGATGGTATTGATAAATTGTATGTGCAGTAAAACTAAATGAAACAGTCATTGTATATTTTCTTATGTCTTACTGTTCTCACTTATAATTGAGTGACCATGTATTTTTATTCTGACTATTAGATGAATACAGCATCAACCATTCAAGAGGAACCCAAAAGGATAGATCTTGATTCCCCAAGATGGGATCAAAGCACATTTTCAGGACGTTTCCAACATTTTGCTGGGATCACAAACATGCTGCTTTCCTTAAAGTCTGATAAAGAGTTAAATGATGCTCAAAATCTACTCAATTTATACAGGTACAATAAATATTACTTCATGGTTTTCAATATATTGATTTGATCAAAATGAAAACATAGCTAATGCAAAACCTTCTTTGGGCCACAAGGGAGAAGAAAGAACCTCCAGGAACAACAGAAGATCAAGTCTGGAATGCAAAAACTCTTTATGAATCTGCATTTCATCCTGACTCAGGCGAAAAGATGAACCTCTTTGGACGGATGTCATTTCAAGTTCCTGGTGGTATGCTGCTTACTGGTGCTCTGCTGCAGTTTTACAGGTAATTTTGCATTTTGGTTGCATGTGACAACTAATTATATCACTGAAAATTAACATTCAATAATTTTATATCATCTTAGAACTGTGCCACAGGTTGTATTCTGGCAATGGGTTAATCAATCTTTCAATGCTTTGGTGAATTACACAAACAGAAATGCTAAATCATCAATTACTGGAAAGTGAGTATGTTGAGATTTACACAGGGTAGTTTCATTTAAAGGAAATCACAGAAATTTATTTTAAATTGATTCAGGCAGATTGGTGTGGCATATGTTTCCAGTACAACTACAGCTGTTGCTGTATCAGTTGGACTCAATTCACTTGTAAAGGTAAATAAATATACACTTACCATTCCTGGAGTAAAAAGATAATGTTGGACTAAACTAGATTTCATTTACTAGCGTGCTCCACCTTTGGTTGCCCGATATGTGCCATTTGTGGCTGTTGCTGCTGCTAATTGTGTGAATATCCCATTATCTAGACAGAGGTGGGCACTCTTGTCATAGCACTTGTATACTAGCAAATTTTGGGCCTCTTCTGAGAAAATTCATTTTGAATAAAAAGAAGTGAATCCTTAATTGTAATGTAGCTTCATGGAAAAATCATTCATTTTCAGTGAAATAATAAATGGAATAAAAGTGTATAACAAAGATGGCGAAGAACTTGGCCATTCAAAACGTGCAGCTGTTAAAGGAATTTCACAAGTTGTCGAGTCGAGGATTGCAATGGCTGCCCCAGGAATGCGTAAGTAACTTTGATTGATACTAAGAAAATTATGCATGGTATGACAGATTTAATTTTCCATGCTTTGAAAGATATCTAATTTCGTTTGAAACAAAATCATTCAGGCAGTTGAATTTTCACAAATTGAATTTTAATATCTTGTAGTGATAATTCCTATTATCATGGAAAAACTAGAAAAATATCGATGGATGCAGGTAGATTTTGTGTTGTGTAATTTATAACTTGTTAACTATAGAAACCATTCAGTAAATTCATTAGAAAAAGATGACCTAATTAATCTTTGGAAACAATAATTCATTTTCAGAGAATAAAAGTTCTGCATATGCCAATTCAAGTTCTTTTGTGTGGAGTCAGGTAAAAATACAGTGAATTTTTTTTCTTGTATTGCATCTAGAGTAAAGCTTTGCACTAAAGCAAAAACTAACTTCTCGTTTTCATGACAGTTTGACGTTTATGGTTCCCGCCGCCTGTTCACTATTCCCACAAAAATGGTACGTACAGGTTGAAAACAGGTTGAACGTCTCCAAGCATTAACACTTTGTTGTGGTAGCTAGCCTGATATTTGAGTGTTTGATATCTAAAATGACATATTTTTTATTCAGTTCAATGAAAGTGGAGCATCTTGAGCCAGAACTTCGCGAGAAAATAAAAGAAAGTAAAAATGCGGACATTGATACGGTGTACTTCAACAAGGGACTTTAAATGAAGCAAGGGAAGTAATAATAGTAATTTACGTCAATTAATTTACACGTCTAAACTTTATATATATTGATATAAGCCAGTGGCAGTGTAGATAGCGTAGCAGTCAAGATTAGCATGATGACGTGATGTGACTATGGTAGAAGAAGGGGAACTTTTGATTGAACATGTCAACGTTTTTGTTTCGTTAGTTTGGATTGTCTATGCAGTTTAGTTGCGTTTAAACTTGCATTTTATGATGACAGTGTCAAGGGGGTCAATTTCGTTTCTGAGATCTGGATAGTTGTCAACGATAGTTTAAATCTTCAGATGTAATAGGATCCTTCATCATCTGCACTACCGCAACTTGCCCAATCGTTTCCATCTATCAAAAAAAAAGAAGAAAATTGCGTAGAAAATTGCAAGTGTAAACTACTAAACTGCTTTAATCACTCGTGACCGCTGTTTGTGAAACACAAACAGTAACTAAATGACAAATGTTTTTCCTGTCGCATTTAAATGTCAAAATGAGGAATGAGGACAGAGGACGTACTGCAAATAAAGCGACCATCACACTAGAACTAAACTAATTTAAAAGAGAAGAAATATAACAATTTTTAACTTAAATAGAATATTCAAACATCGTAAGAGGAAAAGTAGAAAATCCTTTACAAGCACACAATTTGATGAAATATAAAAAACGCAAGGAAAGCGAAACGAATTGAGTTTGCACAATTCTGATTCGAAATTTGTTTCGGTTCACATTTCCTGGTAGGCTTGCTACATAAATTATAGAAGGTTTTATAAATGTAAATTTAGCTCTATTATGAGTGATTTAGCAAGTTAGTTCCGGTTTTCAGATTAGGCTATTGTTCCTCGGCAACCTTTAACCCAACCGTTCTCCGGATCTTGAAGTAAAAGTACTTGAAAACACGGTTGCCTGGTAATGCTGAAATTGGTGTGACGTAGCTCGTGTCCAGCTCGTGTGGGTAATTATTTGAGTAATTGATATTTGGCAAGCTCTCCTATTGGCTGAAATAACAATAAATGAATATGTATCAAGCAAAGTGTGCCAATGATCGGAAGGAACCAAGTGAAGGGACTTCCCGTGTCTATTTGCACGTTTTGAATGTTTAAATCATCACGTGATTTCTTTATTTCAACACTTCAAAATAAAATCTTCGTGCTCGGTGCGGGGTTGTATCAGGCCTGACAAGCAAAACAACATATCGGAGATTTTATAAACCTTCAAACATGTGAAGTGTAAGCACTTAATGATGGCTACGGCCACTGCATCGCGCAACTTCAAATGGACTGAACAGCCCAGAGATTTGTTCAAACAGTTTAGCTGCAATAACAAACCAGCTCGAACTATCAGACCAAACAGCAGCTTTCCGAAAATAACACGAAGTCTTAGCTTCGGTTCTCCAACCTTTCCAAGGCGAAAACCGTCGCCTATCAGACATAAGTCAAAGTCTGTGCATTTTGCCGACTCGAAAGGCCTCGATCTTGTCTCCGTTTTGACTTTTAGCGAAGAAAATGAACTCCGCGAACAATTCTCAAAGATTGTTTGTCCATCTGTGGGAGGTCGGCAGAGACGCGGGCATGATTCGTACAGAAGTAAAAAGAGCAACGATTCAAGAGTTGATAAACTGTCGGAGAATCTCATCAGACAGCTAGCTTGGCAGAAAGTTTGCGTCGAGAAAACTGAGCTTGAAAAAACTGGCCACATTCGGGGAGAAGTCTTTGTTGCGAATCTCGCTTTTGAGAAGCAAGTTAAAGCCCGTTTTACTCTCGATTCTTGGCAAACTCATGACGAAATTGAAGGGGAATTTCTTTCAAATTGCACCAAGGATGTCGATAGGTTTGTGTTTAAGATTCCCATCCCAAGAGACGATGCAATAAAGAAGTTTAAAGTTGAATTTGCCGTGAGTTACACGGTGCTCGGGGATACTTTCTGGGACAATAACAACGGATTTAATTACCATGTTTTGTTGCCAACACATAAATAGTAATCTGAATGATGTGGATATAATGTTTCATGATGTAAATGTTAAGAAATAGTTTATAAAGTTAAAACCTCGACGAAGTCGTGAGAACATTGAATAATGTAGCAATTAACGTGGTTATATAATAATGTTAGTAATTTGAATTGCACAGGCTAGGTATGTCTTTATTACACTTGTAAGATCAGTTAAAACCCGGTTTCCCATTTTCACTAATTGAGAAATTTAATCTGCTAACGGAGACATTTCGGGCTGGTTTCCATTTAATCGTATAATTGTCGTGAACATGTCAAGGCGGCTGATGTGAATATTTCTGTGTGCGTGCTGTCCAACAATGGCTGATCTTTAAACAGAAATAAAGACAATTGCATCCGGACTATTAATCATCGGTGAAAATGGCTTATCACGACAATTACGACGTCGTATATAGCCGTAGATAAGAAAGACCTTAGTACTAATTGTTCTGGTTGTATGACTTGCTACTGCCCTAAATTGCTTAAGTCAATCACCGCTTGTATATATATAGACTTTTATAGTAAAATAAATCAATTATGGATGACTGGGCTGTATGAATATCGTTTCATTTGTTAAATATTGTACAATTACGTATTCAAAACAACAATATCAATGCTTTAAGGCTTTGAGGTGAATATCGCCAATACCCGAGATTTTGTATGGTTTTGGAACGAACTTGTAAAATCACGTTTGAATCAAGTACGAATATGAAAGACGCTATACCTGCCAACACAATAATAACAAAGATTAATTTAGTATTCTTTCCGAGACCCCGGCAGCCGCAGTGGCTTTGTTTTTACATAGAATAAGCAAACTTTTGTAAACGGATTGTTGAAATTTTTTGCTGCAAAATGCTGACTGTTGTTTTACATTTGTTTCCACGAATGCGGAACTCTCTTTGAGTGAGTGTTTCCTGAGATTTGTTCATGGCAATATTGAATTCATCGTGTTGATAATCGTGAAGTCAAACTTTGAAGCTTTTGCATATAAAACAATAATGATGAATCTAAAGAAGGAACCCCGTTGGCAAACAAGTTGTTTTTGTCTAGATGAAAAAATTTCGTCTGCTTTTTTTATTTAATGATATTAAATGATTTGAATATTTTTTCGTGCAATATTCATCTACCCTTGCGTACCATCACCAATACTTTATTCATAAATTGTAGCTCGTAACTAACAGTTGAGGATACATCTGAAGTTGTGGTTAAAGATGGCCCCAACTGTCATAAAAGGTTCATTATCGCTTATTCTCGTAAATACTGTTAATTGTCTTTGACAGTGACAATACTTTGTCCATATCTTAAGTGTTTTGATATTTTGGCTTTAGTTTGGGTGGTATTTTAAGACGAGTAAAGCAATTGAGCCTGGTGCATTTGAGTTAGTTTTTCTATCGAAATTCAGGTTCTTCACTTCTTCCAAGTGTTTATCATCAAAATGTTCTGCCTGGTTTTACATATGCTTGTTTAGTATCATATAAAAACAAACTGGATAATGAAAGAACAAAGATACAATGTGAACTTTGTTTTGAATGTTCAACTACTTCATCTCTTCATTATTACGCGGTTAGCACTCAACTCTTTTAAAGATACGAGATTGAAACTTTCTTTGTCTATATTGCTGAATAACAACCGGCAATGATCGTTATCTCCCGGCCTGAAAATATGGTAAGTATTAGAAGAATGGCTGAATACATTAGAAGCAGTCATTTGCAACGCCTTCATTTTTCACTATTTACCTAATCTCGCCTATTTTCGAACTAATCGGTTTGACCGGATTACCAGATCGTGAAATTTTACAGGTTTTCTTCATCGAGTCGATGGATGAACCCAATTTAGTCCAACGGAACATGGACCGTGAACGACACCAACTTAGGATGATCTGGACAATATTTCATGATGTACGATATTTCAGAAGCTTCGAGCTCCCAGTTATATAACACAAATTCGTCCATATATCCTCCCGGAAACTGGACACGACTTCCGTCTCCTCCAATCTTAATCTCGCTCCAGTCCTCTGCTATAGGGACTTTTTTTGCGGTCTTTGTTAACGCTTTTTGGTGTCCATCGATGAATATCTTCGCTTGACCCTGAAGTGAGTCAAATGTTGCAACAATATGAACCCAGACGCCTTCTGGAACTACGGCTTGCGTGGTCGCCATATTAAATATTGCGTTATGATCTTTATTATGCCCTTTCCATTGTAGTTTTCCATCCGTCACAAGGAGTTCGAGTAGCGTCGAATTTGAGATAGATTCTGTGACGCTGAATAAGGGATGCGCGCCAATAGTGGAGTTGAGATTAAACCATGCTCCTACAGAGATGGCTTTTGTCGGTCTGTGTTTGAAATGTTCCGCTTTGATTGTTAACCGAGGATTGCTCTCAGCGTTGAGGTCTAGGCACGAGCCACACTTGTCACAACCGCTGTCCATCACACGCGCGTCTGCAACACACAAGACATAACCTTGGTTATAACTGACTGTGCCATGGTTGGTTTCACATTGTTTAACTTCTTAGTTCTATACCTCTGTATAAAAACGCATGCACTAGATCGTTACCCAGGTCGTAAGCCTGGTTTTAAAACTTTTCACAAGTTAAATCTGGTGCACTAACCTCCCTGAAGTTGAGCAATATTTTGCAAACCCGACTGATCAAACACCAGGCCTGCTGTTCTGTTGATCTTCTGAAAACCATAATGTAAAACCATTCTGTTGAACTCGCAGTTATCGTATAGCGTCCTCACTTCTTTCGGGTCCAATGCCCGCGCGAACATGTATACCTCATCAACTGCTATCAAACTGTCGTCCCCAAAATCAGGCCCAATTCCTGCGGGTGTAAAGTCCGCGGGTACCGTCTCCTGTTGCCTGTTGACTTTCTCAGTCTGTAGTTGCCCGTCGACGTAAATCCGCGTGATGCCGGTCGAGCTGTTGAAGGTACCACAAAGGTGCGTCCAAACGTTTTTGTGTACAAGTGGGTATTGCGTGTGCGTGTTAAACTCGCGTGATTGTTCCGAATCTCGCGCGAACCATTTGACATAACCTGTGGCATTGGTGCGCACCCACATTGCCAGAGTGATAGCCTTCGTTGGTTTCTTGTATTTGTTCGTGAAACGCAGATTACCAGAATTCAGAATCAAGGCTTCCCCACATGAGCCTGTTATAAGAAACGTTGGAAGAATAGTTCATCAACTATATCTTGGTCATGACAGCAGAGAAAGTGCCGCTAGGCTGGCTCTAGGAGGCACTTACCATATTTTCGGGACGAGGCGTGAGCTCTTCCCAAGACTGAGGCATCGTTGAAGTGGCCTGAAAGATCTTTCACCAATTTATCATTTCGTTGATCAAAACTGAGGTACATCGCTGCATCTTTACCTGGGAAAGAAACAGAAATAAAGTTGATAAATTTCTCATTTTCTTTCAGAGAGCTGTCCTGGGCTAACAGCAGCTACAAAATGATTAAACTCATCAGTTCTTACCCAGTGAACGAGCGACGCGGCGTTCCTGTATCTTAACCAAGGCTGTCAAAATCAACAATAATTTACTTCTTAGGTAAGTCGTAAACTCGTCTGTCATTCTCAGAACTGTGTTAGCTTGACTTACCTCTGTTTAACTTTCTTAGAAGTTGCGATGCGATAGAGGGCCAGTTTCCTAGAAAATGTAGGCGTTAAAAAAATTAACCACCAGAAAACTGTTTCACTTTTTGTCTATTCCTTTTCGTCATTTCCTAACCTAAGACAATATGAGAATTCTGGGAATAATACTGTCAGATTTAAACGATGATAGTAACTAAATATGCAAGAGCAGTATTGTGCTGATCATGGATTATAGAGAGATGGTATTTTACCCTCGTCTTTAGTTGTATTTATTGTTTTCTTCAACTCCATATCTTTCTCTTTATCGGCGTGATCATGTTTCATTACATTGCGCCATTCCTTGCCTATCGTGAATGGCTGACTAGCTCCGGGCTTAGAATTGAACTTTTTAAGAACACCAGAGAGCCGTTTCTGTAAAAGCGTCAGTGATTTCTCACTTGGTTTGTTTTGTGCTATTTTGCCTAATGATTCTTCTTTTTTCTGTAGTTTTAACTTCGACTGTCCTTGTTTCTTCTTCATCTTTCCTTCCAATTTTGAGATAATGTTTGTCAGCCTTGACTGAAGTGTTTTGAGCGTTTCTTTGTCGATTTCATCCTTTTTCTCCGACTCCATTTTTACCTTTTCTGTGTGTTTCGTCTCCGATCCTGTCGAAAGCTGGTCCAATTTTATTGCATTTGCATCATCGTCTTCGCGTATTCTCGCATTAGAATTGACTATTTTAGTATTTTTCAATCGTGTTATTTTATCATCAAGAAGCCTCAAAGGAACTTGTGTGAATTTGATAGCATCTTTTTCTCTTTCTTCTTCAGGTATCAGCTTAAACTTGCTTACCTGGTTCTCACTTGCTGTAAACCGGTTTGACTGGTCATTCAACCTGACAAGCAAGTTTCCAATATCGGGACCGCGAAAGGCGCTTGTGGTGTCGGGTGATGTCTGGGTTGGCGTTGTCACAGGTAAATTAGACCGTGATGTTCCCAAGATTTCGGGCTGTACTAATTGAGGAGCTAGATAATATAAAGTTTATCATCGGAATCGAGTTAAACTCTTAAATATATGCATTTTGAAGGTTCACTTACTTTGTGAAACCACCGCAACAGATGGTGGTGAAATTAATGGTGTTTGAACCTTCACTGGTACCATTGCTACCACTCTGTTACCATCTATACCACTAACGTCACTCCTTGCACTCAAATCACCAATAGTGTTCTGTGCTGGTACAACAGTATTTAATGTTTGCAGCGGTACTGTCTGAAGACCAGCAACAGAACCAAATATAGGTAATGATGCCTCATCAAGTGAGCTGCTCTCCTGACGCTTTACCCGATACTCCTGGCTCTGCGTGTTCTGTTCGAGTATTTCAGCTCTTCCAGGCAAACTCGTGATCTTTGCAGGCATGCTGTTCCCAAAATCGTTAGTTTTATCGTCATCAGGTTTTATATAAATTACGCTGTCGTATTTTATCAAAGCATCAGATGGTTTATTGTTTGCCTGATGATATGAATGTCGTATTCGGCGATGCCTTGGTATCCACTGTGGAATTTGAAATCTTTTTGCAGTGTTGTATTCTTGCTTCTTGACATTCTCCACGGGAGGTTTTGCTGCTCCTAAATCAACAAAGTACACATTGGGTTTTGACAGAGCGAAAGAAATTGCTGGTTTTTCGTCGTCACTCTCTGGTAGAGCTTCCGTCGACTTCTTCGTCCCTTGTTCTTCCTTCGCTGGTAATATTGTTAAATGCTCCTTCTTTCTCTTCATAATTATTTTGTTTTCATTTTCCAAAATTTGTGAAAAAAATTTCTTTGCATCCTTTTGTGGAATCTCACCAATCACCTTGTCAAGCAACTTGTCCAATCCATTTTGTTTTTGTTTGTTGACTTTGTTTATAGAGTTCTCTAAAGAAATGGTATATGATACGTTGTCAGATCGAGACATTGGGAAAGAACGTCGCACAGAAGTTAGACTCTCGGAGGTATAGTTATTCATGGCACTGTATATAACGTTTGGTTAGGAATTGTGTGAGATAGCTATTTAGATAACAAGCATCATCATATCAGTTCCAGCGATTTACCATAATTAATGCATGCATCGGCAAGCGGCCGGCTTCTTCAGTAGCAAAAAATTAATAGAAATTAATATCTGATTTTTTTTTCATATCGTTGTAACTTACTGGATTGTGAAGAAAAGGCTTCAGAAGAACATATCACGACAACTATGGCAAGAAAATTGGCGATCTTCATTGTCCATATGATGAAATCTAAAACAATCAAGGTAAGTCATCTGGCTGCATGCATGTTGAAATAACTTCAGGGAAGAATAATTCATTAAAATGTCCCTGAACGCTTACGCTGACGATAACAGTCACAAAATACAACGTTGGGGCTGTTTAAATAAGTCTTGTTTAATTTATGAAAGGTATATGATTTAAATGTAATATATAAACTAACCTTTAGTAACTTCTACGCCGGTACCATTAGAGAGTAGTCAGATAAGCTAGGTACGAAGTTCATAAGCTAACGATCCTTTATCTTAACCTCATGGTTTTCAAGCCATATTTTCTGTAATAAAGTGCCTTACTACATGTAATTATATTTCGATCATTTCGTTGCATATCATAAAAGTTCAAGCCTTAACGCTTGGTCGAGCTAACAGGTATTCCTGTCACCTTTCCGGGATATTCCGATCAACTCCGACAGTTATAGGATGTGTCTTATAACACTGTTCCAATAATACTCAGTTACAAGATAATGTTTTCAGTATATAGGATTGTTTATGATGTCACGGTGCATCTTCTGATCTTTTTAATGCATTCACTTGCTCTGAATTTGCATGATTGACTGACTGAATTTTGAGCTGTATTAATGGTTTGTTTCCATAAGACTGATTTGTTGACATATCCGGCTTTGAAGAAGTGTAGTCAACATATTGAAGTGTCTATTATTGTTGGACGGGCGTATATAGGAAGCTTCGTTTCAATGAATTTTGTGTCCCTAATATATATAAATATATTTGAGCGTTGATTTGTAAACTCGTGCGTACGAACAAACTTAATGATTGAATCATGCAGTGTAATTGTTTTACGAATCAATTGTGTGTGTTCAAAGTGACTTAGAATAGGTCTATGAGTATATGCAGTTCCGTTCTCCATATAGGAACAAATTAGTTCAAATCTTTCTATTTGTTTTTATTTAGCTGTTTCACAGCATGCATGCATGCATGAGGAAAAGGTTTAATGCAGAGCAATGGAAATCTCACTTGAACATGCTCCAATTGATCGTATCTCGAGGATGTTTTTCTCCATTGTTGATTATGCATGGTACTGGCAAAATTGATGGGAAATTGATTTCTTGCATGCATGCGTCATCCAAGATAGAAATTACTTGATCTATTATTAACATGACGTGAACTGCCTGTTGAGATCCGATGACTACGAAGCAAATGCTCGATCACTTACTGGGCTTGTGGTAAGTGCATTTCATCCAGAGAATGATGGATTGTTCATGATCTCCAAATGAAAATTGAGATACTTAGTTGTAAGTATAGCTCGTAAAATATTAAAATTTACTTATGCTATAAAAAGCTGTCAGCTTGAAGTTAAATTTAAGTGGTAAAAAATTCGTAAACATATCCTAATTGACTTGTATTTCTTGACAAGCGATTTCCGTCCAATTTTATTATCTTCCACGAAAATTAATCACGATTCGTGTAATGAAGGAATCATCTTCAGCCAATTAAATGCAAGTGACGCGCGTCGCAGGTGCTGCGAGTGATATTCTAATCATCCTTAGAAGCTAATTGAAGCGATATTTTAGACACAAGCTAATTTGAAATTATAAAAGTGTTAAGTTGGGATAGTCCGCTATAAGAATGGTTTATGAGAAACAATCGTTTAATCATTCAAAGATATCTAACAGAAATATCTTTCACTGTCGCATATATACCATGAAGTTAACCAATTGAAATGTCTTTTTCGTGCAGGATCAGTGCATGCATGTGTTCTGCGCTGGCGATGATTTACGAGTGTATTCAGTGCAAAGCTTAGCTAAATACTTGTCTAGAAGAGGAAACGATTTTATTTGGATAAACAATCAAACAAAAGCATGCATACGGAATGTTTTGCAATATTTCCTTAAATCTACATCGGAATTATCTAGCTATATATAAGCGTTTCATATATGGCATTCGTAATATGACTAATATCCCACGGTATATACGCATGAAATGTTTTTTATATATACGTCTAATTGAAGTTACCGTTCTGTTGCATACATGGGAAAAAGAAATCTTTTTACTGAAGCACGTGCATTGAGAGGAGCACAGCATGAGACTAAAAGCATCTTTGTTAGGTGTAGGATGAACCGGAGATATCTCAGCATGTGTTAGACTCATATCGTAACCGTTAACTGCGCAGCCTCCATCAACGGGAGTCCTCGACGGGCGATTATAAACTTTATTTTTCCACTCAAAATCAAATAGCAACAAGTTCCGTTCACGTTCACATCTAGAGCGAAGATTTGGTTATCGGATTAAAGTCTCTCATCGTGAGCGCCGTTACAGTACGCGGGTACGTCTTAGTGGTATGGTTTGTTTATAATTATAAATATTATCCTTTTTTAATTATTCTTCAAGTAAAATCATAATTAACTTTAGTATAGAGTTCAGGAAAATAATTGACATCAGTTAGAGGAAACATCAAGACAGTCGTTTTTATATAGTTATGACATAGTACCGTAGTAATATGAATGGCCATAATGAAGTGGTAGTTTTGATATGGTAAATTACTGTAAGGAACGAACTTCTATAACTGCAGTGGTTATTTTCTCATCTCTGACTCAAGTAGTATAAGAAAACGGCCATAGTCTTCAGTATACATACACTTGAAAAACAAAGTTGGTCTTACAGTCTCTTGTATAAGAAGCTGTCCCAGACGAAATATACATTGCTGCATGTGTATATTCGTCTTGATAATTGTGTACGAATGATGGGAATGTCTGCATAGTGTGCACGATACAATCTTAGTCTTAGATGCAGCTAATTGATTTCGTATGGGTTTAATAACCGTAATCCTGAATTAAGTCCAATTTTGTAGGAGTATATATATGACAAAACAAAGAATAAGTGATTGTTAATAAGCGGTCATCGAGAGATTATCTTCTTAAGACGTGAAAAAATACCCTGTGGTATGTTACAATTATACCCTTCAGTTGCAGTTCATGAAGCATTTTATTTGCAGTGCGCAGAGATTTGAATATACATTGAGTCCATGCATGCACTAATATGATACTGTCCCTAGTATATCTTAATAAGGCTTTACTAAATATAATGTATTGTATGAGGCTCAATATCCAGCAATTTTTCTGCAATCTTTAGCCGGAAATGCCAAAGGCCATGTTTTACCTCGGAATTACAATAAATTTGTACTGATGATTCCCATAGGTTTAGGAATATCCGTAATGTTCAACCTTTATTGGATAGTACGGCATGTGTTACTTAGCTTCAACATCTAAGTGTTGGATAACTTGGATCGACTCATTTATAGAGTTCTCTTGTTAAAATCTTTCATTTTTTAGCAGCCTCTATTCTGTAATGTCCCCTCCTCCATTTCCTAATCTCATCCGTTATCTTTGAATTGACCTAAAACGCACATGGTTGGGTGTTCAAAATCCCCCGCTTCAACTAAGTTCATTGTATTTAAAATTACAGTCAAGTACTTATAGTGCATTACTAAATACGTCCTTATATATATTGTTCCAATCATAACGTAAAGATAAAATCTTCACTTTAAAATTCTGGAGCAGGCGAATAGACCAAGAATTACTGGAGCAAAACATAGCTAACGGTTTATTTTTAAAATAATAACTGAAACCATTTATCAATCTAGTGTTGAACTATCTCACTTTGACAGCTTCGAAATACAAATCAATTTAAAAAGAGTGACCAATTAATTTGAACTTTTTGTTAAGCTTTTAAAGAACAATTGACGCGTTTCTTTCATATATAATGGCAAAATAAACAGTTAAAGTTATTTAATTATTTAAGCATGTAGAATGCTATAGATTCACATGCAGATGGCGAAGTGAACGCGAATAATAATATGCCTAATTCTAAATCAATGTTTAATCGTATAAAGTTGATGATAGAGTAAAACAGTATTTTGTATATATTATAGCGACATTATTATTGAATATTTTGACGTTTCCAAAGTCAACCTGCTCCCCCCCGCGTCGTCTCGCACGCACGTGCGTCACTAAATAATTTTGAAATTTAAACTTCTCCCGAAAAGAGGAGTGGCGAACAGTTTATCTCGTTAACGGTTAAATGTATTTATTTTACCGCCATTTTCATTCACATCCTTAATTGATTCTTTTTAAAAATGTTCTCATTTTTTACTAATTTGCAACATTCCTGTTTATTTGAGGCAATGTAAAGTGATCATTATCTATTTCACTCCGGCTTTAGTGAAATGATTATAACCATTTTGTTCTACATGAGTATCTAAGAAGATGATATGATGCCTCAATTTTTGTAAGCTATTGAATTTAATTGACCATCACCACAAATGATTTTTTACTGTCATTTCTGTTTGTTATTGTGGCAACTTTTTTTCGTACCTCAGGGTTCAATTTTAACTGTACCTGACTTTGGTTATGTTGATGTTTGGCGCATGCATAGAGAAGAAATAGAAGAGTAAATTTTGTTTTTTTAAAAAAAAAGTACATTTAAGGCGCGACATGAGTGCATTCGGAACCTGTTAAGCTCCTGGGTGGTTACTGGTTTGTCCTGCAATAAAATAATTTGGCACGCAAAACGTAAAAGAAGAATTTTTCAATCCGAACACGATTTATTCATTCGTTTCACACGAGAATCGTTGAACTAATCAGTTTCCTTGTGGACAGTTTTGTAAAGTTGACAGTTATAGCCTCAGGCGAGAGCTGAGTGTTTGCATGACATATTGACAGGTCAGGTAGGCTGTAGTTAAACAGGACTTTTTCAAGGTCACTACATTTACAAGGTCAAGTTTATTTGTCTCATATTTTCACAGTTTTCACGCTCGATTATATTTCGTGATTGTTCAGTTTTCGTTGGTATTAAAAGGAGCTATTTCTTGGACTAAGTGTCTTCTCAGGCATTTGTAAAACATTCAAAACTTCACGCAGTCTGGGCGGGCCAGACGGTTAACAGGCGCCAGTCATTTCTGCCACAAGATAAAAATACTCTATAGTGAAAAATACCTTTATATAGATTAGTGTTCTGTCTTATCTATGACTATATCCCACTATATTCTAATCTATAACTACGATTTATCATGCATGTATATATAGATTTTTATCCTCCTTGTAAAGTGTAAAACATAGCGGAATTAGGCTATCAGGAAATTGTACAACCATTTCTATTCACACTGTATAATTATGTAATGGAGAAACCACGAAATAATGTCCTTTATTTTGTCTTATTGATACACAAGATTCAAGGGTTTTTGCCAATCAAAACACAAGCGTTGTTGATTGCAGCCAGACAGTAATGCAAAGTCATTCTTATTACAATCATTGACGTTAAATAATTGATCTTGTTCATGATTTGCTTTTTGGCATTTAACTCTTAAGATGTGGAATATTTTGCATATATTTATGTCGACCTTCCTAACTAATTCATTGAATAGTATTTAGCAATTAGTTAGATTACTTATGACTTGGCTTGCTTGCGGTTTTTGTAAATGCATTATGTAAAGTTCACGCAAATTGTCCGTGCACGTTTTGAGCAATTTCATTGTCTGACTAAGCAAAGCCAGCGAAGCTTATTAATATATACTGACCCCTGACAGACGTGCATGCATGGTCGTGGGTGAAATATCGCACCCCAACGATGAAACATTTTCTGAATTGGAGTGACTCGTGTATGTGATTTGTATGAGAAGAAAGATTCTACGAAGGTAATCTTTTTCTAAGTCTGTTCTGCAACGTATTTGCGCACACATGCAGTATATGTAGGCTGAGTCTGTATTATTAATTAGTTTCATGTTTTCAAATGTTTTGGCGCAACAGCGAGGCTGTTTGCTCCGTAATATACTGTCGTTTTGAAAACATATTGGCGAAGAAATTTTGCAATTTCTTTGCGAAAAAGGTTTTTTTCTTTCATTCAAAGTCTTCGACCTTTCATTTGTGGAGATGTTTATATATCCGGAGTCTCTTTTTTTCATTACCCTTTCGGCTGCCATATGTGATTTATAAGATACACCGTACTCTGCAGTTTATTAATCAATATTCATCTTCAATAATGTTTATCAGCTAGTATAGAAATAAGCTCGGTTTATAAAAAGAGTTAGTTAGCTTAGACGCGTGATAGAGCGCTGTACATAGTTGTACAAATAAGCTTAGTTTAGGTTTCGTCTTGTGATAACACTGAAGCAATTGGACGCGGTCTTTGACTTCTGATCAATCAAAGAGGAATGGTTTGAAAATTGTTGTACTTTCGGGCTAACAGTTACCGTATATAACCAGTTCAAGTATTACGCTTACACTACATATGATAGTCTTGAAACTTGCATGAATCAGGCTTACACACGTCTCTGCTTTTCAGGATTAATTAAAAGAATTAAAAGATCCCGAAGATCCTGTTGGAATTAAAGGTTCCAAAATTGTTGATCAATGATGAGAAGACGTAACGTTACGCTTGCTTCAAGCACACGAAATCTGGTCTTGTTGGGATATTTTTTCATTTATTTCGTCTTCAATATATTTGCAGGTAGGAGAAATTACTGTAATATATGAATAAGCTAAATGTCTCTCGGGAATATAATTTAAATATCAAATTATGATATTGGATGGAGAACACGGAAATCAACTGCTTGGAACATATTAATTGAAAATCCCTGATCCTAATTACGGGGGATCATATTTCCAACGCTCGTATGGAAATTACATTGGTCGTCCAATCATACAGAAAGCCTGGGAGTATTCTTTGGTTTTATGTTTTGGAAGACTTACCCAGCAATAAACGTTATATCTGGAGCTTTTATACGTTTCACAGCCTTTCCCGCGGTCTAAACAACGCGAGTTTTTTCCTATCATAAAAAACCTTGTGTTTCGTCTTTAGAAAGAGGGATGTCTTATCTTGTTTTTCTGAGTTTACTTAATCTTCTTGTCTGATTTTGCGGTGTCATTACTGTCTTCGCATCAAGTCAAGCGAAATCTCAACTGATATCTAACATTAATATTTGAAATTTTATCCAGACGGGCAAATGTGGGGAAAAAAGTTGTCTGCCTGTAAAAACGTGGGCCCAACACAGGGTTTTAATTGTTGCTATAATCCAACATTCGTAAATATCTCTTCGTGGTTAACCCTCTTCATTTATAAGTTCATTTAGGTCTTACTTATTTAAATTTAGTTGTGCATAATAAATATTGAGTACGGTTGTTTTCCATCAACAAGGTTATATGAACGCAATTTTTGTCCCAAGACTCGAGTCTTGTAAATATCTTGTTTTCCAAACGCTTTATCACATGAACATCCATATTTTATATCAATGGCAGATGTTTTTTTGTTTTGGCAATGTTTGCCTTGTGTCGAGAATGAAACTGTGTCAAATATTGATCGTTGAGGTACACCGCACTTCGTTTGACGTTAGACAACCTTCCTCCCATCTTATTAAATATTTTGATGTAAATTTACTTTTTCGTGAATATATTACGTCCATGCAATGGCTTGGTCATATAGCCTTTCTTTGTACACAGATTAGAAGTTACTTCATCATAATTCCGTACTTAGTTTTGCATGAAATGTCGACAAATGCTTTTATATGTAATAGAAATCAAATTAATTCATTTCATTCCATGCAGTGACCACTGTCCACTGCAATTATAGTAATATCATCTGAAGTTTGCATGCGTGTATATAGTGGATATATTATGACTTAAAAATCACTTTCAGTTTATCCATTTTTTATATTCTAATTCAGCTCCAACGCCGACTCCCAAAGCCATGAAACCTCCAGGTAAGACTTCAGTTTCTTGGAAAGCATCTCGTTAACTTCACCCATTCCTTTCAGTTGTTCAGTTCATCTTTTAATGCACGGCGGGCCGAATCACGCCTCCTGAACATCCACGTTCTTGCAACGGCGCTGTTTGTAATCGATTATTATATTCAAAATAATATTTATTTTTTCAGTATTTCTCTCGCAACCTGGCCGTTATGAGTACAATCTTTCTTTGCCTCGCTCAGAATCAACCACGTTGAATTGCTCTGTCCAAAACCCATCAGAAACAAACATCACATGGTACAAAGTCAGAGTGAGATCAAGAAAAACTTCTATTATCCACCCGGGGAAAAACGATCTATTCATAAAAAAATTGCGAAATGTGAAGAAAACAGTAGAATTCAAGTGCAACGTTAGTAATTCAGCTGGTTACAAGATACGAACTTTTAGGATAATGGTTCATCGTAAGTATAAGAAGATACTCATTTTAACTTGTCTATGTAACTCCCCATTTCAATAATCCATTTTAAAAGGAATCTCTTATTGATTTTGTAAAATTTTTTGTAACAAAACCACTCGTTCAAGATCTTTTTAACGTGACGTTGCATGCGTGTGCATAGTGGATATATTATGACTTAAAAATCACTTTCAGTTTATCGATTTTTTATATTCTAATTCAGCTTCAACGCCGACCCCCAAAGCCATGAAACCTCCAGGTAAGACTTCAGTTTCTTGGAAAGCATCTCGTTAGCTTCACCCATTCCTTTCAATTGTTTCATCTTTTAATGCACGGCGGGTCGAATCACGTCTCTTGAACATCCACGTTCTTGAAACAGCGCTGTTTGTATTCGAATTATTATATTCAAAATATAATTTATTTTTTCAGTATTTCTCTCGCAACCTGGCCGTTATGAGTACAATCTTCCTTTGCCTCACTCAAAATCAACCACGTTGAATTGCTCTGTCCAAAACCCATCAGAAACAACCATTACATGGTATAAAATCGAAGTAAAATCAAGAAAAAATTTTACTGTCCAGCCGGGGAAAAACGATCCATTCATAAAAAAGTTGCGAAATGTAAAGAAAACAGTAGAATTCAAGTGCAACGTCAGTAATTCAGTTGGCTACAAAATACGAACTTTTAAGATAATGGTTCATCGTAAGTATAAGAAGATGCTCACTTTAACTTGTCTATGTAACTCCCCATTTCAATAATCCATTTTAAAAGGAATCTCTTACTGATTTTGTAGAATTTTTTGTAACAAAACCACTCGTTCAAGATCTTTTTAACGTAACGGTACAAGAAGGAGAGACGGCGAAGTTTGCTTGTCTTGCTGCCGGAGATGCTTTGCCTCATATTAAGTTCGTTCAGACACTCAACGGCACAGATTACGAAGTGAGAAAACTTCATAAATTTGAAAATCGTACAAGAACACAAACCATTTCGACGAATAAGAAGATTGAGTTTTACAAACATTATTTGTGGATATACAACGTGACTTTGAACGATACAGGGAAATATGTATGCAAGGCTGGCAATTCCATTGGAATCACAAGAAAGAATTTGTTTCTTCATGTTGTGACAGGCGAGACTGGTGAGTATTGACCAAGTACTAAAATACTGTTGTTTAACTTTATTTATACTACCTAATGTTACTTCACCAAACTCATCTCGCTGGTTATAAATCAAGCAATCTTGGTTGACCATACAGAACAACTTTCATTGTCGTCTGTGGGTTTATAACACATACCACCCACCACTCCATATTAAATAACAATTGAGGAGAAAACTGGATAATTTGTCGTCCAAGGTCAACAAAACACACGATAAAAAACCTCGTAAATCAACTCTGAAATCTAGTCTATCCGAATTTAAATTATGCTGATGTTCAACTTCCTAATTTTTAGCCACAGACGTAGTCACGAAGGGACTGACAACTTTGGGCGATACAAAGTCATGTAAGTCTATACAAAAAAAATCTGCAGGTCGTTTTGAGGAAAGCTAAATTCCTCTTGGATCAGAATGGCTGGAAAATACCTTGACGCTATTTTCTTTTAATATTCAGCTACAAGATCCACAACTCCTCACCAGGCTTCTGCGAAATCATTGCCGTCGTCTGGAATGAAGAGCTGGGAACTGGGTATTGTCATAAGTGTGGCCTTGGTTTTTGTGTTCGCATTTGTTGGAGTTTGTATTCTTTACCGCTGGCATCTCAACCGAAGGCTTAATAAGAAGGAGCAAGAGATTCGTATTGCGTATGAAGCTGAGAGCAAGAGCCTTCCCATGTCTCCTGCCAGGCGTTTCCTAGCGATGAACTCCGCCCAGTCCTCCTCCGGCTCTCTCACAGGCGAATTTATTTTTCGCGGCAAAGTTGGTAGCTATGGCGACGACTTTGCGCACATCAGCATACCGCTGGATAGGAAATGGGAAATAAACAGGGAGCAGTTGAGGGTAGATGGACAGCTTGGGGAAGGAGCATTTGGACGAGTTCTCAGGGCAACAGCACTTGGTGTTCCTGGTATCCCTCAGAAACACACGGTGGCCATCAAGACTTTGAAAGGTGAGACTATTTGATACAACAGATTTCTGCGCAAATGGGTAAGTCGTCAGTCAACCGTTGCAACACTAATCGGCGACTTTCTATTTTGCGTATCTAGAAAATTCCACTGAAGCTGAACTGGTAGACTTGCTTTCAGAGATGAACATGATGAAGAATATAGGGAAACACAAAAATATTGTGAATCTCATCGGTTGCTGTACACAAAATGGTAAGAATTCTTTTGCATTCTAAGGAAATGATTAAAGAATATTTATATCATGGAATTTCATTCGAAAGGTCCTCTTCTTATGGTCATTGAGTATGCAAAGTTCGGCAACTTGCGACAATTTCTACGGGATCGCAGACCAACTCATGGAGAGTTTATTGACACGTCCACAGAAGAAGACAGCTCAGCAGACGGGGAAAAACGGAACAGCGAAGACTCCATAACTTTATCTGATCTTGTCTCGTTTGCTTTCCAAATTGCGCGAGGAATGGAATACTTGGAAAGTAAAAAGGTAAAAAGATACTTCTAATCTATATCCTCTGGTTGTCCACTCAGTTCTGAAAACAATTCTAAGCTTGACTAGGAAAGAATGTTTCTAATTTCTAGTGTGTTCATCGTGATTTGGCTGCGAGAAATATTCTTGTGTCTGAAGACAAAGTTTTAAAAGTTGCTGACTTCGGTCTGGCTCGAGACGTACACGCGATGGATTATTACAGAAAAACGACGGATGTAAGATGAAATATTTATGCACCTGAATATACACAAATCACAAATAATATTCAATAATGTCTTGATGAATTATATAGGGTCGTTTGCCGGTCAAGTGGATGGCCATCGAGGCTCTGTTTGATCGCGTTTACTCTTCCAAAAGCGACGTGTAAGTTGCGTATATCATCAGCTGTTCCAACATGCGCAATCTAGTGATATTCAAATAGTTTCATTCAAGTTGTTTTTTGAATCTTTTAGATGGGGCTTTGGTGTTGTTCTGTGGGAAATAATGACCTTTGGTAAGCTTAATATAGCGGCGTGCAAGTACAGTTTGGTCGTTTGAGCAAACAAGCAACGTTGAACAATGTTTGCTAAAATTTGAATAATTTTAGTTCTCTTTCTTAATTTCAAGGTGGCACTCCCTATCCAAGCTTGCCAGTGGAGGACTTGTTCGAACTTCTTCAGTCAGGATACCGGATGGAAAAACCTCATAACTGTCCAAACAATATGTAAGCAAATAATCATGGCAAAAACTCGGTTTTGTGAATGCAATTACTTTATTCACTGTTTCTTTCTAGTTACGAAATTATGCAGAATTGTTGGGTAGAGAACCCTATCAATAGACCAACATTCACACATCTCGTTCAAATATTTGACTCCATTCTCACAAATCTTTTATCCTCGGTAAGAATTGCTCTGGATACATTCCTTCAGATACCGTGTATTTCAATTGGCCAAAAGGCGTAACATCGCCTAAATCTCATTCCTATGTTACTCCACAGCAATATATAGATACTGGATCGTCAACATGCGAGAGGTTGTTGTCAGGAGCTAGTGATGAGTCTACCAGCGAGCAAATCCCGCACTTGATTGCTTTATCCAATGATAGCGTCTTTCGTCGAGACAGTGAAGCGACACAAGAGGGATACACAAGGCATAAAGGACAGCAAACTTCTTCCACATCTGATAGTCATCCTTCGTCTTCGTATGAACTGTTATCAGCGAGGTGTGCTCCTCATGAGAGTGATGTCTAATGCCGTAATGAAAAGTTGAAATGGTTTGGCACTTTGGCTTCTGTTTCAAAGAAACGACAGAGCCTAACACAGTGTGCAATCACGCATCATCACAAGACCGTCTCTAATCTTCTATAAACCAACAAATTTTTTTCAGAAGATTTATAAAAGAGTACACTTGTGTGGTGTCTTAAATTACTCCCACATCATGATTTAATACAGCTTGATTTAGGTCGATAACTGATCATAAGTTGGTAATTTTTAGAATATGGTCAGATTCCATCTTCCCAGGGCACAAACGTAATGGTCAACTTCAGAAGTAATATTCAGTAATGCGTCGCATGAACCTCTGTATACTCATGCTAGTGCTTGCTTGTGCACATATCCTCAAAATATAATCTTTCTAAATATTGTAAATAAAATATATCCCTAATGATATCGTTTTCGATTGAGTTTACAGTTTATACTGAGGTCAGAAATGATTCTAAAATTTGCATATTTTCCGCTTTCTTCGCCCAGTCTCCTCTGTCAGCGCGGCCGTGGACGGAGAACTCTGGGAAGGTACTCGATTTCGAAAAAGATTACAGAAATTTTGTACAAAACGTGGTCGAGGGAACTCTGCCCTCGTTTAAAAAAACACTCTGAGAATGTCTAAGCGAAGGCTTGATGTCGACGATGTTAAGAAATCGAAAGAGATGGCGTAAGTATAAAGTCGTTTACTTTATCATATCTGTTAGATTTGCTCACAAAATGGAAATAGAACGAGTTCTTGTGCAAATATCTGGTTTTACTTTACCGGTGAGGTATAAAAACGTTAAGTTGGTGTTTGATTTTATAAAGATAACATACCATTCATTTTGAGTTTTCTTGCACGGAAGCTGAAAATTTGTTTAGGAACCTAAATCATGTTGAACGCCCTTTTTGGAAATGAATGTATTGCCATTTATGTCAGTTGTTTCTGTGTTTTGAATGACTTGTGTCGTGTGATAGTTGCCAGTCTTCGTGTCATTGCTGTTTTAATATAGAAGTTGTTTCTATAAGGAATGCTTGCACTGCTTTTTTGCAACATGCAGGACAGGCACTAGCCATTGCTTGTTTAGAAAATGTTCTACAAGAAGTGTTTGTTTTCTGCATTGTCACAAAACATTGTAACAACATCAGTAAGTGACAGTACCTGTTGACAATGTCTTAATAAGCCCAGGTCAAATGAAGGTGTAAGTTGATGCAAATCAATAGGTTGTACCTGCTTGTGTCCATCAACTTCCAACTTTATTAATTCACATCAAATGTGAGCTGTATGAATTAAACTGCAGATCAAACTTTAATATTTGTCAATGGGTGCTCAGAGTAAAGTGCAACTTTCATCTCACATTCTTGCATGACCAGAGTCATCCAATCAATAAAACACCTCTGTTTTGTTTCTTGTTTAGTGATTTTGAAAATCTGAAGTTAAAAATTAAACTTAATCCACATTCTGGCCGGCCCTACACAGATAGATATTATGAAATCCTTAAGAAACGTCTTCAGTTGCCGGTGTGGGAATATAAAGAAAGGTTTATGGATATGCTAGATAAAAATCAATGCATAGTCTTAGTTGGTGAAACAGGGTCTGGGAAGACAACACAGGTAATATTGTAATCTTTTACCTCTGTAGTTCATTCTTAGGTTGCAGTTTTAACTTCCGTTGAAAAGTAAAATCATATAGTTATAGGTGGAATGAAATACTAGTAATCCAACAGATCTTTCTACAAGGAATAACAGGGGAAGTTTTGAGACTTAACTTGATTGATATGAAATATTTCATTGTAAAGATTCCTCAATGGTGTGTGGAAGGCAGAAAAGATCAGCGGAAAGGTGTAGCTTGCACACAACCCAGAAGAGTGGCAGCCATGAGTGTTGCACAACGTGTTGCAGATGAAATGGATGTCATTATTGGCCAAGAAGTTGGATACAGCATTCGATTTGAAGATTGTACAAGTGCTAGAACAGTCATGAAGTAGGCATTGCCATTCTTTATAGCATTGTCTTTGAGTAAAAATCCTTCATACAATTTTCTACATATTTTTCCTAAAATGAATGGGGTTTAACTTCTACAGATATATGACTGATGGTATGCTTCTTCGAGAAGCAATGACTGATCCACTGTTGGATAAATATGACTGTATTTTGCTTGATGAAGCTCACGAGAGAACTTTGGCAACAGATATACTCATGGGATTACTGAAAGAGGTATGATGTACTCTATTGCTTACAAAATCCAATCTACTTACAATTTAAATGATACCATATCTTTTTGAAAGTTTTAATGATATCTCACATTTACTTAATACTCAGGTTGTTGCACAAAGAAAAGACATCAGAGTAGTCGTCATGAGTGCCACACTTGATGCTGGCAAGTTTCAAGAATACTTCAACAATTGTCCATTATTGAATGTTCCTGGACGTACACATCCTGTCGAGATCTTCTACACACCAGAACCTGAACGAGACTATCTTGAGGCAGCCATACGAACTGTTGTACAGATTCACATGTGTGAAGAAGTCGAGGGTGATTTATTGCTTTTCCTCACTGGTCAAGAGGTGAGAGTGACCTATTGATTTGGTAGATGTGATTGAGTGGATGGTTAAATAAAATCAAGGCCCGCAATCAACAACTAAATGCTCTCACCCACTCATCGTAAAAACTAAGCTGCGAACTTGCGAGTTTTATTTTGTGGTGGGTGGAAAAGATCCTTAAATCTTTCAACTGCTTCTAGGAAATTGAGGAAGCTTGCAAACGTATCCGAAAAGAAATAGATAATCTTGGTGGGGAAGTTGGGGAATTAAAGTGTATCCCACTGTACTCCACATTACCCCCCCAGCTACAACAACGCATTTTCGAATCAGCCCCAGAGAATCGTCCAAATGGTGCAATAAGTCGCAAGATTGTTGTCTCAACCAATATTGCAGAGACATCATTGACTATTGACGGTGTTGTCTTTGTTATTGACCCAGGATTTTCTAAACAAAAGGTTTGTATTTGGTAATATTTTTACATAAAATATTCATCGCGAAGTTCGTACATTAGCGTGCTAGAAAATTACTCATTTATCTATTTTTATTTATAATTTATTATGGAAGAGAATCTTTGAATCCTGAGGGTAAAAATGAGCATTTTGTTTCGTTCAAATATTGAAATAATTCCATCCTATTTCAAAGGTTTACAATCCTCGTATCCGAGTGGAATCCTTGCTTGTGTCTGCTATTTCCAAAGCAAGCGCCCAGCAACGGGCAGGAAGAGCTGGTCGAACAAAACCTGGCAAATGTTTTCGTTTGTACACGGAGAAAGCTTTCCAAACAGAGATGCAAGACAACACGTATCCTGAAATATTGAGATCAAATCTTGGGACGGTTGTTTTACATCTTAAAAAACTTGGAATTGACGATCTTGTGCATTTTGATTTTATGGATCCGCCTGGTATGTTCCTTCACTTGTTTTCGATCAAACTTATACAGCAAGTACTCGCTGTTTTTCTGAAGAAACTCTGAATCGATTTAAACTTTTTATGCGATGCAATAGAGAACAATATTTACTGTTTGTTCTAGCGCCAGAGACGCTGATGAGAGCCCTGGAATTGTTGAATTATCTCGGTGCGTTGGACGACAATGGTGATTTGACGGAGCTTGGTTCAATGATGGCTGAGTTTCCACTGGATCCTCAACTTGCCAAGATGGTCATCGCAAGTTGTGAATTCAACTGCTCCAACGAGATTCTCTCTATAACAGCCATGTTATCAGGTGAGCATATCCCTGTTTTAACTACGAAGATATGTCTCATGTGGTCGTGTTAAGATACTCAATGTCTTTCTTTTCTAGTTCCACAATGTTTCCTTCGTCCAAACGAGGCTAAAAAGGCGGCAGACGAGGCTAAGATGAAGTTCGCTCATATTGACGGAGATCATCTGACGCTTCTTAATGTTTACCACGCTTTCAAACAAAGTAAGTTGGAAATATCCTATCACTACAACTATTTTATCTTCATTCACCCAGCATGTCATGATCACGTGTAGATCACGAGGATTCGCAATGGTGTTACGATAACTTCGTGCAGTTCCGTTCGCTGAAGTCAGCCGACAGTGTCCGAGATCAACTCGTTCGAATCATGGATCGTTTCAATCTTGCCCGACGTAGCACAGACTTCAACAGCAAAGATTATTATATAAACATAAGAAAAGCACTTGTATCTGGATTTTTTATGCAGGTATTGTAATATTGTTATATTCCAGGGGGGTAACACTCGCTTTTCATTACTTGTAAGCTAAGCCAACTCCCGTCCCCTCCCTTCTTCGGTACCTCCCGGTTACGTCATGGCGAGGATCTATATAAGTTAGCCAATGACGTTTGTAGTTCTGTAGATGATTACTGACCGTTAAATATCATTGCACGTGAACTCTGCGAGACAGGTTGCGCATCTTGAGAGGTCTGGCCACTACTTGACAGTCAAGGACAACCAGGTAAGCGTTCTTCAATAGTTCAATTTACTCTGTCGAATCGATTCCAATTCGTACCAGGCGAAACAAAACGTGAATAAGACTTTCTTAAACCGTTGTGAGTATCTTGTCTTTAGGTTGTACAACTCCACCCGTCTACTGTGTTAGACCATAAACCTGAATGGGTGTTGTACAACGAGTTTGTTCTTACAACGAAGAATTACATCAGAACTTGTACCGAAGTTAAACCCGAGTGGTGAGTTTGGTTTGACTTGTCGAAAATGGCTTTTCACTTGTCTGAAAACTTGTTTTCTTCATCCTAGGCTAGTGAAGGTGGCCCCACAGTATTACGACATGAGGAATTTCCCGAATTGCGAGGCAAGGAGGATCTTAGAACGTGTTATTGAAAGACTCATGAAAGGACGTTAAGGTGTAGTCGTTAACAGTTTCATTGACTTTGCTAAATACTATAGCAGTTGTAATATTGTTTATCACCTGATACTCTGCTTGAATCTTGTTTCAAGAGGATCGTCAAGTAGACTGCTTGTTCGGAAAGTTCTTATATGTACTGAGACAATATTGTAGATGGCATTTATTTTCACTCCATGAACAGTTCGGCTATCGATAGTCCACCTGCCGTTCATCGTGAAATTAAATGCATCTAATTCATTTCAAAATTCTGTTCAAAATGCTTGTCCATACGTGTCCTGCTGGAACTAAACGTAATTCCTTGATTCCTGAGCAATGGAATGGCAGATTACTACCAGAGAATAAGGGACACATAAACACATTTTTCGCTCGTTTGTTTGACGAATCTTGCTTCTCTTGCTGAAGTCAGACTAACATATGTTGTGTATGAGAAGTTTAATGCTAAATTGTTTGTACAGCTAGTTCAATAATCTCCATAATACACCACTTCAATAAAACATAACGCAAAGAAAAATACATTGTGGGCATAAATATTATTACATAGAGTTCCTCTCTGTTTTACAGAGCGTATATTAAACATTAACATCAATTGATTCAATATTCAATATGGCGTTCACAAAACTTTAAATGGCGAACCCTGGAATTAATGTCAATGTTTTTACAGAAATGAATGAAACATAAATCTAAAATTTCGAAAGGTCTATATTTCAACTTCGATGGAGCAGCCAGGACATGCTCTAGCTCACTAATTTTTTTGCCTTTTGAAATGTTTTCAACAGTACTGCAAGAACGTGAAATTGACGTTTGTCAACCCGCAATTCGTATTCTTATTCTTATAAATTCCAGCAAATCTGGGCAACCATTTCACCAGGAATCCGGCCAGTTACAAGCTTATTCGGGCCTGCGATATAATTAAATATTTATGTAAAAATTTCATTCAACTTTTCCATTTTCCGTCTCGTTACCGTCTTGTCCATTCGTTGTTGTTTCTGTGGGACTTTTCTGTTCTGATTCTTTATTATCTGATAAAAAAAATTAATGTACAAGCTTTGGTATAATTCTAAACAGAGGCTATACTAGACCTTGTAGCTTTGGTATACGACTTCTCTACCTAAGGCTCGTAGCCAATATTCGTCTGTCATAGCGAGTGACTTGTCATACCTCTCTCAGAAGCAGCTTTTCGTTTCTTCATCAACTTAAACAAATCTTCATCCATTTCATTTTCATCCTCTAACATGTCCCCTGTCGATTGACTCCGAGGTTTGCTACGTAAAGTCACTGATCTAAAGTCACTTTCTGGACCAGTCGATTCTGAACACGATCTAGGTTTTCGGTCGTTTGCTTTGCGTAGTTGTACACCAAAATTGACCGGTTTTTGTCCCTCGTTCTCTCCTCCATTCGCGCCTTGTGTTGGCGGCCGTTTCATGGCTTTCTACAATGAAATACGATTTCAAAAAAAAAGTTTTTTCCTTTGTCATATTTGACCATGATCCAAATCTTAAGAGTACACACTTACGAGAACGTCTCTCAGGTTTTCCATAGCTGAGCCATCGCCGTCTCCTCCCTCAGGCGCCGTGGCCTGTCAGAAATGAACAAATTTTTACACAAACTAACATTTGATTTCATTCATGCAATTTCTATATTTGCATTCATTGTACCGCAAACAAACAAATCATTTCAAAACAACATGATTGAATCTTGTTTGGTCAATGGTAAGATCATTATTTACAAGATTTTTAGAGATATTACTGGGGATATTTTGTATGGCAGGTGATAATCCTAACCTGGCGTTGAACGGTTTTTCTGAGTTCAACTTTTCCACACCTGATTCTGTCCATCATCTCAGACATCGCTTTTATGCGTGGATCTTCCTTTGTTTGTGATTTACCTAATGAACAGTTGAAGACCTCTCAATCAGTTTTATCAAAAGACACAACAAGAAAGCCGTGAACAAAGCGGGGGACTGGTGAGAAATTAAAGCAACTTATTAGATTGTCCGTGGTGAGTATAGTTCCATCATCACCCCCCCCGTAATGGTCATCAAATGAATCTATCTGTACTGCAATTTGAGAATGACCAATTGAAAGAATTTATGTTTTACTTTTTTTCAGTTGCTTTTTTCCACCGGAGCTGACAATTCCAACAAATTTCCTGTGAAAAAAGTGCTGTTTCAACGATACGTTCAATGAAGGTAAATTCATATGATTTTCAGTGTTCGGATAACGTTGCAACTTACTTCAGTAGCTGTGATGGTGCGGGGGGTGGAGGAGGTGGAGGGGGTAATGGGGGTGGTGGAGGGGCCTCGGGGGCTTCTTTAGCTTGCTTCAGAAGCTCCTCAAATTTCTTGGCTGTAAGCAAAAGAGATGAAAGTGAATTTATTGATCGGAGTAGGAAAGTTCAAGTAGTTTGCGCTAACCTTTAGCCTCTGCTTCGCTCGCGCGTGTTTGAGCTTGAGTCAATCGTGCCTCCAGTGTCTCCATTCCTTGTGCAAATGTGTTTATCTTTTCTTCCAAACCTAAATTGTTTGAAACCAGTGAATAACAAAAACCATCCCAATACGGAAGGCGTGTTATGATTTCATGTTCTGAATCTTGAGAGTTTATACTCACTTTTCAATTTGCACACATCATTTGACGAAGCCAGTTCATTCTCGAGGTCTTTTACCTGAGATTTGACGATGAAGAAATCATGGGTCACAGGCTGCCTCATCCTAACTGCGATTCATCGCTGAAAATTGAAAGTTTATTCTTTACCTTTTCATCAAATTCTGTTCTTTGTTCATGCAATTTCTTCGTGAGATTACTTATTTCTTCCAGAGCTTCTTTCAACTTATCTTTTCCCGAGAGTTCTTTTGAAATCAATTCACTCTGTTTTACCGCAGCTTCATGTTCCCGATTCGCCTGGAATTGTTGAAAAAGAAATGAATGAAGTTTTCTAACGAGATTTCGTATCGTCGTGCATCAGTGTTGAGAGTTATAGTAGGAGGAAATGATGGAAAACACTAGGAGGATGGTCAATCTTTTTTGCATTGATTCTCTATTGCAGTTCGTATTTCTCCCCTGTGAAACGAATCATTGTAGATTGCGGTTCAAATTACTTCATGACGCCCGTGCATGCTGCGAATACTTGCCGTGGGGTTCCTGGTCTCACCGGGTTCTTCAGACTCCTAAAATTGGAATTAATCAGCTCCATTCCTTCAAAACGGTGCTGATTGTGCGAGTGAAGTGCGTATTAACTTAATTTCCTCCAGTTGTGTGAAGAGCAGCGAACAAATGAACACTTTTGAACAGTGTTTGATAGAATACTCCTCACTAAAAAGAGTTCAGCTTTCCGCTTGGATCAGATGGAAGGAACACCAAACAAGATGACTTTGTTGTCGTCTTCGTTTTGATCGTAATGCAAAACAACCATTAATGATTTCCTATCCAACTTTTCTGTCTTTTCAGACAGGTCATTGAAGACGAAAACCCGTTCGTTGTTTCCGTCTCTAATTTTTCTATTAGACGCATTTAGTTTTTAAAGAAATGCCTTATGCCTACCTCAGCAGCTAGTTTTTCAGCCTGGGCTCGACATTGCATTTCCACAGCATATTTCCGCTGTAAGTTTGAATAATCATCCAGAGCAAGCAGGGAAACTGCAGGAAGAAGAAATAGCATTAAGTGCCTCGCACAATAAATGTGTTTAAGCTCATGGAACATAGGTATCTTCACCTCGATTCAACTGTTTGAAATTTGCTCTGTTATTCTCTAATTCCTCCTTTGTTTTCTTGTGTTCTTCCGTTTCTTTACTAAGCTGTAAAATATACAAGTTATTTGATCTCCATATACAAGGAAGGATTGATTGAAGTATTCCTACAAACCATTTCTTCTGTGTGGTGTAATGTTTTGGTCAGCTCTTCCATCTTTATTTGAAGCGACTCTACTTGTTCTTTTAGACCTGTTTTAAGCAAAAATTTATCATTTTTGCTCTGTGATAGCATACTGAAGGATTGCTGCTTCCCATTAGAATAAATAACTACCTTCAATTTGTTTGTTACAGACCCCATGGTCATCTGTGGAGGAATCGTCACTTACATCTGTTTTACCTGAAAGCTCTTCCTATAAGATAGAAATACATGTTGACAGAAATCACAGTTGAGTTGTTGTTTTTAAAGCTGCTTCTGTGAAATCAAACTACTGAGAGATCTACAAACCAAATCAAAGTCAACAGCCTTAGCCACCAGAGTATTCAACAAGATAGTACTTTGTCTTTTCAGTTGTTTATTCTGTTTGACTTGCTATGAAAAATATTAAGATATTTAACATAAGAAACATAGTGTTTAACATGTTACACCTGTCTGAGTTATTCTCTCCTGGCAGAATAGGCAAAGGTTTCAATGATAAGTACCTGTTTAGCATATTCTTCTGCCTTGTCTCTGCATTCCTGTTCAATTTCAAACTTCCTGTGAAGGTTGTCATACTCACCCAAAGCTTCACCAGATACTAAAAGATTGCCAAGTTTTACTATATTAGTTGTAGTTTAAGAATTTGTGCAGCCTTGTCTCCAGCACCTACAATTTGCCTATAATCTTCTGATGAGGATGAATTTTGCAACAGGATATCTAGCATGCTGGACAAATCAATTGGATTAATGAATGCTCTTCCTCATACCAGGAAAAGTTTTTAAAATGATATTTCTAAACAGTGTGCATACATGTTTTAAAGATTTTCACTTTAATTCTTCTACACTTAATTAATATTCCCAATGCTGCAGTAAGTAAACAAAATAAATATATGGATAATTATGGGCTTAAGATATATTACTTTGGCTTGCTTTGTTAAAACTTTGCAAAGTTCTGAATTGCCCAAATGATTTGACAAAATAAATAGTTTACACTAGCTAGGTATATTCAGGGACTTGTATATTGGGTGAATAGAGTGAAATACAATATTTAATTGCTAGAAAATCAGTTTGGGGAACCCCAATGCACACATGCGTCCAATTAGTGAGGCGGCAAGCTTTCACATTACGTTAATAATTAATGCGTGAACTGTTAATAATTTACTAGAAACCAGATGATTTTTTTTTAAAAATATACTTATTACAAATCTTGATGATATAAATACCCGCTTCGGGCTATAAAATCTGACTAAAATTTGTTTTATTGCTCATTTGTAGGGAAATATTTGGATCCGTGTTTATGCGTTTCCTTGTGAAAGTGATATTGTATAAACAGTTGATATAAATTTTTTTCCAACCTTCCTTGAGTACGTCCAATTCCTTTTTTGTACGTAAATAATTCTCACGTTCTTCCAAATACTGCAAAAAACACGTCGAAATTTACAAGAACGATAGCTCAGCAACGTGGGGAAACTAGCTCGAGGACATCTAAACATTCCTACGTTGATTCATCAGCATGCAAGCATGCATCGATTGCAACACTGACCAAAGGGGTAACAAATAAAAGCAATAAATTAAGATTCGAATCTTGTATCAAAATCTAACCTTGCTATAGTTTTCTTCACACTTCTTCTGAAGATCCTCAAACTCGCTGATAGCTGTAAAAGAAGGCGATTTTTTAGCGTCAACAGTAAAGCCTCATTCTGACTTCCGCGTTATGATCTATTTGACAAACTTACGCTATATTATTATAGATATATTGCCGCAAGAAATCGATTTTTACTGCTGATATATTACCCTTCAATGAAATAATCCTCAGCGTGTTGAATTTGCCTTCGTAATCGTTTTTGTCCGCGTTTTTGCTATTGCAAAGCTTGGAATCCTGTTTCTTCGACCCCATGATTTCAGATTGCGATGAAACGAAACATAAAGTCACAAATCACAATAACAAAGGCTTGGAATATTTTGCAGCGACTCTGAACTTCCGGTTCGAAATTGATCAAATCAGTTTGCATGCGTCAGCTCCGGGGGGAGTGCTAACTTCATCTTCATGGAATGTCAGGTTAATAACTGTGGGTTAATCAAGTGCAGAGATTCCTAGAAATCTGCCAACTGAAATACTCCTTATATATATATACTGGAAGAAACCTAGCCCTATAAAATCTCAATTATACTCTATTGAATAATTTTAATTCAGTGTCCAACCGGAGCTATTCAAATCACAATAAATCAGACTTTACTAAAGGTCGCATTACACACTACTGACATTACTATTTTTATACACATTGTGCGATTGCACGTTTCTCATTCTTTCAAGTAAATGCTTCATATGGAAATGACTAGATCTAAGACACGATTTCTAGTACAACATTTAGGATGTTTTCCGGCGTTTTTGTGTTTGTACCTGAGTAAATCATAAATATTACCGTAAACAAAATCTAACTTCGGGTATTGACGTTGCTTTGAAAACAACTCAAACAGAAATATTCTATAATTTCGTTGTTTTGAAATTCAAAGAGCGACTCTGAATCTCTGATCCTTTGACCTATTGTCCGGTTTTTTTGACACACATCACGGCAAAGACCGGATTGATGTATTTGGCAAATAGCCATAAATACAAGTCAGAATTTGCGCAGTCGTGGTTAGCTTTCTATCCACATAGCATCGCTAATTATAGAATGCAAATCCTCGCCTGAAAAAAAGCTGTTCGCGTAAGTGCAATTTAAACACTGTAAGGTGGTCCTTTAGTTTTATGCAACTGTTCTTTGTCGACACAAACCCGCAGGAATCAGAGCTGTATCATGCGATAACAAATTAATACCTAAAGATCGAATTTCCTGAAGCATTTATGGAGGGGCTGTTTGAATACGGCATATGTATTTGTGATAAGGGCTACCTTTATCATCATCGATCGCTATTAGCTTTGATGCATAAAGTTTTATTCGGACGGATATGCAGTGAGTTTGTTTGCACCAAAATTGCAGTTGTTGTTTTGAAATGAACAAGGAAAGCGGAAGCCATTTCAGTGCAAACTGCTTTTAAAATTCAAAAAAATTGAAAGAAATAATCGCCGATCGCAATGCTTTGGCTTGGGGATTAATTTTCCCTGGTTTTAATGGTTATTTACCTTTCATAATCCCTTTGCTTTGTTCATGATTGGTCCATTTTAATTAGGGGTGTAATTTGAAGGATTTTTCGGAAGTGATTGACGTGAAAGAGCGAAAAAATATTTATTTTATTTTGTTGCAAAAAATATTTTGCCGCGAGAACCACTGGAAGAACTGTACTGCGCACGCGCGTGTATATTGAGCATGCGCTGTCATGGAGATTTTCATTGATAAAGAGCCCACGCCTCCAATGATATGGTCATTGTAGTGTGGTCCTGCTGTGAACTGGAAATATTCGCATTTCCCGCAATCGTAATCTGAAGAGGCTCAGCGAAGGCGACGATATTGCTTTGGAGTTAACAACTGTCATCAAGTTGACGGTCCGCAAGGCGAGCGTGTGTCGAAGTAACCGAGGATAGACAACTTACGATCCAAGAAGAATGTCGTTGAGTGAACTAGTTTTGAAGACCCTAATGCCAAGTAACTTTCTCGATTCGGACGACGATGATGCGAAATCGATAACGGACAGTGTCTCGGGGCTTAACAAGAATGAGTTCAATGTGTTTAATGATTACTTCGGACTGATAAATCTCGTGCAAAAGTGCAAACAAAACGCCATTCCGAGTAGCGAGATGGGCTTTTTCGAAGTCGATGAGTTCAGCAGATTTCCTCGGCGCGATCGGTTCGACAGTATCGACTCGGAGAATTCGTCTTCTGGCAGCTGCGATTCCTTCACAGATTTGGGATTGACTGTTGGCGACACCAGTGGCTTTCAACCATTTCCCAACGCGAGTACATTTCCTGGTAGTGGCAGTACATATCGACGAAGGGCTGATTCCTTGACAAGCTTGTCTCGTCGCGGGAAGGGAACAACAGCAACGTCAAGTCTCCCTCGTGCTTTTAATACTCCGTCGGCAAATCTACCTCAAGTTTGTGTGTTTTGTCGTAACAACGGGGAGCCTGAAGAGCTATATTCATCGCACGTTTTAAAAGGTCCTGATGGCAAAACAACCTGTCCGATCTTGCGAGCGTACACATGCCCTATCTGTAAAGCAAGTGGGGGTGATTCTCACACGATCAAGTACTGCCCTCAAAACCAACAACCTGCGCCAGTATTTGTGAATGGAGCACAAGTTACTCGTGTGGGACCACGGCCAAATCGCACTGTCGGACACAGAAAGACCCGCTGATGTGATCCGTCGCTGATTTTTACATGACGAAAGTCACAGTGAGGGTAATAAAGCTTATAGCAATAAACTCTTGAGGACTTTTACAACCACAATATCGCATTATGATCGCCAGAGCTTATTGCTGGCTAAGCTTTTTTATTGAACTCGAGAATTTTAAGCGATAAATGAAATTTTAAATCTTGAGAATATTTTGAAATTATTTAGCCTTTTTTATATATTTAGTTACTGTAAGTATAACAATTTGTAGCTCGGATTTTAGGGCACAACATGCGGTTTTGTAAAGCAAGTATAAAGCATGTATAATTGAACATATCTTTGAAGTGTTTTGCCTTGGAGGCCTATAGAGCTTTCCGCTTGTGAAACTAATTCGATATCCGCTCATTGACTTTTCCAAGAGTCGGCAATATTATTGTATTTAAAATTTTTATAATAATTTGAATGATACTAGGTACCGTTGTTTTGAAAGTAGAGAGGTATATATACTCTACTAAAATGACCTACATTGAATATTTGAAATATAAGAGTTCGTTAGATAATTGGCAAACATAAGTTTATTTATTCACTTCTAAAATTTCATAATGTAAATTCCTTAGGATGTCTGCTTTGTGTCAGTAACTTTGATCGCTTTGATTTCTCTGCAGTTATTGAACACGATCGTTCTGTCTTTTGAAAAAGCGGCTCTTTTGAACAGTGAAATAAATAACCAAAATTTTATTGTTGCAAACTACAACGATTTCGATGAGTTTTTATGTACAGACTTTGCACCGCACTAAGGAAGTGAAATAATATATGATAGAAATTTTGTATTGAAGAATTGTTGTAAACTTTAAATATTAATGTTAGAATTTTATTGATATCATGTTTTGTAAAATATTGACAATACTTTTTATTGAGTTATGTAGGGGCAATCTTTAACTGTTTGAACTCTTTTAGAAGACCCAGTTTAACTTTTTATAAGAGAATTTATATAAGAAATGAATTGTTGTTAAACAGGAAATAAAGGTAAATTTTGTAATATGGTAAATGCCTTCGCTTTCGTTCAAATAAATATTTTAATGGAGGTTATTATGCCGTGAATATTTTTCGCGTTCTGGTCCTATATCACGTTTCGTAATTCCTGACAGCATTGTTTACTTAATATTTCTTGGCTTTTGACGGACTTGCTGGTTTGAAGTGTTTTTTGTGATTACATAAACTAGACAGTAAGATATTCTTCATCGATCCGCTTAGGGGGTCTTTATATTCGGAGGTTGAGAGTTTTCGCTATAATTTTCCTGTTTCGCACACTACTTGTGTAAATTCTTATCTTACGCAAGCTTGTGAATTTGTGCCAAAGTCCTTCTTTGGTCGTCGTTGGGTCCGAAGGTACTTGAATGAAATACAATGCCAATTACAATTCTACTTTGCAAATTTTCTCCTATTAGTGTTGACATCAATTATTACAAGTTGTCATTTACGTATTTTAATGTCGGTTGGCCATTGTTTTCGGTGTGGTCGCCTTTTCTAGCATTTTCATATCGAGTTTCTTAAATGGTTGAGATTACTTCGGCATTTTATAGTCTGGTCATTGTCTGCGAATTTCCTTTGACGGAGAAAATAATTGTTCACATTTCAAGAGTTTTCCGACAGCAGGATGTAACGGATGTAACTTCATACTAAAAATCGAGTTGTAAATATTCAAATTTAATAAATATGCCGACTTGCTGAAAGTGTTATTTGAACGTAAAAGTAATGTCTTAGCAACGTCTGGTCATGGTAAATCCTATTTAAAATTTTGTGCATGTCATCACCTCAGAATGGGGCATTTACTTTTAGCCTTGAATGCAGCTAAAATCTAAAATCGTTATGAAAACAACTCGACAGTCTCGATGGGAAGCATAATAGGCCGTTACTACGTTTAGAATTCAGTATACTGTGCCCCTCCGCTATTACGATAGAATAGAAGGGAAAATTAGTGAAATTTCAATGTTTTATTTCAGTGAATAACCCGCATACCAAGTATTTTTCCTGCCGGTTTCTCTGATTAATAAATTAATTTTACTTTTAAGTTTATTATAATATTGTTTATATTCCATTGTTGCTTAGAAACCTAAAACTCTTTTAACCTTTCAGTCCAGTAAAGGGACCGCAAATTTTTCATTTTACAGTGAAAATAACGAGTCAGGCACTGCTTATATTTTAAAATTTTCCTACACACATAGCATTTCTTATAGTTAGTGTCGCAGTATTTACAACATTTAAAAATGTTAAAATCTAGATTTTATATATGATATATATAATTATATATATATATATATTATATATATAATATATAATTATATATATATACGTCCTGTTTTGCCTTTGTCTGTCAAAAGGTTGGTAAATAAACGCGACCGGAACAAAGGTCATTCCAAGTTAATTTGCATAATTTCCGCTCACTCGTGCGTCATTTCCAGGGCCATAATTTGAAGTTCTAGAATATCATTTGTCCAATATCCATTAACTGTGGTTATATGGAGAGTTTGAACTAAATAAAAGACATGTTTTCATTTCTGTATAAGCATGAGAAAACACCTTTATCGGCACAGAAAACACCTTTTTGAGAACTAGTTACCAACTATAATTTTAAGAGTTTTTACCATTTAATCACAGAATGGTTTAAAAAGGAAGGCCATTTATAATTCTCCTTTAAATCCCGTATTTTGTTCAAGTACAAAGGCTTGGTCATGTCACCTAATATACTTTCAGAGCCGTTGGTCGGTATGTACCCGAGGTACTTCATGATACGTGAACACCTTGTTTCGACGATTTTCAGTAATTGCTTGGGTATTTTCTTTCGCCACGAGTTAATCGCCAAGGTGGCATTTCGCGAAAGTGAAACTAGAGCCCGCTTTACAGGTTCGCTGGTTTTGCTTCGAATCCATTTGAATACCTCTTTCGACGGAGAAATATGAAGTTCTCGGAATAAATGCCGAACCAATCCTTCTGGATCTGTCGCCAGTTCCTCGTAACGAACTAATTTAATCCGATCAGGGTTGAGCAGAACCTCCCCGAGACTCAGTTCAATCGTATTGCATAAGTTCTTTACAACCTCGTCAGCTTCTCCACTCTCAAGAGCGAACTCCCGGCGGTCGCGCGGAGCAACCCAACCCAAATGATAGCGAGAGTAAATCATTGCTCGTGGATCACGAACTAAATATAGTACATAGACTCTCCCATTCCATGGGATCCTCGGTACCTGTACAGTAGGCTGAAGACCCATAGATGAAGATAGAACTGAAGTGATGTTTAAACTGCTGACGCTTAAAAGCCAGGACAAGTCAGCCGGTTCTATACGTTCAAGGAGAATTTTCGAGGCAACATTTACATGTTTACGACAAATATTGTTCAGTACCTCCGCAGAGATACCTTCATTGCACAAACTCCAATTTCGATTCGCAACAAAATTCGTTGCTTCATCGTATGTGGTTTTACAGAACGGCGGCGATACAAGAGACCTGGACGCCGCACGCCAGAGAAATTTGCGCGACTGCGATTTCAGGAACATATCATCTTTAAACTGACAGTTGAGAACAGCGTTCACAACATAGTCAACGTTTTCAAGATAACTATCAGAACTTTGATCCACAATGTTCTTTAGTTGTCTCAACGGCTCGTAAACAAAGAAGAAATCTGGATGTGAGTTGAAAATTCCTCCAAAGAATGATGATCCAGATCGCCCATGCGCAACAATAATCACTCTCACGCCGCTTGTGGTCTTAAATTCAGTTGTTTCGTCGCCATTCCTAAATTCTTTCGACAGTTTTTGCCACAGATCTGGTCGCTCTTTCTTCGAGATAATTGGGGGGTGGGAAAATGTCTCGGTACTTGAATAACTTGGATGGCTCGTCTGGGCTGGTTTATTGGTCTCAGCCTGCTGAGGTTCTTCAGTCGCTTCTTCTGAACTGGGATATACAGTTCTGACATTACGTGTCCGAATATATTTTGGTGAACGAGTTCTTGTGAAAACAGGGAAAAACACTGAAAGGTCTTGTCTAAACCCTGATACTGAGTAGTAAATTTTGTTCTTCAGTATTGTAGACTTCTCTTTTAGCGAAAATTGAAAAAATATGTATATTCCCGATGCCAGCAACAGAACTAGGCCAAATCGAAGTTTACGACGCATCCTCTGACCTGTGACACGAAATGAATTAACAGACTCTCGACTGAATATTATTATTTAATTATATTTAAACAACACTAATTGTTATTCATTCACCTCACCTGATTTGTTTAATTCCCGTTATCAAACTCAACTTTATGGCTAAAAAAATAACAGTTATAATACCACAATGAATAAGTACACTGTACAATCACTTAGGTACAATGTGTACTTGTTCTGTTGTTTAAGCCACAGCGTCAACTCGCGCAAAGATTATGCAAAACAATAGGTGACTCTCCCACTAAAAACCACTTCATTTGCTGACAGACATTTACCATTTTAGCATGCAATCTTGAAACCAGAGCCCGCGATCCATCGGGGGGATTAACATGTTGTGCGCGCAGTGGTTACCAGGCTCATCGCGAAATCGAACATGGCTGTTTTTGAATGGCTGGTAAAATTGTTCACACGTGCTCAGGTTCCTGGAATAAACTTCAAAGCAGGAAAGGAATTTTTGAACACTTGTCATGCTTCAACAAATCTAAAGCTTCGAGTTTTGGTCAACTCCACGAACAACAGAATTGAAAAATATGACAATATTTGGAGCAAGTGTGTGCTCTGTTTTGGAGTTTGTTTTGGAGGATTCCAGCTTTTTGATTGGGTAAAAACTAAAAACTTTCGAATAAATTGCACCAGTTTTATGGTACATGCAAAGACCAAAAACTTAAAATCAAAGCAGTTTAATTTTGTTGCTGATGTTGTTGAGATAATTGCCCCAGCTGTGGTACATATTGAAGGTCACGGTCGCCATGATGGGTTCCTAGGTCGCATGATATCTTCATCATCAGGATCAGGGTTTTTGGTATCCGAGGAAGGTCTGGTACTTACCAATGCACATGTTGTACAGAATATGAAAAATGTTACAGTAACCCTTGCAGATGGTTCATCCCTTGTTGGTGATATTGTGAGTCTCGATCCTGCAACCGATCTGGCAGTCGTACAGTTACGAAATCCAAAACAGGTAAGATTCTGACAGGATTGAAGTTTATGAAAAATTATCTATTTTAAAACATAACATTGATTAATGATTTTCATTCTTTTAGAGAAAGTTTGAGACAATAAAACTTGGTGATTCGTCAGTGATCCGACCGGGTGAATTTGTTGTGGCAATGGGTAGCCCGCTACGTCTGAGCAATACTGTAACATCTGGTATCGTCAGTACGGTCCATCGCGCAGCTGGTGACCTGAGTCATCGTTTACCTCATGTTGAGTATATTCAGACAGATGCAGCTATCAATGTATGAATTTGATTGTTACTGTTTTTCTTGGAACTAGAACTGATTGAAATTGTCATAGTTGTACAAACTAAAATGTTTAGTTCCTAGGTTGGAAATTCAGGCGGACCTCTTGTCAACTTGGTAAGACTGCTTTGGTCATCCCCATTTATAGAAGGCTAGGATATTAATAACCTAAGTGAATTTTGAATATTTTCAGGATGGTGAAGTGATTGGCATTAACTCAATGACAGTAAAAGATGCTGTTGGAATTTCATTTGCAATTCCTGTCAACATTGTAAAGGAGTTTCTTGAATCAACCAAGCAAAAGAAACCAAAACTTGGCAAAGGTTATATTGGCATTCACATGCTAACACTTACACCTGGAATTATTGATGAATTACTGGGTAGACTCTCTGGTTTTCCAAATGTCAAAAGTGGGGTGTTCATACCAGAGGTCATCTACGACTCGCCGTCACACAGGTATTTGTAGTTTATCAGCTCATAAAATCTAACAGCATAGGTATTGGTAAAACCTATTCTCATTTCTTCATAGAGCTGGTATTTACCCTGGAGATATCATAACAAGCATTAATGGAACAAAGGTGACTAGTTCTCAACAAGTCTACGACTTTGTTGCAAAGGGAGATTTATTGACAATTGAGATTTTACGAGGGCTCAAACGACTAAGGGTGGTTGTACAACCAGAAACTGTACTGTGAAGGAATTGAAAATGTATAATTTCTCGAACAAGCTTATTTATTTCAATATTTAACATGTAATAAACTAGGCTAGTCCTCTAAATAAGCAACACAAAGTTTATTAGTTTTTAACAGCAGTTTAATTAGTATCTGGTATGCCCTCAATATATACAAGTTCTTTAGCAGTGATATGATTGATATGTGACCCAATGTGCCTTAGATTGTCCAGGTTTTTCTTTATGACTGGAACTGAATAATGACTTGAACACTTTGCTTGCATCAGGATTCTCAGCAACAGATTTATATTTTGAGTAAGCATGAGTGTCTCCATTTGAGGAACTTTGTGGTTTGGTAATTGTTGATGATGATATCTTGGGTTTAGATTTTGGTTGTTTCATGGTTGACTCAGATCTCAAACTATTTGATTCAATTTGGGAAACTGGTGTTGGTGTATCAATTTTCAATTTCTTAGAATCTTTAGAAGCATCTAAGGATTGGCCATTTGCTCTCTTCATCTTTTTTGCTTTCTTCTCCTCCTTTGCTTTTTGGTGGCGTTCAAGCATTCTCTCCTTCATCTTTGTAAGATCTTGCTCATCTCCATTGATAATAACCAAATCTTCTTCCATGAAAGGTGTTCCACAACTGTGACATGTGGTAGAAGGCACCTCCTTAAGTCCACGTTCTGAGAACACACATCCGCATTTCCAGGAAAAACAGAAACGGTAGCGGCCATTCATTTCCAGACCAGAAACAGGACAGATAAAGTTGGATGCCTGGAAATCAAGGTAGGAATCTGCCGCATGGCCATTGGGTTTCCCGTCCCTTGGTTCTTTCGAGATCTTTTTGGTCAAAACCAGTTCTTTAACATCTTTAAGGCTGCGGATATGTTTTGCAATATCGGTTGTGGCTTTGGATTTATCCAACAGATATTCCAACACAGATTCCTTACGATAAAGATTGCCGAGTTCACAACATACAATTGGTTCACAGAGTTCTTGTTGTGTGATAGCGCAGTGATTCCATTTGGCATTTAACTCGATTTCTTTATCGACTTTTTCCGGTTTTTTCTTTTCACGAACAAGTTCGCATCTCTTGGGTATCGTTCCACCATCGCAACCCATGGTTTGGTCTTAGAAAATAGTGAAAAATTCGGCAAAAAGAAAGTGTAAAATATATTTGTATTTTGATTGACACAAAACAACATGAATTTGGCGAGGAACCTGGGGATAGAGAACAAAGATGACGTCACTGTCGTGATCTTTCTGTATTTTGAACATTTTGAATAAGCAATTTTTAATATATATTAATAACTGAAATTACTGTGAAAAATACAACTGCAATATCCTCGTTATTAGTGTCTTTCGTGCCTGAAAAACTTGCTAAATTTCTTTGCTAATTGTGCTCGAAAATATATAAAATATGTCACAATTTTTTTTAAATTTTAGGTAGGTGTTTCCAGTTGAATTTACTGCAAAGTTTAATTTTGGCAAAATTTCTGCCATAGTTAAAACTTTTACGTTTAAAAAAGTTTAACTTTTGCGCTTTGATGCTCAGTTAATAGTAAACAAAAAACAGAGTTTATAGTTGAAAAAGTAATATTGATGAACGAACTTAATCCAAACGAGACTATTCTTTGAGAAAAATACCCAAACTTCAAAATATAGAAATTTTCAGGGGGGTTTTCAGTGATGCTCATGGAAGCATAGTTGTAAACAAAACAAGATGGAGTCCTGTTTGATTGTTGAAAAAGAAGAAGAGAAACTTTCCAAGAAATATAAAGCTTTCCGGGAACATACTGAAGCTTCCTTGGAAGATACGTTAAAGCATCTTTCTAGTCTCCGTGAAGAATTATCTAAAGGTGCGGGAAAGCTTTATAAATTGGTTTTTTAACTAATTAAACTGGCCTTAATTTACTAGTAAATTTAATAGTAATTGTAATTGACGTTTTGATGTGAGTTGTTTGTGATTATACTATGCTTGTTTTTTCCTTAAAAACGTTTTGAACTTTCATACATGTTTAGTTGATACTGAAAATGAGTTAACCAGTACACAGCTTGAAATTCTTGGTGAGATTTCAAAGAAAGTGGATAACATAGTTTCACAAGTTGCTGGTGAGCATAAAGATCTACATGGCGCTCTTTCAAGGATTGGAAAATCAATTGATAGGGTGAGTTGGGATAATTGATAGGGTAGAGTGAGTGAAATTTGTCTAGCAGTAGGACTGTAGTTGGTTTCTCTAACCAATTAACATCCATTTAATTAAACATCTAGAATTTTGTTCAAGACAATACTGGTGTTAGCCAGCCTGGTGTGTTTGTTGGGGAGAAATTCTCAACTTTAAATGAAGTTTTATGTCAACATTTCTTTCGCCAAGGAAGGCTGGACATCGGTGAAAGTTTGGTGAAGGTAATTTTGCACAGTTTCTCAATCCACATGCGGTAATCTGGGAGTTCAATCTTACATGAATTAAACTTTACAGGAAGCTGATCTTGATATCGATGAGACTAAGAAACTCCCATTTACGGAACTAAACTTCATCCTTGATGCTTGTCGCCAGAGATGTTTGGACCCAGCCCTGAGGTACGGTATTAACTCTTTATTTAAAATAGTATGTATTGATCATTTCATGATTCATCCCTGAGAGTTCCTACCACTTCTATTAATACACACGCAGGTGGTGCCAAGAACACAGGACACAGTTAGAAGAGAAAGGAAGTTCGTTGGAGTTTAAACTTCATAGATTAAAATACATCAATCTATTAATCCAAGGCAATATTACAGCTGCTCTTTGCTATGCAAACAACTTTGTACCATTTTCAAAACAGAACTCGAAAGGTTGGTATTTGAAAGGAAGAATCCCTCTTCTATTAATTGGCTCTAGCTCATTATTCTCTCCATTTTTTTTCCAGAAATCCAACAGTTAATGGCATGCTTAGCCTACTGTAAATCAGGCATAGAGAACTCCCCTTATGCAAACTTGCTGGATCCTGTGCATTGGAGTGAAATTTGTGAAATATTTACCCGTGATGCTTGTGGCTTGCTTGGCTTGTCTCTTGAGAGCCCACTAGAGGTGTGTGTTTTAGCAGGTTGCCAGGCTCTACCTTCATTACTGCAGATAAAACAAGTGATGCAGCAAAGACAATGCTCTGGTGTTTGGACGTCAAAAGATGAGCTACCTGTGAGTAATACTATCGTAAAACTACCCTGCTAAAAGAGCTTGCCTTATGGTTATTTATCATCTTCTTGTAATTGCCTTATTTATTCACTTGTTTTATTTTCTTTCAAGATTGAAATTGATTTGGGTTCAGAGCATCGTTATCACTCGCTCTTTGCTTGTCCAATATTACGTCAGCAGTGTACGGATAGCAACCCCCCACAACGCCTGCAATGTGGTCATGCCATCTCAAAGGATGCATTAACCAAACTTACCAACGGCAACAAGTAAGTCATGAGAAATACAATTGTCAAAACAGACCCATTTAACCATCAGCTTGCAATGCACCCAAATGTGGCTTACTTTAGTATTTTACTTTGTCTATTGCAAGATGTCATCAGTGGTCGAAGACTACTGTACTACTATCAGCTTATAAGATAAGGGAAATCAAGGCTTTTGTGTATTTTTAAGAAGCGCTGCTTTATTGCATGAATAAAATATGTTTACAATATTTGTTTTGCTAGGATCAAATGTCCATATTGTCCGAAGGAAATGTCGCCAAGTGAAGCTAGAGAGCTCCACTTCTATTAAAAGCAGTAGAAACGTATCATCATCTTCATATGGTCGTCATCTTCTTATGAAACGTCTTGCAGTTCACATGCAGAACGCGTTAACAACAGTATAGATAACGTTTGAGATGCCTCATCACGGTATATTGTTGCTAATGCGTTAGTCCAGGAGAGACACGACGATGTAGAAATATGGTGATAATTCCAAAGTTTTCGTCAGAACTGCCGATTGTTAATGAAAATTGGCTTACCGTGTGCAGATTGGCTCAAGAGACAGTCATTCTTACCAGACCTCCCGCCTTAGCGCTAAGAAGCGGTTTAAAATGAAAGCGAAAATTCGTCGTTGGCACGTTGCTGTATTTTTTATGCTGTTATTACAACAACAACGTCTGGGGTAATGAATGACTGATGATAAGAATATATATTCTCTAAGCCATTGATATATATTTGCATGTAAATTGGGCATAACTTTGTATAATCACCTGTCAGTTTGAAGTAAAAATGTAAATTATATTATCGCATCTAATTCTTCGTCTTCCTCTCTGGACGAAAGTATAATTGCCCTGTGTAGATATACTGCGATATATTCTACTGCATGTGGGTAAGTTTTTTGTGTGTCTCTGGGTTCGGGTGTACCTGCTCTGACAGATATCAATAAAGCTCATCTTGCTCAGCCAACTATGAAAACCATATTTAAATTCTCGTCGTCGTTGCGAATTTTATGGCCGAGTCTTATTTTATTCATGCATTTTGCTAACTCTGTTTCAAACAATTCAACAAAATGTTATCGACGTTTTAAATACACTTTACCCTCGTGGTCAAAGTGTGATGCTGGAAGAGGTAGCAACGACCAAACAGCGGATTTCAATGATAAAGAGACGATGCGATTGCCTCGTATTGATCCAGTCAAAGTAAGTAAAGTTTCTTTATTTTTGTTCTGAAATTACTCATTGTGACTCCAACTAGAATACGAGTTCCTCGTCTTTTAAAACGTCGTTGAAATTAACTTATTTCTGTATAATTCGTACAATTAACTAATAACTCAGCCTTGACACATGCAGAAAGTCTAGGCAATTACCATTTTCTGATAATGTAATGTACGCCTTTAAAGTAAAATGGCACGATTAGTTTATGTTTATGCATGTAATTAATTGTTTTTTTTCCATCAGATTGGGTTTATCAGAGAAGTACAGCATAAAGATATAATATATACGTTGAAAACGCTTAGCCTAAGACCACCAATATTTGGTAAGAAAACAGTTAATTCTTTATTTCATTGCGTTCTTGTTTCGAGCTTGAAACGAATACAATATTTTTCCTAGAAAAAGTTTTCAAATTTTCGTAGAAATTCAAAACTTCCTCAGTGATGATGAATGCGATATGATTATTGAAATGGCGAAGTCGGACGGAATGGTAACCAGTGAAACTTTATGGAGTAAAACTGACGAGGTTCTCTCAGAAGGAAATTTTCGTGCTGTTTTCCAAAGCCTAGATGTCAATAATGATAACGGTCTTGATTATCATGAAGTAAGTGTTGACAAGAACTCCTTCGCTTCGTCAATGAAAACCTTTGGTTTTTTTCATTTTGTTCACATCTCTCCTGCAACATCCGGCTTAGTTTGATTATTATTACTTGATTTACCTCCATTTCTTTAATACCTGTTTTTTTACCTGCTTTTTTCAAATTCCAAATTTTATACTTGTTGGTTTCAATCTTTATCTTTAACCTTCCTCGTGTCGCCGCAAGCTATAGCGATAACAGCTGTATTTGTTTTATTGTGTGAGAAAAACAAACTTTTCATATTCCAGTTAACTTCTGCTGTGTCGGGTATCAAAGATATTCAAGTCGACAAAGATGATTTACAAGAAATGTAAGATCTAAAAACAGTCCTCAATATGTTTAGAACCTTTGTAGTTTCTCGTGCATCATTAAGATCAGATTATTCCTTTGAATTTTAGGTTTCAAAATTTCGGTCTTGATTTCTTTGATGATGGTATGAAAATCATTTGAAATAACTTATAATATATGATCATGATTTACCATCGTAAAGATAATTGGGTAAAAACTCTTTTGTCATAGATAAGGTCACTTTCAGCGAATTTGAAATATTAGTAAGCCCTGATGTTTATGAACAAATCAAGTCTTACTTGGTTAGTTTGGAAGGAAGAAAATCAAGCATAAAAAGTCGCAAAAGTTTCTCCACATTTCTGGATCCTTTTACCGACAATCATCGACAGGAATTCTTTGAAAAACTTCACCAGAGGTATGGGCCATGTATCTTTTTGTCAATAGGGTATAACCTTAAGCTTTTCATTTCTCGTCAATGACCATAAAAATTGCCTGGTCGATAGCCGAAATGAGCTTGCATGCAGCCCTAACTTTGTAACGTTGAGTCTCTCCTCCTCCTAGTGGATAAAAAACTCTCATATTTTCCATTTTAGAATTGCCAAGGTGACGCAGTTACCGATAGAAATGATTAGAAGCAGTGAAGCCTTACAAGTGAGTTCTTAGACAGTTAGACATTTCACGACATTTCAATTCGTACTTTTCACCTACAACTCACGTCAGTTTGAGATCACAAGTGGCAGCTAATTTTAACCAAGGGATCGCATCGTTTTTAGGTAATCAAATATGAAGTCGGGGGTCATTATCACGCCCATCACGACTCTGATGATGGCGAATACGCTCCATGTTGTCACTTGGTGTCCGGTGATGAGCTCTGCCGACCTTGTAGGTGAGACTTGGAGGAAAATATATCCTCTTAGGGTCCAATTGGACCTGAGTTAATGAAATCTTTCCAAATTCGTTTCATCTTATTATCTCATCTTCTGGATTTTCACCTATCACTAAAGCTTGAGAATTTTTGCTTTCCACTTTCCAGTTTCGACGATCCTCTTGTTTCCTCTGGATCCACGGCTATCAGTCTGGATCCCGCATTCCAATATTTTCCTCGTGTATCTTGACTATTCTCAATATTCTAACGAACCGTCATCTTGTAGATACGCGACGATGTTTTATTATTTAAACGAGCCAACAAAAGGAGGAGGAACAGCGTTTCCGTTTGCAGATAACATCACCTACGATATCTCGGTAGTAATTCTCAATTATTTATTTGTTCGCTAATCGGATGTGCTGAAACTTCACCTAGGGTTTTACTGGCTTGTTTTCACATTTACAAAGATATTTTTAAGAGAACGTTAAGTGATTAGAAGTTAATACAGAGCTCTGAGCTGTACGATTTCTCTGGGGTGAAACGAATGCAAAATATGAATCTGTGGTGATATGTTATTTTAGAAAACTACTCGTGATGAAAAATATCGTCTAAATTTGAGCGATCATTGTGATAAGGCAAATCTCGTGTACATGCCCAAGAAAGGGGCAGCTTTGTTCTGGTATAATCACGTGATTGATGACGACACTGGTTGGTTGGGAGAACTTGATGAAATGTCAAGTCATGGTGGCTGTGACGTCATTCAAGGAGTAAAATGGGCGGCAAACAATTGGTTCAATGCCGTTGATGATCGCAACGCTGACCTTGAAGTTTGGAAGAATTACGGAAATGCTCATTAAATTACTACCTTGGTTGGTCAACCGACTTGGGAAGTTGTAACTGCGACTGCGCTCAATTACTCTCATACCCAGGTCTTTTCACACGCAGCACGCGGAAAGACCTGGGTAGGAGGATGCGATGAAACTTTTTGGCGTAAAATTATAGCGTAATACAAATTTTGTCATTCATTTTCATTAGATTTAATCATGTACTCTTCAGATTGTTTCATCTTGCCTAAAATTGATGTATTCGTGTATTCAAAACTTGGTCACCACGTGATCTTAAATTGTAACATCTTATGATGGTACTCAGTCTCTTAAAATTTGCGCGGTCTATTTAAATGGAGGCATTTAAACTTTAAAGTTTGTACTGCTTTAAACAGTAAAAAGAACGAGTCTCAGCTTCTTATGTACTCGCAAGTTGCACCGCCAGAAAGCATTTCTTTCACGGAAGATGAAGAAAGAGATGTTCGTGAAAATCTTTGTGAACAAGGAAAGGAGAGTTTGACAGATAAACATTTGAAAGAGAAGCCCTCCAATGTTGCAGCAGAGAAATGGCTGGTATTAAAAGTTATGAATAAACCACCGCAATTAGTGGTTGTAAGAGGGGATGTGGGGAGGGTAAACTGGAGGGAGGGAAGAGGGGTGAGGGAGGCAAGAGAGTGAATGAAAGGGAAGGAATGCAGGGAGGGATAAGGAAAGGGGGAGGGGATGGTTCCTCCAAGGATAGAGTGTTGGGGGGGGTTGCAATAAAGAAATAATGATATCAATACAGGAAAGGATTTAAAGATGAGAATCTTGTTCATCTTTGAAATTATTAGAAATTTCAAAAGTTAAAAGAAAGACGGCAAGAAATGTGCAAAGCATTGCCTGAAAAGACAAGACGGAAACGGCCGAGGAAGACCATCAATGATGGTCAGTGTTGAAACAAACCATAAATCATTTTAATAAAGAAAATCTTTAGTTGTGCAACAGATCATCTAGCATTTTGCTAATTGAGGGCCGCACAAACTATTTGAATTTCAATACCTGTTTTTTGTTACTCAAGATGATGCATGCAGTTCACAAACAGTAAAGAAATCCACCAGGTGAGAGTTTATTGATCTTTTATATTCCCTATATTTATTGTGATTCTAACTCTATCTAAACATCTTTTAGGGAAATACTGAAAGACAACAGAGAACCTTGGAGTGAGCTTTCCTCAAATATCGATGCTAATATTCATTTAAATCAAGATAGTACTTCAAAACAAAAATCAAAGGTTAATATTATGAGTTTTATTATATATTTTAAGCTCAGTAAAATGACTAATGATTTTACAAACCTGTCTGTCATCACTGCCTGTTAGTTGGATTAATTTTACTTTATTTGTATTGGTTCCACTTAGTCAAAGCTGGAAGAGAGACTAGATGAAGCCCTGATGGAGGGTAATTTCTCTGAAGCAGAAAAATTAAGTGATGAGATATCTGAACAAGAACTGAGTGTAAAGATTGCAGATGCCATTGAAGTAAGAGAATACAAGAAACAAAAAGAACTTGAAGAAAAACTGAAAAAATCTAAAAAGAAGAAGAAATTGCTTTGGGGATTTGAACAGAAAGAGAAGTGGGAGAGTAAAGGAAATATGTGAAGAGATATATCTAAAGTTCCGTATTAAAAAAACTTCAAACGTACGTGATGTGGATCTTAGTTGTTCTTTAAACATTGAACAGAATTGATTTTTTCCGTGTGTCTACGTGCGAGTGAAGCTCCACGAAGCAGCGTCTTTGGATCAAGCGATTAGAAAGAAACCATAGTGACGGAAATAAAACAAGAAATATTTGACAAGATATTTGACAGCACGAGAGCTCGAGAGAGAAAGACTTTGTTGTATTATTCAGACTTGCATAAAATTTCTTGTTACTGATCTCAGAATGGATTTTACCCGTCTTAAAATGGCTGTATTTTAATAAAGTGAAAGAAGCCATTATGATTCCGTGGGTTTGTGTCTGTCTGTCATTATGATTAACGGCAAACGATGTTGACCATTACTAGCCCACGTGAACAGCACTTAAACTTCACGTGCAGCCAATGTGATAGAACACTTTCTAGATAAAATTGTACATACACGTGAGCGGTAAAAAAAAAAATTTATTTAATGACACATAAGTTAAGCAGTTTAAAACGCAATTCCCTACCTACGCATCCTAAAAGCAATGAATAAATAGTTTCTAATTTTTTTAATTCCTTAGAATATATAATTTCTTAGTTTTATTCCATGCACACCAGGAAACAGGATACTTCACCTATTGACGTAAATCGCCTGACAGTCTGTTCTGCAAAAAGCTTTGTGACTCGTTCAGCCTCAAGGACTGTCAAAGGCCACCGGTGATCTATGTTGCAATTCATTCACGCTGATCGATATATCAACCTGTAGTTATCACCGAAGTTATTATCCCAATAAATACCCCAGTTCACCTTGTAGCAAAATGCAAACTCTAATTTTTGCCCACATGAGTTCTCTAAGTTCGGAACTGGTCGAGGAATATGAAAGAAGAACGTATCTGTGTCTTCTATACTAGCGCCTGGAATGAAGCTCGCCTTGCTCTCTTCAAACGTCTTCCAGGAATCGAAAGTGTATCTCACGGAGACGTCTTTCTCAAATGCTATATTCTTAACTTGTAGTCGACCGTAGACTCCATTCTCGTTGCAGTATGTTTTCTCTAAACATATATTATTCTTTTGAATGTTCTCTTCAAATTCTCTGGCTGGAATCGGTGATTTGTAGTTGAGTAAGGTCGAAATTTCCCCATTAGATTTAGCTTGTCTGAAGCCGATGAATGCCGTTGCCAATCTTCTCCATTGCTCTTTCTTGCTGGGAATATTGAGTGACGTTCTTTCCTTCGTGAAGAAAAAGGTTGAAACGAGCGCAAGTCCTTTCGTATCGGCAAAATGAACAGACTTTCTACTTCGTGTGATATTCAAGGTAGAGTCAACATTGGTGATATGCCTCGGTGAGCAGTTAACTGCAGTCATATTGATTTGGATGAATTTCTACTGCTTGGCTCTCCGCACTAGTTTGATTGACGGCAGTCTGCTGTGAAGTAACATCACTTTATAACTTCACTTTGTTTTGTTTCTTCTCGAAATGTTTAATATTTCTTGCCCAAGTTTGTTATATAACGATGTGTAATTATATAATGTCATTTGTGCCAATCACCAAGCGTTTTTTAAAGTGTTCCCGTGAAAGACACGCCGTGCGCATTTGCTCCCTGCCTGCTGGGATATTCAGACTAGCGTGGGAGGTTACTATGGTGAACTTCATATTTTATTGTTGCGAATATGGCTTTTCGGAATTAGTGTCACAACAGGTCAACTTTGGTATTGCATTCCCTCGTCAGGTCTGACCAATTACCAGTGGAGACACAGGCATTTGATTAATCATTAATCAGCCTCGTTGTAGTGTTTGTTAGTGTAGCCATACCGAACAAAAGGCAGTAATTCATATCATTCAAGAATTTGTTACCTGAAGAGAAAGGTTAAAAAAAATTGTGATCACATCTATTGGTGACAAAAAGCAGGAATTTGGAACTTCCAAAGATTCATATTTTCACGTTCTTAAATCTCAGGCGGGAAGATGTAAAGTTTCCCTGGGCGCTTATGATGCTTGACTAATGCTGAAAAACATATAAATCAATACAATATTGTCTTGTATTCTTAATATATTCTCCAACATGACAGATATAAATCAGTTTAATCGCACAAAATGTCAATAGCGGTCCCCCCTTAACTTAAGTGTTGTTGTACAACGTTTTCTTTAAAAACTGACCTCCCTCGCGACTCGAGTATCGCCGAGGGAAATTTCCATCATCAAAGTGTGTCCATGCTTCCCCTATTCCTTGTTTCTTTGTGCATAATACGCTGTAAATGACTGTCTATTTTTTGAGAAACTGCGCACGAAGTTAAAACTCTTGGATATAAGCAGATGTCAGATGTAAAATCAGTACTGTACTTGACTGATTTTCCGTTTAAACCGGATCTGGCTTCTTTGCCACTTATCCTATTTGTCCGATTTATTCAAACAAGCAGCTTAAAATTCGTAGCATTCCGGAACCGTTGTAACCAGAACCTTCTGAATGATTATTGAAGAGTGATTTGGAAACAGGGAATAAAGCTCCAAAACATTGCTGAAACGTTATCTAAATTGATATTTCTGAAATACCTCGTAAAATGAAGTTCATATTCGTGTAGGGACTTTGCCTTACTTCAAAATTAGTTTATCCCACCTTTTGCCCAAAGATGGAACCGTTTCGTTAAAGCCTTCATTCAAGACTAGCGAGTCATCAAGTCATAACGATCTACATTACGCATGAGCAGAAAACTTCATGCAGTAATAATTATTATCAACCTTAATTGCAATTTATATTTAGATCATAGGTATTAGATTTTGACGACTTTTTAATTCAATGGTTTCATTTTCCTACTTTCACTAGAATTGCAAAATATAACAAATACCTGCACGAATGTTAACATGTGGAAAAAGCTTTGGGTAGCTATATAGAATATTGGTTAATTATAGGAAAGTTTTTTACCAATGCAATCCTGCTGTGCGTGCGCTCAGTCTAATGTCAACTTTTATATATTCTATAAATATTGCTGTTTTTGGATTGCTTACAAGATGGAATCATGGAATCAGTATAATATGGGTCATAGGTTTGTTCATTCGCAGATTCACTGAATGTTCGCTTGTCCTTATACTATTATGAGTAACAGCTTCCGAATAACAACACGTGAATATTTATTTTACTCAGATCAAAACATGATAGCATCAACATGCACGCACGCTTTTAAAGCGTGCTATTTAAAGCTAGCTATGCGGCATTTTTGAACAATTAAAAAAATGATTTTCAATTAAGCTAGAAGTCGTTGAATGTTTTTTTATAGACCAATAATATACTCCATTTAGAATTACTCTGAAATTATCAGCGCCAACATTTCAAAACAACAGATTCCAGGCGTGTTTCTACGCACGAATATGTTCCACTTTTTCTGTTTTGAAATATTATATTTCTCAGCTGCTTTCACAACTGCTGATATAAAGAATCAGAGCCATAGTCTGTATAGATGTCAAAACAAACGCATTATACACAAGACCTTTTTTTAATCGGAATGCATTTCTTTGCTGCACATTGTTTAACGCATGTCGCAGTTGAATATAGTTCGCTGCATGCATCTGGGTTTTTTGCTTCTATTTCTAAGTCTTCTATTTCTTGAACTATTTCTTGAATAGATGCATGCTTTCACGCGGGTCTAATATTGTCGCTATGACAGCACATTTAAAGAATAAATGCATGGAAAATCTCAGACAAAACTTATCAGATGAAACGGAACTATTGTATGCGGTGATAACTAGTTCACTTTTAACTTGTATATAAAACTATATATGAATGATTCATTCTGTTTGATGCTCAGGTATAGAACTCTCTCTCTTCCCAATTCTGGCTCTCTGTGGAGTGCAAGCATTACAAGACTACGTGGATCTTTTTTTTTATCAAAAACACACGGCACAGCGCAACATGTTTTAGGATAACTAGAAGAGTTTGTAGAAATGCAGATAGAACTGAGTTAGATTGTGAGATATATTGGTTAGTTTTAGTTGTACAGTAAACTCATTCACCTGCTTTTATTTTTGTGTGCTGTACTGTACATGCATGTATGCATGCATGATGCGCAGTCATAGATAGCGCAAGTATATGCAAGCTTGATCTAGCCATTCTTATGTCTTGAATGTAATCAATGTATCCCCTCTTCTTTCATGTAAGGATATATGCTGGCGAATGACGTGGAACAAGAATTAAAGGAGAAACGACTATCATTAGCAAACATGTGAGTTATCTAACAGCAGACATTTTGGTCGTTATATACTGATATAAATTAATTTAGAATCCTAATGAACTTAATTGCAAAATGAACTGTGCTAAGAGACAGACTCATGCAGTGTAGATCACTCATTCACTAGCAAGCATCATTCATTACACCAGCAAGCATGGAAGAACTAGAAATCTTATTCGGTTATTTCATTTCGCTTTACTCGACCTTCCGACCAATTAGTTTACACAATTTTACAGTCTTCAAGATTGGATAAAGCGGCAGATGGCCTTGGAAGTTAAGGATGTCATAAAAACGAGATGTTAATAAAATAAGAAATACAGATGCGCATATCTTATATTAAAAAGCTAGCCTTTAATCAATTTTAACACGTCTTCCGGAGCTATATCGATGTTTTTCTGTCCACAATCTTCAAAGCACCAAACCTTATTCTCTAGTAGCAGGCCAGGTGAAGCGTAAATTGATGACATTTGTTGACTTTCAAAGCCGAGGGATTATAAAGGACTTACGCCAACTTTTCTTTTTGCTTATTTTATTTACAAAACTTTAAAAGGCTTTATGATTATGCAGTTACACTGGGAAATTTCAATTCTATACAAAGCTCTATCTACACAAATGATATCAACTTGAGTTCACACTCGGCTGTCGTATCTCATTCTTTCCGCGACATTCAACAAGAATTTTCAGTCGACGATCATTCTCTACAACATTACACATCTTCACTCACACAATAACTCTATATTATACTATCATTCATTGGGCAATAATCCTAGATATTTCTATCAGGAAGATCATTATGCAAAGACAGATCCGTTGTGAGTTTCGTAGTCTTGTAGTAGACCAAACGATAATTATCGCCGAAATTGTTGTCCCAAAATTCTTGACCACAAACCCGATAACGGATTGCAAATTCCATCTTGCGGTCAGTGCCAGTGGTTGTCTTTGGCGGACGAATATGGAAGAAGAAAGTGTCTGTGGTGTCAGTACTTGCTCCATAAATGTATTTCGCTGTTTCCTCTTTACTTGACTGCCATGCATCAAAGGTGTATCTCACAGATACGAGTTTCTCATACGCAATGTTCTTCACGCGAATTCGCCCGTAGATTCCAAACGTGTAGCAAATTATAATCTCAAAGCAAACGTTTGTCGTTTCAACTTTATTTTGAATCTCTTTATACGAGGTATTTAAAGTAAAGTTGAGCAATCTTGCTGCAGGTTGACCTGGTTCACTTTGCTGTTTGTTGTCTTTTATTCGTGTACAGGCTGACCTACGACGCGTCACAGGAGGCGATAGATCATCTTTCGTGAAGAAGAACGTCGATGTTAAAGCCAGACCTTTCGTATCTGCAAACGATACCGACTTGCATCGTCTTTTTTCCGTCTTCTTCTCAATCTTATGAGATATTTCTTTGTTGTTCACTTCAAGATCTTTCGAAAGCCTACAAAACACGTCCACAGAACTGACAACCATCACATAGCAAATTCCTGTATGACTGATGGGGATCTGTTTCTTTCTCTGTACGCAAAAACTGATCACTTGTGTCGTGATTGTCCTTCTGTACGAGAAAGCGCTCAGATCTTGGCAGACCCTTGCCTAACCTGTACTGCCAAGTTGCACGATTTTGACATCCGTATTTAATGTAATCCTCAAAATGTAAATAATACTCTGGCAAAGGTCTAAAATTTATTCATGACACGGCATTTAAATATGAGTGGGGATCGACAGTCCAACCAATCACATCCCAGAGACGTGTTCGCCCCCACGTATCCACGCATATATTGTTTTAGATTCTGGAAAGAAAAATAGCAAGAATCGTTGAGATGTTTCATCGATGAACGTCAATGCAGTTCAATGCCCCACAGGGGTCGTATTAACTTGATCGAGGCGCTATAAACACTGCAAAATTATCGATAATTTAGGAACAAAAATACATGCACGGCTTAATTTAACGTAAGTGCAAATGATTCAGGTTATATTTGAAGTACGCATTCGACCCCGTTTAGCGCTAGCAGTTCCCATACCTAAGCCGGGCGTACACGAAAGATATTGGCAGAGCTTTCGATCTTAATAGGGAAGTTAATTTGGAAACTCCGAGAAATCTTTTCACACAAAAGCAGCTGCCAGCCGCGTTCAATTAAATTATCTGCTCCTCAAAATAATCCGCACATATGACTAAAACCTGCTGATGCCATAACGTGTATACGCTAATAACTGCCGTGCAGCACAGCAGCAGCACTTTTAGCACACAAAATATCGTGTACTACTCTGGATTAAAGCCAAATCATGTTATTCGACAGTCAATATCAGCTATGTATGTACTCTTTCACTTCTTTACAACCGCAGCTCAGACTCTCAGTTGCAGCACGAAGAAGACGAGTGTCAGGTGCGAATAAAGAACGATGATTCAAGCTGCTTGGAGGGTCTTTCAAGGCGCATGTCGTACGACATGACTTGCAGGATATTTTTAATACCATGGAGAAAATATCACTCGGATGTACCATAAATATACAGGAAGTACTTATGATTATGACGAATATTACAAACGGAGTTTAGCGGCATGATGAGAGAATGATAGAACTTAAATAAGGAACCATTACGCTTTGACAAGTGAATTTGAATTATTTGATGCACCTGAGTCCTAACCTATTTTCGTATTGTGAGGATAGCGCTGCACCACAAAGAACTAGATCATCGCTGTTTCCCATTAAACAGCCAGGCCGGGCAGAGAGAAGACTTTTTTAACTTGTTATTGAGACGAACACCAGAAAGAAAAAACAAACTTAAGAATATAATCCTTTTTCTACTTGACATGTTGTCAAGAAGAAGTGGTCAATGAAATTCACGGCCCACATGCACGCACTGATCTGGTGCTGATTTCCCTTCAGAATTATAAGACTATAAGAAAGACTATATGTTCTGTAAAAAACGAAAATTCTCCTCTCATCTTGCCGCGTCGTGTCCGGTTTTTTTAGACTTTAAATGGTATGGTGATGATCTGATCATCTGTTGCATTACGTGCTTAGAAAACACTAACATATCCTCCTGTCACCGTTTATTCGCACCTGAATCAGCTTACATGAAGTCTTCCTGTAGAGATGGTCAGAAAAGTGATATCAGTGTAAAGTCTACTGCTGGGCACAAACCACTGAGCTACACGGCTAAAAACGATCAGGTTGATGCAACATTGATATGAACAACATCGAACAATGTTGTGCTGCCCACATTGTTCAGAGTTGTTATCAACTTGGAACAATATTGTTGGAACTGAATCGGGTGTAACAATATTGTTCCAAGTTGATAACAACTCTGAACAATATGGGCAGCACAACATTGTTCGATGTTGATGCAACAACCTGATGAGTTTTTAGCCGTGTATAATATAATTCCTGGAGGACCGGCTCGCGACCAAAAAGTGAAGCAAAAAACATGGCGGATTTCGGCGTTTGCTGACGCCAGATTGACGCCACTGGTTCCTATTCGCCATGGTAGTTACCACTGACCAAGGCTCAATTCTGAGCCCGCTACAAATGCACTGGTCCCCCCTGGTTTTTGTTAAAAATAGTATTCAGTTCTCATTATTATATTTTCCGAAAAAAATTTAAACGTCAGTCAATATTTTTGAACTGAAAACTTTTTGATGAGATATCGTTCGACGTTTTTGTGAAGATATGAAAGTCGTACACGTTACTTCTGTCAAAAACAGGAAACAAATACCAGAGTCCAGATATATAATAAAACTTCAAGAAATTTGCCGAAACGAAAATGCAGTTGACTGACAGGTAAATATATTATTCATAAATTTCATTTTTTCGATAAAATTTCACCATTTTTTTTCGTTAACAGTCTTTAGATAGATGTCGTTGCTTATATATTTTAATATTTGACCAAAAGACGGCGGCACGAGAAGTCAAATGTATAGTTTGAAGTTTGAACAACTACTAAAAAGATTACCCTATAGTTTGGAAGTAATTTATTTTACATATTACATACATATATTACAGGCATTTTCTTCCAAAGAACGCTAAAAGGTAACATAATGTAAATTCAAGTCCAAAGAAACAGAGGCTAAGAATCATTGGGAGGATGAAGATGTGCAATTTCAACCAAGGGTAGCCTGCCTATTTGTTTAGCTGGATTTCATTAGCCAGAAGAAATAGTTTTTCTGTACTGAACTATATCAGCATATATCATGTATATTGATGAGCTTATTAGCTTATACCTATAAGGATGAACTATTAAATTGAAAGCTTCCAGGAGTCAGCACCATGCAGTGGTCAACACTATAATTGTCTGACTGCACAGGCTATGCTCTCAGGGCCATAGCTAGACCGCTTAATTGGGGGGGTGTATATTTATATATTCATGTTTATATACCATAGGAACAATAGCATACAAAAGAAATCATTCGGGCATACGACGAATATATGAATATGCACCCCCCCAATTAAGCTTCTAGCTATGGCCCTGTATGCTCTTTCCATGGTATAAAACCAATAATTATGGCCCCTGTGCAGGTCATATGCTTTTCTATATTTGCAAATGATAATGCAGAGGCTGCATTAAGGAAGATTAGAACCAGGGATGTTTATAGGCCAAGATAGCCATGGTAATTATTATTGATTATATGCAAAAGGGGCTAACCAGCTTCTGTCAGATTAGCCTGCAATGACTGGAAAGGTTCTTTGGAAATGAAATAAACAAAGGCTTACCAATTGTAATATTTATTTTCTTTTAATAAAACATTGTAAGTTGTAAAAATAATAAAACAGTTTCTGTATTTAAGAATGTGTGTAGTTCATGGGTATAATAGTATGGTTGTCTGAATTTAATTCTCCAGAATTTTGCATAACATGCCTCCACTTGATCTACCAAACCCTATGTTATGCCTGCAAAAAGAAAGATATGTCAGAGATTAACTGTATGTATAATACACCCTGTAAGTGTTGACAAAATTAGTACAGATAATTTAGTGTCAGCCACTGAGGCCATGATGATGCCTCAGTTGGAAGTGTGAGTGAATTTAGGCAAGTTATTCTCAGACCTTGCTCCTTCAGATTATATTTTTGTTCCTATTGCATCCTTTATATACTTTGATCTAATATATCTTGTATGATTTTTCATGAAAAGATGGGCTATAGACACATTGATGATTGATCTGGTTAGACCTTAGTTTTGGCTCAACTACATGGATTTAAATCAGTGTAAAATATAATGGATAAACAAATATTAATAGAAATATGTTTAGTTAAACAAATTAAATGTTAGTAAATTTATCATTTCTGTTTTCAGATCTTTCATAGCCGTCGAACTACGAAGCTATATTTTTTACTTGACGTTCAGAGTTCAAACATCAAAATTGCGAAAGCCTTTTTAAAACTCTTACCTGAGTGCAAATCGCCAAAAATTTCCTCTTTAATGAGTAAATTGCGGTAGGAACAAGCAGAGCAAATAGCTGCTTCTTTGTTGAAGTTGAAAAGAACCAGCAAAAAAGGAAAAAAAATCATGTTTTTGTTCAAAAACAAAAAATTTCGTAAAAACAAAATCCTGTTTTTATCGAAAACCAGGAGGGTGCTCGCATTTTTTCATGCTTTGGATCGCGGTTGGTCAGTGGTAACTACCATTGCAAATAAGAACCAGTGGCGTCAATCTGGCGTCAGCAAAGGCCAAAATCCGCCATGTTTTTTGCTTCACTTTTTGTATTTCAAAACATTAGGAGCCGGTCCTCCAGGAATTATATTATAGCTCAGTGGCACAAACCCGCAGCAAAACACGTACACCTCGACGTCCAACTGTGGCAAAACACTCATGCACGATTATCTACGCCTCCATGTCACGTTTTCTGCATCTGAGGGATTTCGAAAGGTGAGCCTACGCTAATGGTAAGGAAATCATTACGATAGTTCGGGTAGGACTAGTCTCGCACCTGGGCTTTCTGCCTGTTTTTCGCCTACACATACAGCTACGGCTTTCATCAAACCAACAACCAAATCAGGATGATTTTAATAGGTGATTTGTAGAGGCGAACCTTAACAATGACTTGGTCAGGTAAATTGTTCATACTGAACAGTGAAAAGATTCTTTGTTGCATTCAAGAATAACTATTTCAGATTTGCACTTAAGATTGTATCTTCATTATCATCCCAATCATATTTTTTTGCAGTATGTAGCTCTGGAAGCCCAGACCCAGCTGGTGTAGCTATTCTTTGGACTGAATGTAGTTCTAGTGTTCGATAAGCCAGGACTATTTTTACTCACATAAACAACTTTATTGAACCTCGAAACAAAAACAGTTTAATTTAGACAAATGTAATTGCAGGAACGGTTAATGGGTTTATTCCATTTTTTTATGATGTTATCGATATAATTTAACTTCTGACGTACATAAGCAGACTCGTCTGTCTGTCGGCTAAATTTAGGAGCTCAATATCCGTGCGGTTTCTGTTCTTTTCATCCCCGGCAATTCAGAATCTTTCATTTCAATTATCGGGAAGCAAGCTTATGCGTCAATTACGATTGCCTGACTGACGTTAAAAGCGACAAGACGTGCGAGAGATCACGACTGTTTTATCAGGCTATCGCAGTGTATTATAGAATAAAGTATTCATTTTAATAAAGAGTGGTGTTATGGAAAGACTTGATTTAGTTTAGACATTTCGGGGTTAACCTCCAGGCGTTTATCAGGCAATTAATTTTAATTGAGGAGGGGGGGGTTGCTGCCCAATTTTTAATCGGGGGCGTCTTTGTCACGCAGGCTGGCAGACTGCAAGTAGGGAGTGTCCACGTTCACTCAGTTTTCCCAGCAGTATAGGATGTGCAGAAGGTCTAGCGCAGTCGTATGCATCTCTCCGCAAGTATGTTTTATTCGTAGTCTTCTTGAGTGTAAAACAGAGAGAAATAGGTCTAAAGGCCTAGTGTCTAGGCTGGGGACTGGGTACGACGACAGACACGCTGTGCCTGTGGTTTAACCTGGAATTATTAATATTGTTTTACCTCAGATGTATCTCACATAATAGTTGGTCTTATTTTTCACTTAATATAACTGAACGTTTTATGAATACTTTACATTTATAATACATTGATCTGATAAGGCAATATTACACACCAAAGTAAACTTTGATATGAACCGTAATATGAAAAGATCTTGCTGGTAACTGATCATGCAGTAGTGGTGTTTCAATGGTACTAATCAATGGTATACTGGCTGGAAGGAGAGTTTCTACATCCCCAATTTAGTTCTATGGCCATCACAGAGGAGAGATGATACAGAGATGTAAAGAAAATGTTCTGAAAGAAAGAAAATTCCTGAGTGACTCAAGGGTGAGTGACTCGTGTAGTATGCTAGTTTCTCGCATAGATGGTTGTTCAACACAACAGCAGCCAAAATATTGGACACCAGCATCAAATATTGGTTATTGGTTAGTGCATTACATCTCTGCATCATCTCTACTCTGTCCCCACTATTATTATTATTGAGAAAGCTCTCAGAAAAGATATAAGCTTATAATTATAATATGTTCCATATAATAAATGTTTCTGAGTCTTCAACAAATGTTTCTACCCAATGCCTTCCTGTAGAGAACTGGCAAGAACACAATGAAAGTTCACTTGTGATATTATTATTCCTTAACTATGACAACCTTTTGTACTCCTCAGAAGCATTGCTCTTACAATAAGACTCTTAAATATATCATCAATATATACATTTATTACCAATGTTCATCAACTTATGTGTTTGGGTTTGGTATCAATACTTGTTCAGCAGCTGTCACTTGTGACTGAAGAGCTGCCGTTGTCACTGGTACCTGCATATTGGCCACTGCAAGTGGTTGACTAGAAGTTAATAATATAACAGAGTTAAGCATTTAGGAAATAATTTCATTTATAAAGGTTAATAATATATCTCATTTAGCATTCATCAAGCTAACTGTCACATGAAACAGAACCAACTTCATACCTTTCTGTTCTGTTCTGATTTGTTAGATCAATTGTCGAGGGATCATTATGTAAGCCGGACATATTCAAAAGGTCACCAGGTTTTGTAACAAACCTACCACCATCACTTCTCTTGCGACGACATGCATGCATGTGTCGAGACTCATGCAAATATTTCTAGGAAAATGAGTGTAAGTATTTTGAGTGTCAAAATACAAGATAACTAGATAAGATGGGCAGTTAGGGCAATATTTTTGAGGCATAACTCTGTCAACCACACTATGCAAGATTAATTAGCAAAAAAACTAAAGTACCTTTCTTTGTTTTGGGATTTTGCCTTCCGCTTCGAGTTTCGCTCTTGCCTGACGACGTTTTATAATTCTGTGATACTGCTTGGCATTTACGTACAAAGGCTCATCTAAGGTTTCCATAGCAACCGGCAGTCGCTGTGCGGCAAGGGGCTAAATGTATGAAAATTTAAAATCATGTAATTGCTACCATTGGGAGTGGTCATTATACATAGTCTATAATCTAACCATTCAATTTGTTCACATTTATGACTGCTGTTTTTATTAAAGAATAATATGCTGTCTGTGCATCTAAAACGGTATTGGTTTGCTATGCTTCTGAATGAATTATGAACTAGGGTTTGTGTCCAAAACATATGGCAAAATTTGATCAATTTTTAAATTATTGGGGTCTCCATTGATAAGTAGAAAAGAATGCAAAAAACTGTTATGCTCTTGTATACTAAGTATACTAAAATACTAAGTGTCATTCTAGACAAGGATGGGAAAAAATAATAGCATTACAATGTGGAAAAATCTTCATTTGGTTGAAAGTGAAACATGATGTGAAATAAATAATAGGGGCTTATTCGAATATTAATTAAGAATTTATGCCAAAGGCATAAAATTCATGTCAAAATGAAAGCATTTTACCAGCTTTTTAACCCTAAAATTTCGCCCAGCTTATGATAAAAAGAGTTTATATTTGTAGGGAATCTTAGGCGTTTTTAAACGATGGCAAAATGTGTATTTGTTCAGCTGGCATTTCATATATAAAGCCCGCACAGCGAACGCCAAGAGAATTTTCATGGCCGCGATAAACATGTCTGAAAATACAATAAATGGAACTCAAACTTCGGCGATAAAGGGGATGTGTTTTTGTAATTCGCTCTCCTTGACACAAAACCTTTTATATTTATCGCTTGATGAGAGAAAAACAAAGATTATCCAATGAAGATGAAGAAGATCTTGGATTGGTACATTTCACACAAGGCGACATTCGACCAATGAGCGAACATTGAAAGAGAAGCTCATGTCTGGATTGGTTCTCTCATTTTGGTTAAAATTCTTTAACCTGTTCAATGTTTTCATTACAATTCAATAGAAACACAATGTTTAACCGTTTTACGCTAAAAAAAGCGATCAAACCGTAGTAGATTCTTGTAGAAAAGAGGCTGTCGCTTGGACGCGAAAGCGGATGATATCTTCCGCGTCGAAGTTCTCATGCAGGCCTTTGTCTCAAGGGATAGTTTTTGGCAGAATTTAAATGGTAATAACGTTGTTTTTACTCACAACTGTCAGCTGTGGGTTGCCATTTGGGAGAGCGCTTGTTGTTAATGTTCCAGTCACAGGATTGTATTCAACAGAATTCGCAACAAAGCGTTGATCGGGAGCAAACATTTGTATGTGTTGTGCTTGACTTGGATCCACAATGTACGTGAGGCTTTTGTTTTGGTCTTGTGCGATAAGATTCACGGCTGTAGGATGGCTCACAGTTGTTGTCTGTGCCGTCGCCGCTACAGTGCCTTGCTGGGCAAAGTTGATCTGAGGAGAAGATGCGGTGACTGTCTCCATGTTTTGTAGTTTTTCGAAGTTTTTATACGAAGCGCGGTGGGAGCAAATTTTCTTTCGAAGCCAATTACTAAATGAGCGTCATCAAAATTACCAAAACAAAGAAAAAATTACCAAATTTTGTGGCAATAAAAATTACCCGTAAATCCAGGAATTTATGGTAAAATTCGACTATGAAGCATTTTTTAGCCTTTATAATGTTCAACAATACTAACTTTATTTGCATGAGTTTTGACAATATTTTAACCAAAAGTCTTGCTTGTTATCCCACCCACCTTAAGGCATGGGATTCCACTACTTAGGGCAGTGGGTCTTGCTATTATGACTATCTCTAAGTGTATCCTTAAAGATTATCCTTTATGAATAATTCTGTTTACTATCATACTATCATAGAAATATTTCTCTAAGTTAAAATTAATATATAACCACAAAGGAAAGTTTCTGTTTTTTTATCGATTTATTGATATTCACATTTTTTCAAACTATTTTACATAATTTTGCACAAATGTACCAATAATCACTCCCATCCTTCACCGCAAAGGTTACTATGAGTGTCCAGCTGTATTTTGTAGTGTCTTCTTTTGAAATAAAATACAATATAAAGTGTGTTGTATCGTCTTATATACATCAGAGGAAATATATAGTTAGTTGACATAATCCAATGGTCGGTTGAACCCTCCTCTACGGTTCATATACTGTCTGGAAATAGAAAATATAGAGGTTTACATTCAGTACCAGTAAAGGCTTGAGTAAATGTTCAGTTTCCATTTGTGATTTTTACCTGTATTTTCTTGGTTTAGTTATGTTCACATAGCTTGCATTTGCAGCTCCTGATGTGAATTTTCCCTGAATATTTAAGGATTGAGTTGAAATCAAATACGAAATGTTGAAAGTAATTTTAAAATAATTTGCTACATCATACTTTAGTTGTATCAAAATTAGAGAATCCCATGATCTTTTTCATCTCGAGACTTTCTTTGTCATCTGGCTCGGCAGCTTCTGAAGTGCAAGTTAAAGGGAAGTGTAATAGTAAATCCAATAGCCAAATATTTCTAGAAATGATTTGATATTATTGCACACCTTCCACATCCATTTCAGCAGGACCTTTTTCGTCTTTATCACTGGAATGGGAAACACTCTGATTCCAAACATAGCTGGGATATATTTTATGGAATATTTGGGAAAAATAAGTACACATTACCGTGGTTTATCCCTTCTATCTCCGTCGTCTTGTGGTCGGCTAAAGAAGCAGGTTGACAAGGAATTGAACAACTGAAGTAAAAATTTCCCAGCAAGAAAATTGTCTAGCACTAGTTTATGAAAGGATATACTAATATAAAATGAGTCTGGCTGACCTGCTGTGAGAAGGTTTTCTTCGTGGTGATCTGGATCTAAAGTAGTAGTTTATATTTAGTTGGAAAGAAATCACATGGTAACAAAGTGTTAAGTATAATGGACCAAGCACCTTGGTCTTCTTGGAGACCGGGACCTTCGCCTTGGGGATCTTGATCGATGTCTTCTAGGTGGTGAGCGACTGCGTCGTCGTTCTACATAAATCAGACTTCATTAATTGCAGTTATGAAAAATGGTTGGAATATGGAATGTTGACAAGAGTACCAAAATCATCACGTCTTCTGTCCTTGTCTCTTGGTGGATCTTTGGCATCTCTCTCTCGAGAGTGAGATCTCTTTCTTTCAACTATGTTGATAGAGAAAGCATTCATAATAAATATGCTCATATATACTCATAAGAATGCATCCGTATTATGTAAGGTGAAGGCTGACAGCAAAGTTGGACGCACAGTTATTCAAGATGTTAACGCAAACTTATGATAAAGTGGAGATGACTTGACAAAATGGAAAGTCATTTTCATCACCCTAATTATGAAACATGAAAAATAACGACATGTTGACTTTTCGCAGCCTTTTCTTTAACTATTACCTCTCTTAGAGTCCGGTGAACGACTACGACTTCTGCTGCGAACCATTTCAATAAATAAAAAACAATTTTTTGGTCAAAAATTAAGACTAACACACGCTTTTATAGTGTGCCTGTTGTTGTGACTTGACTGGTTCCCAGGCCCAGGACTGCCGCTCGGATTAACCTCTGGAGGATCTAAAATACCCCACGTTCCCCCACGTCTCAAAGTTAGGTACATCCCTCCCTTCGGGCTACCTAGGGGTGAAGGTGCGGTGCGGTGGGGGTGCGTGAAAATACGGTGAAGGTTTAGGGCTGTTTATAACGATCTGTTTTCTTACCCTGTTCTCGTTTTTTTGGTCGCCGTAATTGCATCCAGAAATTGAAACTTTACGTATATCAAGATTTGAAACAAATTTACTTAGCCTTCAAAATGCTGCGTTTTAAATTAGCAAGAAATTGCCAGGACTATTGTCAGTATTATATCTTTAAGTTACGCACATAAGTTATGTTACAGTAAATATTTAAATAACATTACGTTCGTCTACTTGACAAAGGGCTTGACAGTAATTCTCTGCGTCCATAATTTGGACTAAAGGCTAAAGATTTACGAAAATACAGTGGAGTAATATTGTCTGGATGTGTTCTAGGAATTTGACTTCTAGAATTCAGTGATGAATTGAGTGAAACATCGTCTTTTGTTTTCCTTGTAAGGTGAGGAAAATGTAGTTCTTTCTGTGGCAATGAACGAACACTGCTGTTCATTGAACTGCTGCCGTGACCATCTCTCAAATGTCTCTGAGCAGTTGGTGGTCTACTAACAGGGGTGGTATAGTCCTCTCTGTGTGGTCTATATTGTTCTCTGAACACTGGAGCACCTCTCTGCTGATGAGCCCGTGAATTTGGATCAATTCTCCTCAACACCTGCGCACCACTTGGAGGTCTTGGTGTTAACTGAGTATGTTGCAGTTGCGATTGTCTACTAGTGGTTCTTTGCATTGGTGGGCCTCTAGTTGCACTGAGTTTCTGATACTGTGGCGACATCATAGCAGGACGAATCATGTCTAAATATAGCTTGTGATTCACTCTCCTTCTTTTATCATTCTTGGCATCACCTGCCGAGGATCTTGGTAGAGTGTTAGCCTTTGTTTGTCTTGCAGGGAGATGATAGTCCATGGGAGTTCTGAGACGCGATGGAACCGTCATTCCATACTTTGGATCACGAGCAGGAGTTTGGTGAAGTAAACTCATGTATAAGTTTTGTTTTGTTTTCTGTTGTTTAGGGATGATACCATTCGATAGGGTACTCCTCTGATGCGATGAGTTAAGAGTTGATGAAGATTGTGTAGGTTTTTTAAGCACAACATAGGCACTTCTTGGTCGTGCTTGTCTGGCATAGTTGCTATGGAGGTAATCATTATGTGCTATGGTCTGTTCTTTAGGTTTCTTTTCCAATATTCGAATTGCAGTTGCAAGCAGTGAAAGTGGTTGTTTCTTTGGGACCAGTTGCAAGTCATCTGGAAGCAACATTGGACAAATTGTTTTCAGTAAAGTATAAGTAAGAAATAAGACTTGTGCTTCTAGGTAACATCAGACAAACCTGGAAAGGGTTTTTCATCACCATCATCATATTTCACTACTTTGTCAAACTTCACCTCAATTGGTTCAGAAGGTTTGTATTTCTTGGCAGCTGCATAGTTAATACTTGCTGTTGCACCCATTTCTGCTTCCTCACAACAGAATCTGTTAAAATCTATTAAATATTTCAATTGATTTAAACCAGAAATGTAATTCTGCTTATTTAAACTATCTACTTTCCTTAATCTTATGTCCCTAACAACCAAAGTAATACCCTAAGCCTGTAAATATTATTGCAATATAGGCGACAAGGAAGAATGCTTTCATAAACTGAATGTATAAAGCTTAATTTGTAACATGATGTAACAAATTAGAACGCACGAAGTTGCAATTACCGCAGGTGTTGTAACAGATTTCGTTGAATGTCTTTTTGCTGAACACCTAATGTTTGTTTACAGAACGCGTTCTAAAAAAGTGTACTTAGTTCAACTTTAGCATTAAATTACGAATAAAAATGATAAGAAATGATTTGAATAACTATCTATAATTGTAAGACAAAACGTTTGACGCGTGACTGTTAAATCAGTGAAACATTCCGACGTGACGCTTCTAGTTAGCAACAGTGATTACACGCCAAACAACACCAAGGCTATACAAACTACCGGCAAATTTATACAACACTGCGTTTTCTACTGAAGTTTGTACTTTTTCTTCGCGATAAACTTGAGAAAACTCTTAGTTTACTTACCGCTTCCTCTCAGGGATGATATAACATGGATCGGTTGAGCAATTAATGAAAAACAATCATTTTAGTTCGATACAAATCCGCAATCTTTTGTTGTCTACAAACGCGCAAAGAACATGACCTTTCGCATGCAACATCGGTCAAAAATGTCGCGACATTTTGCAGACGCAACTGGAAATTCAGGGATTAATTTATCAATGACTGCGCTGCATGGCCTGCATGCATATGCTTGGAAGAATCTCTTATTTTTTGCAAACTTTTATTATTTTGCAAAGCTTACAACTATTAGTGTTTTGTGTTTACTAGAAAAAAAGTTTTGCACATTTTTGTCCGGAAATTTTTGCCGGTTGTGCTCCGAGCTGGTGACTGGAACGAGTGTTTATAAATAGACATTTCAGTAACATTTGAAGTTGCTCGTGCTTGAGGGGAAGTTGTTTGTCGAGGTATTCGTTGTTTTCTTTGTTTTTTATGGTTAAAATAGCAATCTAAGGAACTTGTTTTGATCGCAGAAGATCCCCAAGACATCTCGGAATCATGTTTGACCCAGATGATGGTAAGTTACCGTTGAAATATATATTTTATATGATTGCAATAAGGCTGCACTAGTCAGTAGCAAATTATGGTTGAAAAGAACAGTTTTAGGTACTTTTGGTGCCTGGAAAACATCTGAGTGCTTCGTTGGCTGTTTTGTTACGGTATATTTTCGAGTAGATATCTTTCACTGCAGCTATTAAAAAGTGAAGTGATAGATTTTACCCAGTTTTTTTATGTAACTTCAGATGGTGCATATGGTGATGAAGAGGGTGAAGAAATTACCCCAGATTTATGGCAGGAGGCATGTTGGATTGTCATCAGCTCATATTTTGAGGAGAAAGGCCTGGTCAGGCAACAACTTGATTCATTTGATGAGTTCATTCAGATGTCAGTTCAGAGAATTGTTGAGGATTCACCCGAGATTGAGTTGCAAGCGGAATCACAACATATGACTTCAGATATGGAAGAACCTGTAAGTTTATTGTCTGCTAGGGTAACAAATCTGACTGTTTAATGATTTATTGTGCATTTTATTAGGCAAATCTTCCTTGTCCTAATCATTTAGGCCCTTTACCAGTTACTTGAACATCATGATTATTTGTATTTTAGCCAAAGTACACCTTGAAGTTTGAGCAAATTTACCTTTCAAAGCCAACTCACTGGGAGAAAGATGGTGCTCCCACAGCTATGATGCCTAATGAAGCAAGACTTCGAAATCTGACGTAAGTTGGAAAACTAATCATGACCCTAGTGTGATATTTTATCATTAAAATCATGTCCTGGGATCAACTTCAGAGGATGCGAGAGTTTTCTTTCATTTCAATAATTTAGGTACTCTGCTCCGCTGTATGTTGATATTACAAAGACAATGCATAAGGAAGGCCAGGAACCTCAAGTCCAAGAAAATGGCAAAACATTTATTGGGAAAATCCCAATCATGCTTCGTTCTACGTACTGTTTGCTAAGTAACCTCTTAGATCGTGATTTGACAGAACTTAATGAATGTCCATTAGACCCTGGTGGTTATTTCATTATTAATGGATCTGAGAAGGTTCTGATAGCTCAAGAAAAGATGGCGACGAATACTGTTTATGTGTTCGCAAAGAAAGACTCGAAGTACTCCTACACTGCGGAAATTCGGTCATGTATTGAACATTCGTCTCGGCCAACAAGCACAATGTGGGTGTCTATGCTGGCTAAAGGAAGCCAGGGTGGAAAGAAGAGTGCTATTGGTCAACGTATTATTGCAACATTGCCTTACATCAAACAGGAAATTCCAGTTATGATCGTGTTCCGAGCTCTGGGTTTTGTCGCAGATCGTGACATTTTGGAGCATATTATTTATGATTTTGAAGATCAAGAAATGATGGAATTGGTAAGTACTTGTTGCTATGCTGACACACATGTGACCTCAGTGCAAATACTGTAAGCATTTATTGAATACCATACATTTTGCAACACTGCATGTTTGTGACCAGATAACATGGTTAACTTGCATTACAAAGTCATGGTAAAAAAACTATAATTTTAAACTTGATTTTTTTTCAGGTGAAGCCATCCTTGGATGAGGCATTTGTTGTCCAAGAACAAAACGTTGCACTCAACTTTATTGGAACTCGTGGAGCAAGACCAGGGGTGACCAAAGAAAGACGTATCAAATATGCGCGCGAAATTCTTCAGAAGGAAATGCTTCCCCACGTTGGTGTGAGTGACTTCTGTGAGACAAAGAAAGCTTATTTTCTTGGGTAAGAAATAACATGAAACTTCAACCAACGTAACAGCGACAGCCATGTCCTGATATGATGGTTATTTATATTTGTTTTCAGGTACATGGTCCATCGTTTGTTGCTGGCATCTTTGGGAAGAAGGGAGCTTGATGATCGTGATCATTATGGCAACAAGAGACTGGATCTTGCTGGACCACTTTTGGCTTTTCTTTTCCGAGGGTAAGCTACCATAAACCTGCTTCATGCAAATATAGATCACGCAAGTGTTCCACTGATATACAATTCTTACAATTCCATCTCTTTTTCCTGCAGTTTATTTCGTAATCTCATGAAAGAAGTTCGTCTTTATGCTCAAAAGTTCATTGATAAAGGCAAAGACTTTAATTTGGAGTTGGCTATTAAAACCAAGACGATTACAGATGGTCTGAAATACTCCCTTGCGACAGGAAATTGGGGTGATCAGAAGAAAGCCCACCAAACGAGAGCTGGAGTATCTCAGGTCTTGAATCGTCTCACCTTTGCGTCAACGTTATCCCATTTGAGGCGTCTTAACTCACCTATTGGTCGAGAAGGCAAACTTGCAAGACCTCGTCAGTTGCATAACACTCATTGGGGTATGATATGCCCAGCCGAGACCCCAGAAGGCCATGCTGTGGGACTGGTGAAGAATCTAGCCTTGATGGCGTATATATCAGTCGGTTCTCAGCCCAGTCCTATCTTGGAGTTCTTGGAAGAATGGACCATGGAGAATCTGGAGGAAATTACACCATCTGCAATTCATAAGTAAGCTAAGTGTTAGTTAGTTTTATTACTGAGGTTGTTTTCCAACCAGATTCCGTTGTGTATTTTAGTGCTACCAAGATCTTTGTGAATGGATGCTGGGTTGGAATCCATCGAGATCCTGATCAACTTATGTCAACTTTACGAAAACTGCGACGACAGATGGACATCGTTGTGTCAGAGGTAAAGAACGATTCAGAATATTTTTCTTGTCTTGCCATCAAGGTGTTCATCCACACAACTGGATCTAGTTGTTTATCGTCTCATTTCTCATCGTTCAATTAGGTTTCAATGGTACGCGATTTCCGAGAAAAGGAGATTCGAATTTACACCGACGCTGGTCGTATCTGTCGACCTCTATTGATCGTTGAGAACCAGAAACTGCTTTTGAAGAAGCAACATATAGAAATGTTGAAAGAAAGAGAGTACAACGAATATGGGTAGGTATTACGTCATCATAATACGTCATCATATGACGTGTCATCACATTACATCATCGTTATATTTCGTATTCAGGTGGCAAGACTTGGTAGCCAATGGCGTTGTGGAATATATTGATGTGAACGAGGAGGAATCAGTGATGGTTGCCATGACGCCAGAAGATTTGATTGACAAAGGCGTGATTTATTGTTCAACCTACACTCATTGTGAAATCCATCCCTCAATGATCCTTGGTGTCTGTGCTTCAATTATACCATTTCCAGATCACAATCAGGTGCGTTTTTCTATGAGTTTAGCTCAACTCATACCAGAACTTCACAAATGAAACGATAATTATTTCTCTCAGTCTCCTCGTAACACATACCAGTCCGCTATGGGTAAACAAGCCATGGGAGTGTACATCACGAACTTCCATGTACGTATGGATACACTTGCACATGTCCTCTACTATCCACAAAAGCCGCTGGTTACCACTCGTTCTATGGAGTATCTTCGTTTCAGAGAGTTGCCCGCTGGTAAGAACTGCCTGAACTGTTATTATTCAAAGATGATTGGTAGCATAAACAAAATTAAAATTAAAGTGGTGATTGTTTCCAAGGTATTAACGCTATTGTTGCAATCGCCTCTTACACTGGGTACAATCAAGAAGATTCTGTCATCATGAATGCTTCGGGAATTGACCGTGGTTTGTACAGGTACGAAATGCAGTCAAACGTATGCCTTATGCCGGGTTTGTTGTGTGACATCGTAATATTTCGTCCTAGGTCCGTGTTTTATCGTTCTTATCGCGAACAAGAATCTAAGAAGGGTTTGGAGTCGGAAGAACTGTTTGAAAGACCTTCCAGGGAGGAATGTCAAGGTTTGTAACAATGTTGAATGCAGGTACTGAAGTTTTCACTGCTTTCAAAACGTTGTTTTCATTCGTACTTTAGGCATGCGCAATGCAATCTACGACAAGCTTGACGACGACGGACTTATCGCCCCAGGAACACGCGTCAGCGGTGATGATGTTGTCATTGGTAAAACTATGACACTTCCAGAAATTGAGGACGAGGTGAGATATTTCTGTCTATTTTCCTGGAACGTTCAACGTCAGAATACCTAGTATATGACAATACCTACATAACATAAAACTCCTTTTTGATAATTGGATAAACGTTTTTTTTCTGTTATTTTACACAGTTTCAAAGCAGCAACAGACGTTTCACGAAGAAAGATGCCAGTACGTTTCTGAGAGCGAGCGAAACTGGCATTGTAGATCAAGTAATTATCGTTTTTTTGTTCTACGCATTTTGTATTTAAAGAATTGATTAAAACTAGAAAGAGATTGTAATTTCTCCTTCGTTTAAATCCAGGTTCTTGTCACAATAAACCAAGATGGTAACAAGTTTACAAAAGTCAAGGTACGCTAATTCTTAATTACCTTAAACCGGCCTCATGTGTCTCTCATCTTCCATCATTTCTTCTGATTCATCCTTCATTTTATCAGGTTCGGTCCGTACGGGTTCCTCAGATTGGGGATAAGTTTGCCAGTCGTCATGGACAAAAGGGAACATGCGGGATAACCTACAGACAAGAGGTGGGTTGATAATGTTGGACAATCGCTTGATAATGATCATTTTAAATACGATTTTTATTTTTTTTTTCAATCTTAGGACATGCCATTCACCTGTGAAGGAATTACACCTGATGTCATTATAAATCCTCACGCCATCCCAAGTCGTATGACAATCGGTCATTTGATTGAATGCCTTCAGGGAAAGGTAAGCAATGGCTACAAAGTTCTCACGTCGACATGGGTCACTATATAGATTGAGTATATTTTGCGTTATTTTGTAGGTCTCGGCCAATAAAGGAGAGATTGGAGATGCTACGCCATTTAATGATGCTGTAAATGTACAGAAAATCTCCCAGCTTCTTGCTGAGTATGGCTACCATTTGAGAGGAAATGAGGTGAAATATTCTGCATTTAAAAAGGCTTTTTATCATACATACATTGGCTTCGAATTTTCAAACTTTGTGAGGGTGGCAAGAGGCGAGAATCGCTTCCAGGCTTGAGACTCATGGGTCTTGTTGTTTGTGTTAAGGTTCTATACAACGGTTTTACTGGTAGGAAAATGAACGCTCAAGTGTTCATTGGACCAACATATTATCAGCGTCTCAAACACATGGTGGATGACAAGATTCATTCTCGAGCAAGAGGACCCTTGCAGATACTCACGAGACAACCCATGGAGGGTAGATCACGGTAGGTTGAGATGTTCGGTTGAGGAAACATTTTATCCATGTTTCTTCCCGTGAGCTTGCAGAACGCTGCACTACAAGAGTTGATTGTGTTACTCCAAGGAGTTTGGTTTATGATTCATGCATGCTGTAGTACCACTGGACCAAAGAATGACAAGATTTTAATGGTATTATTGAATATTTTAGCGATGGTGGTTTGCGTTTTGGTGAAATGGAACGGGATTGTCAAATCTCTCATGGCGCAGCTCAGTTTCTTAATGAACGTTTGTTTGAATGTTCAGATGCATACAGCTGCCATGTTTGTGATCTTTGCGGTCTGATTGCCATCGCAAATCTCAGAAATAACACATACGAGTGCCGTGGATGCAAAAACAAGACACAGGTAAAAATACCATTCTCACGACAAAAACACTCACCCCAGGATAGAAGAGAGCTGAAGTATCAATTCTTTAACTTTATTTTTACGTGTTTTGTTTAGATTTCTCGTATTCGTATTCCTTATGCGGCAAAGTTGCTCTACCAGGAGCTCATGTCAATGTCAATCTCTCCACGTATGATGACTGTGGAGCCTGTAAAATAAATTTAGACTTGTTGTAATCACCAGTAACTTGTTTTATACCACCAGAGACCCACAAGTCTCTCAAAAAACATTCTCAGAAAACCTTTCGTTTGACAGTAATTCGGTAGTTTTACAAATTCTTCAACAGGTTTACTTTATGAAAGGTTTGTTGGGGAAACGTTGCAATAACTGAAATAGATATATCTAACAAACAACACTATAACCTTTTTAGCATATTTGTTGAGAATTTATGTAAAAAACAAGTTGTCCTTGTCTTTTGGATTAGAGGTTCAGTTTTGACAGATTACTCACGAGTTAGGCTCTGTTGGGATTAGATCAGTGATTTTATATAGGATTACGGATTATTTTTTATTCCGAAAGAGGATTACAGAACAATAGGGTAGTATTTTGTATTTTAATTTTGTTATGGTTGATTTCTTGTGACATGCAATGTAGATGTTTTCATTTCTGGGGTATATTTGTACTCCTACCAGACAAATATTGGCAATTTTTGTTGTAAAAATAATTCGAGTGCGAAATTTGATTGCCCTCTAAAGGCTATGTTGGGTTCTAATAAAAAAATCGAAACCTAAAACCATCTCTATATAAACGTGTTTTCGTTCACGCAGAGACGTATTAAATATAAATTTGTGAAAGTGAAAATTACCTACAATTTATGGATCACAACCAAAATAACCACAAGGAAAACGAGTATTTATTTAAAGTGTTGATTATAGGCGACGTAGCAGTTGGGAAATCTTGTATTTTGAAGAGATTTGCTGAAAATGTTTTTGACTCTAAATATGGCTCAACAATTGGAGTGGACTTCAAAGCAAAGAAACTAAATCTTCGTGGGAAATCTGTCAAGCTACAGATTTGGGATACAGGTATATTTAATCTTATATCAGATATCTATGAAATAGTGGTTTTTGTAGAGGGTATCTGCTATCACAAGGTCACAACCCTGAAAATATTCAACACTCAAAAAATTAAGGGTGATTTTATCAACTGACAGTGACAACGGTTAAAGCTGGGTTGTTTGCTTTGGACCAGATGCATTTTAACCAACCATTCAATAACAGAGTTCTTGATGTTGTTACATTTTTTTGTAGCTGGGCATGAGAGATTTCGAAGTATGACGTCTGCCTTCTACCGTGGGGCTCATGGGATTGTGTTGGTTTATGATGTTACAAGGATGGAAACTTTCACCAATATTCCAAAATGGTTGAAAGAACTTGATCTTCAGGACTGTAATTGCACGGTTAAAATTTTGTTTGGAAACAAGAGTGACCTGTCTATAGAAAGAACCGTACCCAGAGAAATGGCTTTTAAATATGCAGATGCTCATAATATGTTCTTGTTTGAGACAAGTGCAAAGACTGGTGACAGTGTGCATGAAGCATTTGAACATTTAGTGTCTAGAATGCTTATACTTTTTCATGAGAAGGAGACTTCACCCAAGAAGCCACCATGTTCAGCTGGTGTTCTGCCAACATGCATATTGTCAGGACAGGAAAATGTTGCACAATCTAGTTGTTCATGTTAGAAAAATATTTGTTTATTGATATTGTACTATAACAGAGTGTAGTGCTTATTTTTTGGGCAAAATATTTTAAGTATTTTATAGTACAAATCAGATTATCTTCTTTTGACATTATTCATGAGTAAGTCCCTATTTGCCTCAGTTTCATCACCAATTCATATATACCACCATGATAAGGCTGAATATATTGGAATATGGTATATCCGACCATGGTAGTGATGGTACTGAATGTTATGTTCTGGAATATGGTAGCCTTTTGGTAGGATCTTCATAACATAGAAATACGGGGAAAACAAACAAGACACTTGTTAAATATGATCTGCTGAGTTTAATTCAAATTACATTTCTTCAGTAGTGTTTTCATTTTTTTTTAATTAAATTTGAACGATTTTTGTTTATTGAGTTTTTTTGGCGCGAAAAGGTTTCATTTTGGATTCTGATCACGTGAACAGGGTTCTCAAATCTCAAATCTCAATCGTACGCATCGTCCGGGTCGAGTGTTTCATCAAAACATATTGTAGAAGGTGGCACAGAAAATAGTATTTTTGTGGATGAGGAGACCTATTTTATTCCGTTTCGGGGATGTCGGTAAGTTATAAGTATAGTATAAACATATTTAATCCATTAAAACCCAATAAAGTGATGGGTTTCCGTACGAAAATCGAGCAACTATGTCCAAAGTCTGTAATGTGATCTGTGATTCGGCATGATTTGGCACAACATATTAAATCTCTGATTAATAGCTATTTTAAATACTAAAATGGTTATTTCAGGTTCGTGGGAAAGTGAACGATGTCTTTCTTGTTTGTCTTGAAACACTTGCGTCAGGGAGTGTTGTAGTAAAAAGTCTAAAATGAAAATGATGTTATATCTAAGATCTGAGTCGTGTCACTTGATCAGGATCATGTGTCATTCATCATATTTCATTAAAAAGTATTGCACAAGCGTGTGGAATGAAGCCTTATCTCTGTGGGATATAAACACTCTTAACTTTAGGAATGTCCTTTTTTGATTAGCTTTAAATAATTGTATTTCCATTGTGTTCTATGGGGCAATACCTTGCAAAAATGATTACAAAATAAACATCTTGAGAAATACCACAGAATCTCAACATTGTTAAGCTCATTGTTGCCATTTGTTGGTAGCATAACACATGCATGATGTCTTCCCACACATAAAAATGACAGCACTCCTTATAGGTTTCACAAAAATCTTTAGAGATTGATTTTTTAATAGTCAATCGAAATCTTACTAAGATCTTACTAAGATCTTTAAAAAAAGCACAACACCGGCCAACTCATCTTTTCAATAGCAAAATGTATGACATCCATGCATCTTTATACCAGGTGTGTGATAAGACCAGGTGATTTATAAACTAATTATGCCTTCAGGAGGTGGTCATTATTAAACAACTTGCTACTGTAGCTTTGCTGTTATCAAAATATGCTTCTCAGGAATAATGAATGGCTGATCAATTTTACTCTTATAGAATTCCTAGCCTGTGTTTGTGGTGTTTTGTACGATGGCAGATGTTGGACATTTCACCTCTGAGGATATACAATTGTTATTTAAAGATAAACATGTTGTTGTTATCGGTGATTCAGGTGGGTGGAGGTATTTCAGTGTTTAAAAGGGTTACCTTAGGGTCATATCATTCAATTGAGAATGCTTTTTATTGCAACTAAACATGGACACTTTTTATAGTTCAAAGGTCTGTGTACAAGGATCTAGTTTGTTTACTAAGAGAAGACAGGTTATTAACACTTGAGGAATTAAAAGAAAAGGTTTGTTAAATTGTTATGACTTTACTACTCTACTTCCACTCAGCCAACCAGTTACATAGTATTTGAATGGTGATTTTAGGGTGAGGAGAGTTTTCAAGAAGATACCCTAGTTGAGGGTGGTGTCAAAACTGGTCTTCACAATGGTACAAACTACAGAGAAGTGCGCAAATATGAACAGGATAAAACCACGATAATGTTCTATTTTGTGACACGGTGTTATGGGGAATATATGCAGGATATTCTAGATGAGTTTAAACTGGATCCACCTCATGTTATCATAATGAACTCTTGTCTTTGGGATCTTCATCGTTATGGAAAAACTGCAAATGCAGAATACATCACGAACATTTCAGAACTGATAGATGCCATTGATCTTGCTGTGCCTTATGAAGATCGACTGTTTATATGGAACGCTACCTTACCTGTGAGAGAAACAGTCAAAGCAGGTTTTCTTCCTCCTGGTGTTGATCACACTTTACCAGCAGAAGACATCCGCAAGGCAAATCTCTATGTGCGGGATCAAACCAACGAGTATGGAAACAGATTCATCTTTCTTGATCTTCATCAGACTTTTTACAAGCATCTGTACCTGAGAGTAAAGGATGGCGTCCATTGGAACGATTTTGCTCACAGAAAAATAACTTGCCTTATACTTAGTGAGATTTCAAAACATTGGAATTTTGAGTTACCATCAGAATTATCAATGCCAAATGAGGAAGCAACATCTGTGAGCAATGGTTGTTCCATGAACGCCCTCCCACAGTCCAAGCAACCACGACCCCTGTTAGATTATCCTCCCCCAAGAAATGGTTATGTTGGGAATGGTCCCATGATGAACGGTGGTCCTCCAAGAAGTGTGTGTTTTCCAGGTAATTCTAGGTGTCCTCCCAGACCACCTGCCCTTGGGCAGCGTGGCTATCCTGGCCCAAGGATCAGGAGTCCCCCTGTCCTAAGGAATGGTACCCCAGCTAGGTCAGGGGCTTCTTCTCACCCTATGCAGAACGGCCATTTCGAACCACGGGCCTCATGCGTAGGGGTTCGTGGTCCAAGAAATAGCTGTCCTCCTGGGCCCCCTCCCCCTAGATTCCGAATGAATCGCCCGCTCAGACCTCAGGGGGAGAGTCCTGTAACTAATGGTACTTTGAGGAATGGTCCCTTAGGAAATGCACACATGAGAGGTGGTAGAGACCGTCGTGGTAGATCTCGCAGTGCTACTGTAAATCCTGTTGGTCCCAGACACCCTCCACCCCGCAGATGGTTCAATGGTCGTCCGCGTTTTCTCAATAACAATGAGTATTTGCCTCCTCGATTCAATTTGAATGAGACCTTTCCTCCAGCCTTTCCTGGGAAACGAAAATATATGGAAGAAGATGATTTTCACAGGCCCTATAAATTTCCACGCAAATGATTGTATTAAAAATGACTATAGAGAGTATTTATTATGTAAAAACTTCTGTTTTGTTAAAGTTTTGTTTGTACAGACTGAAAAAGTGAATTTCTATTCTTTGTTTTAACGAAGAATAATTCATTATTTAGAATCACGATTCGTGTGACAAAAATGAATGTACTTTGTGGTTCAGGGATAAGTTTGCTTTTGTGTTAACAACCTTTCATTTGCCAATGGATTGCATTCTGCATGGTGTTTTTTACAAATCCTTGACAGATGAAATGGAAATTGGAAAAAATAGAGGGTTAAATGGTACAGCAAATAGTTCACGTTAAGAGGAGAAAAAATCTCGAATGTTTTATGAGTTTATTAATAGCGTCAAAAGTTGTAGTTTGATTATTAATAAATGTATTTATATTTTTATAAAAATTATTATCTAATTTTTGACCATTGAGTGTGTCTCTCAAGGAAAATTTTCTTTACCCCCAAGGAAAATTGTTTTGATTGGTGGAAGCAATACTGGTGCTCAGTCCCGAGGTATCGGCTCGGTCACCAGAAAAAAGTAAACGGAACGGTTCACTGAATAATTTTTTGAAGGTTTTTGCAAAAATATATAAAATAAATGGCTAATATTTAGCGATCGCGTTTGTTGTTTACGATCGTTGTGAGCATGATATGTAAAACGTACGTTCTGGCATGAGTAGAAACGATGAAAGGGAATCAAGAGATTTATACGAACAACGAACGACCATGTTTCCAATAAGACAAGAGCTTGTTGGTAAACGATTTATCGTGATCAGCGAAGAGGCAAGTCGCCGCTCTGCAAAAAATCCTCACTTTGAAAATTATAATTGGAAACAAGGTTATGTACGTGCTTGTTCAGTCCAAGATATTCAAGACAAGGAGTTACAGGTATTTCAAATCTCCGCTATTACCTTTTTATTAACCACGGCAAAGCAACTGGAAATAGATACGATGGCATTTGGGTTTTTGTAAAAATATTATATTCAGCAGTAGTAGGAATTTCTGTTGCGTGTTTGAGTTACTTTTTGAATGATTTTATTAAGCAGGAAATGGAGTTCTTTATCATAGCAGATACAGCTATATCTTTAGGAGAAACACGAGCTTCAAGAGTGTGTGTGCATGCATTTGTGCACATACAAATCTTGTCAAGTGTAAAACGAGATTACTTGAACGTTTACTGCAACTAATTAGCAACATAAGAAGTATCTACTTGAGAATTTCACTGCAAGTTGCATGAGGAAATGCATTATTGTTGTTTCTGTATTAACCTAGCTGTGAACTGTGTTAAAAGACTGTTTACTTCTAGTTGCAATTAAAATTTTGAATCATGTGTAAGCTCAGATATTTATTTGAGCTCTGTGATTGCATTCCAACGCCAAGACATTTTGATTTCCCCCTTGGGAACAGGATGATCCTGCCTTGTGAGAAATAATTTCTATTCCAGAATTACAGTTGCTTTACGTACTTTCTGAGCATTTATTTTCCAATTGAAATTCTCTACAATATTAATGCTGTGACTTGACAACAAACATTGAATGCTTAACAACAAACCAACATTCACAGATTAGAATGAAGAGACCACATCTTTGGTCCATCAAAGTAAAAGATATTAAAATAATCCTCATTTGTTTTTTTTTTGCTAAAGGTGCTGGTTGAGTTTGATGGAGCCAGTTGGGAATATAGGCAATGGATAAAGATCTATGAACAGACAAAGGCATTCTTTGTTGAAAAGACTTTAGTTTGGGCTACAAGAGTTTACCACAGAAATAGTAGTCATCGAAATGCTATACCCTGGCCTGCTTTGGTAAGTGTAAATTGCCTGTGCTTTCCATTTTATGGGTTTTCATAAAAAACATATTACATAATGATTAATATATTCCAGCTCTTTTTTCCTTTGGTTGATTACTTGGGACTGGAGGAAGATCCGAAACATCCAGTTGAATATTTTGGTGACAAACAGTTGTAAGTGTCCTGATAATGTTAATATAATTTTGAATACCGTTCTGTTAACCTTCAGTAAAGCCAGCAACCTCTTTAATCTGTGAATAATTCCCTTAACGTTGCATGTTTGTGATGGCTGATTCCATTTTTTCACTTCCGTTTTGTAGGGTTTTTCTAAAGGAAAATGAAATACAGTGGTACCAGGTATTAGGCATGTTTGAGAATAATACAAATGCTATTCATTTTATCCTCAATTGTACTTCATTGGACTTCACAATATATTCTGCTGAATCCGCTAACGTACATTTACTGCCTGGTAATAAAATATTAATCTCTGAGATTATTAAGAAATGCATTAATCTCTTAATCTAGGATTGTGATGAAAATCTAAAGAAAGTAAACTGTTTGAATGCACTGGTTCAAGGTGACCTAGATGGGTGGCAAAGATTGCAAAAGACACAAGCTTGTTTGATGAAAGGTTTGGAAGATATTCTGCTCAGATTATGAAATAATCCTTATGTATTTGACGTTTACATTATGTCTTATATGTATTTAAGTTTACATTCATACTATTTTGGCATAACTAAGTGTGTTTTTTTAGGTGCACGTACATTGACTGGTGCAAGAGTGACGGTATATAGGTATGACAGAGCGTTTTAAACCTAATGATAAGAGCTTGTGTTAGTCTTTGGTAACATATTGCCTGTTGGTTTACAACTGAGATTAACTTTCTGTTGAATTACCAGATTGGAACTACGTCAGTGGTACACAGGATGTATTACCGCACATAATTTGACGACCAGGGTAAGTTGATATCAATCTGGTCTTTAGAGTTATCTAACTGACTCTAGTTTCCAAGCTAATCTATTTTTTTCTTTTCTCAGGAACTTCATGTGATGGATGATAACGTTCTACAAACACATCCTGTTCACCCGGCGCTGGTTCAGATCAACCTCATTGCTAATAGTATGTTGGGAAACTCATTCACTTGCAGCCCATTTACTTGACCAAAATAAGTTGATTATCCATGTTGACTTTTGATTTATCTTCTAGATGATGAACTGCATCAAATATTACTGGGTGAACAAATAAAAATGCTTCCCACAAGAAGCCAAAGAACACCTCAGATATATTTTCAGTCAAATTGTCCACAGCAGAAGGCACCACATGGAGGGGTGAGACTACTTTACTTACTCTAAATTCCTACATAGATTCCTTCACTGTTAACAAAATTTTCATCATGTTTACTAGAACTGGCACATGATGCATGAATTGAATAACTCTCAAACCAAAGCTGTCTGGAGTCGTCCTTCAGTTGTGCATTCTGTCAGCCAAGGAAAAGCTGCCTTTGGTAGCCCAAGTGGTGGTAATCACGAGTTTAATGGTAACCAGAAAACCTCAGCTCAAAGGTATGGTTATATTTGGGATGGTATGAATCCACCTTGAAAATTATCTTTTATCCATTATTTTTTTGCTAAGAAAATACATGTTTCATTGCAGCGTTTGCAAGCAGAATGCCTCATTGAGTGCGGAGAAAAATACTGAAATATTGCCTGGTAGCCATTCTTTGTCAAAAGTCAAAGTTCATAAACCAATTCCTGTCGTTCTGAAACCATCGGATAACCTTCCCTATTCCCATTACACCCCACAACATCCTCAACCAAGCAGCTCCCCCCTCCTGTCATCCCTAAGCACCCCACCCTCTCCACTTCAAACCCAGCATACCCCCTCTCCTCTAAGTGGCCAGCTAACACCCTCACCCCAGTCAATGAGAAACCAAACCCCTCCCCTAAACGAATCTCCGTTTAGCATATCATTATGCGACCAGCCCTCTGCGCGTGCAGCGGCAGAGAAAGGATTGGGACGAGCTGGAATTCGTGAGAATAAACGAACCAATCGCAACTCTCAAAATTCCCTGATGACGTCATCGCGGAAAACGAGTGTAATTGAAACACCAGAGAAGAACAAAGCTAACTCCAGATTGGTCTGCAGTCCTCCATCCTCACCTTCCTCCAATAATAATACTGCTAATGGAAACTCTCAAGGTTTTCCCCCCGGTGTGGAGCCCACACCCGTTGCCACACCGCCGTCGACGTGTGAGACTCAAAATGGTGGGCATCCAGCGCGCACCTCTTCCTCTGACTCGGACACGACCTCGAGAACCGCTGCTGTGAATACACCCGGAGTTCATGCCTACCGGAAGAAGAAGTCCGGGAAGAATTCAGCTATGGGAAAAGCAACCCCCCCGACGAGAGTGGTTCCAGCTGATGCCCAGAAACAACCTGCCAAGAATCAGAAACATCCACTTGAGAAATTTCGCTCAAGTCGTAAGGAAAACGGGAGCATGCAACTAGAACCCGTGGAAAAGCAGGGGGATAGCAGAGGATCCGGAGGAACACAAGCTGATAGCACAGAACCCAGACGAACGCAAGTTGATAGCTGTGGGTCCAGTGTCATTCAAGATGAGAGCACCGGATCCAAAGGAACGCAAGTTGATGGTACAGGATCCAGAGGAACGAAAATTGAGAACACGGGATCTAGAGGAACGCAAGTTGAGAGTATAGGATCCAGAGGAACGCAAGTTGAGAACACGGGATCTAGAGGAACGCATGTTGACTTAATGGGGTCTAAAGGAACGCAGGTTGATTTAACGGGATCTAGAGGAACACAGGTTGATTTAACGGGATCTAGGGGAACGCAGGTTGATTTAACGGGACCTAGAGGAACGCAGGTTGATTTAACGGGATCCAGAGGAACGCAGTCCGAGAGTATGGGGTCTAAAGGAACGCCAGTAGAGTTTACAGGATCCAGAGGGACGCTAGCTGATAGCACAGTACCGAGAGAAACGCAAACAGACAGCACGGGATCACGGGGAATGCAATCCGGAAGCATGGGACCTCGGGGATCGCATGTTGAGAGCTCAGGATCCAGAGAAACACAACCGGATAGCACGGGACCTAGAGGAACACTAACAGATGGCACAGGATCTAGGGAGGCGCAAGCTGAATGCTCGGGATCTCGGGGGACTCATGTCAACACACCCTCCTGTTCTCATCTCCGAACCATTGCAGAAATTCAGCTGGAATATTTGATATTTCTTGAAGCATTAGTGAGATTTCAACACAGAATGATTATGGAAGCTATTAACACAATAAATCAACCCATAACAGAAGAACAGTTCTTCTTCGTCGCTGACTTCTTTTGCAAGTTAGTCGAAGGCAACAGGCATACGGAGAACATATTTCGCGAAGCTAATTTCACGCGACAAGAGAGACAGCGAGTGGAGCATCAACGACACCAGCCACAAGCCGCTTCTCCCAAACGCGTTGTTACTTGCTTGTCTGACGAAATCAAGGCGAGGTTGAGATCCGCGCAGGAGGCTGTCAGCAGGGAACGTGAGCAAGTTTTGAGTGTCGTTCTCCCTAATTTCGATGAAATACAAAAGAAAGAACAGCAGCAAAGAGAGTGGGAGGCTTTCAAGCAACAACTTCAAAAACAACAGAAGGCTTTTCATCGTGAAGGTATTCAGAAACAAAACTCGTTCGAAGAAAGAATGCCTTATCAGGCACAGTCTGATCCACAAAATAATCTTCAAGGCTATCAAGATAAAACACGAAATCAGGGAATAACAGGTTCCCTTGGGGATAACTTTGCCCCTCCGTTCCCTTTCGATCCCCCCAACCAAGTACCAGCAGAAATGATTGAGCGACAAAGAATGCATGCGCAGCAACCAGACGAGGCTCCACAAGCTGTTGAAGCAACCACGACTCAAGCTGGTAGTATACACTCGCCCATTCAGGAAGGATGTACACTTCTTCCACAACAGCAAACGAGGTCAGATTTACTCGGCGCACCTCAACACCTCCAGCAGCTGCGATCATCCTTACTACTGCAACGTGAACAATTATACGAACAGCAGAAATACGAAAAGGTGCAAAAAAGAATGCTGGATGAACTTTTCCAAATGAAAGACGTCGAGCAAAAGACAGTCCTTCTTCAGCACATCGTACAAGAACTACAGAGTCAGAAAGCTTCATCCAGAGATGTATTGAAGTCACCGCCTACCATCAGCACTGGCTTTGGCTGTAGAACGACAGAAAGCCAACTAACAAAAGTTCAAAGTCGCCGGATTCAGAGCTCTGCTCCACGACAGGTATGTACTCGTACGCTTGTACTAACCCTGTATATTACGGGCGATAGTTCTTTAGCTTAACAATCAAATTTAGGCTTAGCGAGATCAGCAAATCTCGAATTCTAATCTCTGCACGATTCTTTCTGTTGTAGGCAAATGAAACGCCAGCTCCGCAACCTGTGTCGACAGCCACTGACGCTTCATATATCTCAGCAGAACAGCTTTTATCCAGTCTTACAACATCGCCATTGAAAAAACCAAATGTCTGGAGCATTGCTGATACTATCGGAGTTGGATCGAGTGGAAGATCTGAGACACAATCCACACCAGCAAGTGATAAAGTTTCCAGGAATCCTGACCAATCAAGCTCTTCTGGATTGCATACAGGAAATGCTGATTCGAATCTAAGTGGAAGCACGTCGCCACGTCATGACGCAACGCTGGGTGTGGATATAGCAGGTGAAGTTGGAACTATGATGGATAAAACAACTAAGGCGAATGATAGTCGCGCCAAAAAGAGAAGAACGCCATCTCTCGTTGTGTCCGATGACTCGGAGGAAACGAGAAAACCAAAACGTCATCGAAAGAACTCCAAGAAAAAGCACGTCTCTGAGAATACAGGTCATTCTCACCACCCTGATTGGATACCGCGCAGTAAGCAAATAATGCCTGTAAGGAGCGTCCCCCCGGGGGAGGAAGTAACTTTAACCATGACAAGCGATGATCGTGATGTAAATCCCGTCAAAGCGAACTGCACGCAGTATTATCCCAGGTCGATATCCAAAGGTATCGGATTTGTTCCAATTGAGCCTTCTACAGAGGCCAGTACCTCGTTGCTGATGACAACAACAGCAAGCCAACCGCTTGACGTCTTGGCTTCAATCAGTGCGTCATTAAGAACAAACGATTTACCTCAGAGTACACTAGACGTTACCAGAACAACTGCACGTAGTGTGATTCAATCAGTTCCCGGGAAGAACCGACTTTCCGCCAACGAAAACCGACAGCATTCCGAGCTTTCTCCGACACATGTCCGTCGTGAACAACATGCAACCGAGGAAGACCGACAACGTACCGATGGCATTGGTAAGACTACGAACGCTGTCCGACAGGGTGTCGAAAACATTCAAATATCCAACGCCAGAGGTCAAGCTCAAGAATTTGGAGTAAGCGCCGATCCTAGTGCGACTGTAAGCGAGAAACAAACGTCGTCTGTCGGAAAGAAATCGGCAGGAGAATCTGGCCAGTCAGCCGCATCTGAAGGATCGCATATGGCAGTCACTGGTAGTAATCTTGTTGATCTGCTCATTCAAGATAAACGACAGTCAATTCAGAACCCAATGGAGCAAGTAATGACTATCCTTGATTCGTCAGGAAAAGATAAAACTCACGACGTTGTTAATAAACAAAAGAAACGAAAAAGAGACAGACAGAAAAAGGATAAAAAGTCGGGAAACAAAGACGTTGAAGCCGCCACTGCTGAGAACAAAGACAGCCTACCGAATACCGCTTTAAACATGTCTCTGCTGTTTTTCATCGCTAATGAAAAGAAAAATAACTCGAATAATGTTTTCCCAGTCACAGAACAGCTTGTACAGTCGATTTCAGAACGTGGAGACAAAACTAAACAGAATTCTTTTCCTATCAACGATCTTTCAAATCAGGACAGTTCCAAACCAATAGATCCTACTTGTGCTGTGATATCACAAGATGTTCAGCCGTTTAATGTCGTTGATAATTTACTCGCGTCGACAGAACTTCTCATTTCAAAAGAAAAACAGAAGAAGAAAGAAATCGACGGTGTTTCGAAGGCGAAAAGGAAAGAGAAAAAATCAAAACACGATGGAAGTAAGACCAAGAAATCCGCCGAGAAGAAATCAGTGGAGAATAAAACAAAAGACAGTCAAACTGATAGAAAGGGAGACGCTTTAAAAACTGACAAGAGTTCAACGAAATTCGCAAAGCCAAGTAAAACTGATGACAAACAAGTCAGTGAAGAATGGAATCTTGACCGGCTGGGCAGTGGTAGTAACTATAGTGTTGAAGGTGAACTATCTGCTGGCGTTAATGCTGACGAAATATCGCCGAGTATGAGCGCTGAAGATACGGTCGTGATAGAAATTTCCCAACCAGAGAATAATATTGAAATTTTGCCCAGTGAGGGTGAACTTGGAGAGGGTAAAGTGGATGTCGTTAGTTTGGATGCAAGTGTAAAACCAACCGAAGCTGTCCCACTACAACTATTGGACACCGAGGTTGAGGATATTTCTCAGAAATTAAAGGAGAGCAAACTGGAACACAACAAGAACGTTAACGATAAGGTTGAAACTGTTGTTCAAAATGTTGCACCCGAAATTCCAGGAAAGTTTGCGTTTATCGGTTCTCCCAAGAAACAGAAAAATGACTCCACTAAATCGCATGGTAAGAAATCTTCAACCGAGAAGAACCGAAAGAAATCAACGAAGGAAGCGAAAAGTAAGAAAAATACCAAGAAAACTGACAGGAAATCAGATAAGAATAACCTCAAGTCTTTGGATAAAGAGAAAGAACAGACTCGTGTGAGTTCCCAGGAAGTTGTTGTTCAAGTCAACGGAATATTGACTCCTCCAGGAACGGAACAGGAACGTCCAGGCGTAGAGCTTGGAATAGCGGACGCCATCTTGAAAGAGAATGGACTGGAGAAAGAGCAAGGGGATATCCTGTTTATTAACGATCAATCTGTAAAGAATATTGTGAATGCTGACGATGAAAATGATGACGTGTTCTCGGAACGGCTTTTAGACCGGAAGCGAAAACGCTGTAAAAGTCCACAAGAAAATAATTCAGTTCTCTTGGAAAATAATGGTACGGATTATCATGTTTTACATTAGCTCTAGTTTCAAAACCGTTCGGGATAAACTATTCTTAAACTTCTATTCTACAAATGCATTTATTGCTAAAACTTGTTTGCTTGCTAGACGATTAACCACAGAATATCCTCGGATTTATTTCAGATATTGTGTGCAGCGTTCTTGGCGTGAACAAGGAAACCACCAGCGCCACAAACAGCCTGGTATCGAGCAAGAAAACGGGCTCTAAAAAGTCGTCTGAAAATGGCGAGAAAAAAGAAACAAAAGTTCGAAAGAAGAAAGCCAAAAAGGACGAGGAACCGAAGAACGACAGCGCCATTGCCATGGAGACGGACACGTCAGCGGTGGATAACTCCGTGAAACAAGAGGAGAAAAAAGAGTCTGGTGAAGAGGCTAAGAAGAAAGTTAAAAAACCGAAAGAAAGTGAGTGTTGTGAGAGACGAATGTTTGCCGGAAACTTATGGTTGACCAATACGTGTAGGTTTCATCATTTGAGAGAGAAAAATTTGTTAAAAACTGTTCTTCTTTATAGAAAAAGTTCGAGAGAAAATACCGAAGGAAGAATGGGTCTATTCACTCCAGGTATAACTGCGTGCTTGAGAATATTTCCTTTCGTTTGATGCTAAAACTAATCAGTTTGTGTTGTGTATTTTTATCGTAGCGAGGTAGTTGTAAATCTCTACCGACCATGCCTCAGTGCCGCGAATGTCGTAATTACGAGACGGAAGAAGAAGCGGTTCTAAACAAGAGTTGCTGTCGTTTTGACATGTTCAGAAGGTAGGGAAATACTGCTGCTTGTCTGTCGAAATATCGCTATATATAAATTCCTAATTGGATGCAGAATCCATAACTTGACAGTAAATGTCTCTACACTCTGATTTCTATTGCTTCAGATGTCGTTCAAAGTCGAACAAATTCGAAATGGCTGGTTTCTCGTCTTCGGAACATACCCACAGTGATGATTTTCTACCTTGGGTCGCTGGAAAGGACAGTAAGTGGTCACAAGCTTTGTCATTCCTCGACAAGTTTCTGTCGTGGTTTTGTTATGAAAGCTTCACCTTTCTCACGCGTCTTTTGATGGTGTTAAACTTCACGAAATGTTTTCTTTTTCATCTATTTTAGTCAGTCAATTTCTTTCGTTGGACGTCTCCAAGTACATCTTGTTGAATGTCGGTGATGAGTTCTGCAATTTGGTACAACAGGAGGAGAAAGCATTCTCCTGGGAAACTAAGAAAGGTGCATGAGGAAATTGAACGGTCATGAAAATGTTTTGACAGACTTCTGACAGCTTGCTTTTCGTCTCTATTGCAGACACGGTCGCGTGGAAACGCGCAGTTCGTGGAATTCGCGAGATGTGTGATGCTTGCGCGACAACGATATTTAACGTACATTGGGTCTGTCCGAAATGTGGCTTTGGCGTCTGTTTGGATTGCTATAAGACGAAGTTAAACATTTCCATCGCCCCAGGTAATTGAAGGATGCATCTTAGATGAAGTCGATTAAACAGAGAATATGTTTGCTTTCAGCTTTGTTTTGTTATATTACTAGCAGAAGCTGGTCGTGCGAAGAGATTCTTATGGGTAAGATGCTCTGCAAACACAAGTCATCGCCCTCAGCGCTTGGTCCTAACTCATATCATTCCGAAAGAAAGTGAGTAATTAATATATTTCCCATGCTTTTTTAAAGGATACAGCTAAATAGATAACATCAAAAGGCTTTTATAGATAGATTAACGTTGTCTTTGTTGTCGTTTTAGCTCTTCATGAAATCGATGAACAGCTACATCAAGCTCGAGAGTATTGGGGGATTGGTGAAAACTGTCCGTGCAAAGGTCAAAGAAAGAAGCTGAAAGACAGCGCCACGATAAAGGAACTCCGTGAAGATGAGAAGGAAAATATCGTTGACAACAGCGGTGAAAATTGTCCCGTACCAGAGAAAGGTATGCTCTATATATTGACGTGCTTACTTTGTTTATAAGTGCAGCAAACTTTTGATGAATAACAGTTATATGTAGCGCCATATGTGGCACAGTTATTTTGTTGATTCGTGCGTTTAACATCCAATCATCACGACATTGCATGTTTCCGTGCATCCGAACTGTTCTCTGAATGATTTAACATTGTTTTGCTTTCAGACAATGTCGAGCTGGCAGATAAGACAGAACAGAAATCCGAACAACCAATGGAGGTTGACGCTATGAAAATAGACGGAAAGAAAGACGAGGAGTCGTTAACAGCCGAAGATAAAAATGGCGAGATTGTAAAACCTGAAGTTCTGGGTTCAAATGAAAGTGTTGCTATACAGTTTGAAAGCATTACTGGGGAATTACCTGAGGATGAGACCAAAAAACAGCTCGAAGTTGACAAAATATCAGAGCAAGAATGCTGCGCTAACGAGTCACCCGTCGACGATAAAGTGCTTCAGTCAAACACACAGAAAATATCAGGACAAAGTGAGGAACCGCCATCTTCAAACGTGTCTAGCAAACCTCCTGATGTCTGCGAAAACACCGAAGCTTGCGAAGAGGATAGCTGTGATGTGAGGGTAGATAGGGATAATATTGGTGCTTTGGGTTTTCTCATGGATTACGAATCACCTGTGTCCTCTCCTGCCGCATCACCACAGCCAAATATGGACTTCGAAGAGATCTCTATCACTCCAGGTAAACTTATACTTAAATTATCGTTTGACGTTTCAACTTTACAGAAGGAATCATCATCTATAGCTCTATAATATTTTAACTCTTTCCATCAACAGCAGAGGAAGCGCTCCTATCACGACCTTCTACAACCCAGGGAGAATCCTCGGTAATGACCAGCACATCTTTGGAAACAGCCGTTGAACCTTCGGTTGCAACCGACACGACGTCGAAACTCGCCGATGAGAATTCCCCAATTATCGGTGAATGCTCGGAAGTTGTTGTGGAATCGCTAGCGATGACCTTTGAAAGTTTGACGAGCGAAACATCGGAATTGACCGGCTATTTACCGGCCGTAGACGATATAAACGTTCGTGTTGCTCCGAGGATAAGCGACGAGATTCCGGCGCCACATTCGTGGATTTGTCGTCGGCCAATGCTGAGACTTCATGATCCTCATCATGAGGGAAACCTCCTGGCTTTTCAGTCGAGATGGGAGAAAGGAGAGGTAAGCAAGGATAAGGCAGGATAGAACGTGTTTAATAGGGGTAATATTGCCGAGATTGTTTATGAAAGGTGTGTATGGTTGCGTCAAGCAATCTCAAATTTATTTCTCGAGTATTGAAGCTCACATAACTTTTCTTTTAGCCCGTTCTTGTTAGTGGCGTGGACAAGCGAATGACGAGTCATCTGTGGACGCCAGAAGGATTTGAAAACGAATTTGGTACGACGACACTCTCAAAATCTCCCAGTTGTAATAGGCTCGCGTCTAAAACATGATATGATCTGATATTTAGGTTCTGAGAAGGCTGATGTTGTGAATTGTAAAACAGGAGGAACACTGGAGAAGATGGAGATTGGAACCTTCTGGCGAGGGTTTGAAAGTGTTAAAGGTATTTTATTTTAACGCATTTAAAAACGCTGCAATGAATTAGATACGAGGTTTAAATATATTTACCTGTATTTTAGATCGTCCACTGGATAATAAGGGAGAACCAACTCTTTTGAAATTGAAGGTACTGAGTTTTATCTAAAGATAATGAGTCTTTCAGGAAAATATTTTGTAAAAATCAATGTGCATTTTCTGTTTATCTGTCAAGGATTGGCCACCTGAAGCTGATTTCGTTGAGAAAATGCCAACAAGGTTAGTTGAAGGTAAAATTTGAGTTGGTTGTTAACAAGCGAAGTAAAGTTAATGTCAACATATTGTTTGTAGATTCAAAGATTTAATGGATGCTTTGCCTCTACCCGAATACACAAGCAGGGATGGATCAAGAAATCTTGTCTCAAGGTACGAAATATTGATCCAAGATCCGCGACAGGACTTACTCTATGTTCCCTTTCATGACTTCGTATCAGTAATGCTTGTAGTATTTGTATAGCTGTACGAGTTTCAGATCGGAAAATCGTCAAAAAGATTTTCATTTTTTTAGGCTGCCAGACTTCTTTGTCAAGCCAGATCTGGGGCCGAAGATGTACAATGCTTATGGTAAATAGATTTCCCGTTCTTGCTTTAAGATATGTGAGGTATTATTAAAACGGCATTCCCTACTTTCTCTTCATAAGGTAATGCAGCATTCCCAAGCGCCGGAACAACCAATCTTCATGTTGATATGTCTGATGCAGTGAACGTTATGGTTGGTCGCTTGTTATTAATGCTTGGATTTCATTTTCAATTTCTGTCTTTTGAGAAATGTGAACGAGCGTTGTGAATGCTCTGTTTCGCAGGCGCCCTTACACCTAAAATTTGACACAGAATTACGCTTCTTGACAGGTTTATGTCGGAGTTCCTTTTGATGACAGAGAGTATGGCGAGCAGGAACGAAGGGGTAAGTTAGGAACATCGTGGTATGTTCGTGTCAATTGACGTTCTGTGTCACTGTGTGACTGTGTACATCAGGGGATATAAGACAGTTCTGGGAGAAAATTTAGGACAAAATTGCTCAATTGCTAAGCATATCGTACCCAGCCAGACTCATTCATTTTTATTGCTTTTTAGATTCTGTTGCGTGTGTTGACGTCGCTTGTGACGAAGTTCAGCAACACAGAGCTCGGAATGGAAAAGAGAAGTTGGTAGGTTTTTAAAGCTTTGCTGACCGCCTAAAGAATGTAGTTTTGATAGAGTTTCATGGATGTGTTTTTGGTGTGTTTCTGTAGCATAAGTTAACTACCGGTTTTTCTTATTTCCAGGGAGCATTGTGGCATATCTTTGCAGCTGAAGATGCAAACAAGATTCGAGCTTTATTTCACAAGGTACAATGTCACTTGCTGTTCTTGCATTTCTGTGTGTGGTGGTATTCATTGCTAACTATCATTCATTTCCATCAGGTTTGTTGTGAGAAGAACATGAAGTATCCAGCCAGCCATGATCCGATACATGACCAGGTATATTGTGTTTACTCAGGACTCTGACTCCCCCCTCGCCCCTCGCCCAGGTCTCTCCCCGGCTCCCCCCCCAGTGTGTACAACAGCCCTCGCAGAAAAGCAGGATTGAAACAACTCGTTTTAAAATAGAAATGTCGTTATTGTAGTGTTTTTATCTGGACGAACCGCTGCTTAAAAGGCTCAAGGACGAATACGGAGTTGTTGGTTGGCCGATTGCCCAATTCCTTGGTGACGCCGTATTCATTCCTGCTGGCGCTCCACACCAGGTAAATACACTAACCTGCGAACAAGTTGATTGTTCTTCTGAGCGCAGTTTCTACACGCATGTCTTATTCTTGCAGGTGCGAAATTTGCACAGCTGCGTAAAAGCTGCAGAAGACTTTGTTTCGCCTGAGGTAGGTTTTGCATCCGACATGCTGTTCCGTTAAGCTCAAGATATTTCACTCTCAAACACGACAATCATTCTTACATCTTCTTCAATTTACCACCACCAGCACGTTGGCCATTGTTTTAAATTGACCGAAGAGTTCCGACATTTATCCGACAAGCACACGAACCACGAGGACAAGTTACAAGTAAGTTCTGCAAAACTTTTCATCGCCTGGAGTGCGCGATAATTAATAAACTCTTCGTCAATTTCAGGTCAAGAATATTATTTATCACGCAGTCAAGGACGCAGTGAGTGTTCTTCGACATCACGAGTTTCCAAGGCAACAAGAAGAGAGTGTATAATGACGTATTAGTGCACAAATGTATATTGTATAATAATCAAAAAGCTTTGAATATATTTTTGTACAGACTTTAAGCATTCGCCATCTACGCAAACTTATATATGACAAGTATAAAATGTAATATTTATAAACAACACTAGGCATATTCAGTATCACGTCACAAAAATTGTTTTATCGCTTGCAAAATTTCTGCATATTTGAGAGGAATTTTGGTGAATGGATCTTATAATATTAGCCTCATTAGCTATAATATACTTCTGTCGTTTCCTAATCTTATTAAATAAACACTACACGATGGGTAATGAACTTTTTAAAAAAAGATGTGAATTTTTTTGCTAGATATTTTACGCGCTATAGTTGTCTGTCATTGCTCTCCACTTGAGAAATCTGAGCAAATCCCACGGCAGACTTTCATTTTGTCTAGATTTCTCTAGCAATCACAGACATAGCAAGAACAAAAAAAATTAAAAGGAGGATTACTATGAAAAATGCCATAGATGGGTAAAGACTCACGGTAAATTTGCCATAAATCACGTAACGGTTGTCGGAAGTGCTTTCTTCATCACCAACAACTAATAATACATCGCGGACTGTATGAGACCGGGCGTAAACATCGTGGTTCTCATTAGAATTTTTAGGTCAACCAGATAGAATTCCTCATTTATTGTTCCAATACAATTGCCGAATTGGGGCTTGTTTTAATAAGGAAGCTATCGTGTCCGAGAGTCACTACGGATACATGAAAACAATGGATAATTAGTTTATACATTTGCATTCCTAATCGTTAGGTACAGTACATGGTCATGGAAAGTACAGCTTCGACCTTCGCCACGAAGTCAGCCTGAGTTTTACTACGTTTGAACTCAATCTTTGTACATTTAATTCTTTACTTGAGCCACCAAAGCGTTACACAATGTTTTCTTTATACGTTTTGGATGGATGATAGTTGGAGTAAAGGACTCGAGTGATGAAATAAAAGAAAGAAATCAAGTACTCGCATATCTCAAAGCAGGCTCGGTAAATATAAATTTTATTACTGAAACGAATTCAAGAGTTTACATATAATAAAACTGTACAACGTGTAAACACACCAGAGTTTAGACTACGAGTAGGTCACACTTCTGCCATAACTGCTAAGTTTAAACGCTTGTGTTCGTTTAGTTCAGTTGTACTTTGCAGAGTCTGGTTAGGATTGAAGTGCAAAATATCAGAAGACATATCTCATAATCAAACTAAAATCTAAAGCTCCTTATTGTCAATATTCATATCTGTGTTTCTTCGCATGATAAACGACTGCTCAGAAAGCTTAATTCTCTTCTTTTTAAAATCTTCTTGGCTTCGGTCCATAATGGCCGCTTTATCTAACATTCAGTGAAGGGTCAGACACAAAACATATGCAAATGAATGCTTCACTTTAAATCCTCGTAGTTAGACAATCTCTGAGGTAAATCGTGCTGGGATCAGTGTCCTCGATAAAATCGCACAGTCAAAAGTCAAGTGCTCGTTTAAAAGTGTACAAGATTTTAACCTAAGGTGATGAAAGTTCACGCAGCGAGTGAGTGTTCGCTATTTATTAGCAAAACAACAAGACGTCAAAGACGACGTCGCATCACGACTGAACTTCGAAAGTATTATCAGCAATCCCAGCAACTCTTGCGCATGCGATGCCTTCTGTAGCAATGATATCTCAAGTGTTTTGCCTCATGAAGTAAAACTCCCATGAGCTAGTGTACTAGATTTCCTTCGTCTTCCTGCAACAGACGCCAGCATCGACGATGATCTTCTGTCCAGCGCAGGTAAATCAGACTCGTTGATGTCATCACGAATCCCGACCCTAAGAGCGCACTGCAGTAAAATACGGGTGAAACCATCACGAAAGTCTTTGTTCATTCTGGCGTAAATCAGCGGGTTTAGGACGCTGTTGACATAATGAAACCATTTCGCAGCAATGATAATATCTTGTCGTAAGGACGCATAACAACTGCGGCAAATCGCGTAGAAATTAAGCACGAAGAATGGGCTCCAACATATAAAAAATGCCGAGATAACAATACCCAGTGTCTTCGCTGCTTTTATCTCTTTCCTCAAACGGAACTTCTTCGTTGTTCCACCATTCATAGGAATATCAATCTTCTTGACTTGTTTACAAGCCACGCGAAAAATCATGGAGTACATTATGACCATAATCAATAGCGGAATAAAGAAGCCAATGACGGTGAACATAACCTCGAACACAACAACCGTATCTTGAAATATACCACGCGATGCAGCCAGTAATGTAGCGAAGACCCACATACAGGCGATTATTATGATTGCTCTTCGTCCGCCCATTCGTTGGTAATAACGAAGAGGCGAAGAAATACAAATATATCTTTCAATACTGATACAAGTGAGATTGAAGATACTCGTCAGTCCGCAAATAATGTCAGTTAGAGTCCAAACAACGAGCGCCGACCTGTCTATCTTCTCCCAGTTTGGATCTGGCCCAGTGACAACGTGTATTGCCCACGTAGGCATTGAAAGCATGCTTATTAAAATATCACTGATTGCCAACGACACCACAAAGTAGTTTGTAACTGTGCGGAGTTTATGGTATCTTCGAAATGCTATGACGACCAGGGAATTGCCGAAGATTGAGAGCGCCATTATGGCAAATATTATGGTTGCGCTGATGATTTTGTACGATTCGGAATAAGTTTGATGGGGTGGGAGTGTGTTGTTCCGACCTGGGGCGATGACGGTCGTGTTGATCAGTGTGTTGTTGCTGAGGGTGGTAGGTGTGAAGGTTCCGAATAACTCCGTGCTTGTTGCGAAAGATGATGACGTTGCGTTTTCTGACATGGTCTGGTCTAGTAGCAGTCTTTCACTTAGTTTCTTTCTTCTGATTTGAACACTCTCTTAGAACTTGTCCTGAATGCTAGTGAAGAAAATAAATGCAATTAGAAATACGACTTAAAGCTCTGCAAGTTAAACTCCAGTTAAACATCAGTTCGTTTATTCTTTTAGGATTCCCACCCTGAATTTTTACCGCGATTTATCACGACAATATACGAAAGCCTTCCTACCTAAACGGACTACAGTACAAGCTTCTTCAGAGAAACGATTCATTTCAGGTTCGTAGGCGTAGAATTCATTATGTTGTTATGACTAAAGTATTTGCCAAAATCCTTTTTTCTGATTACCCAACCAAGATTAAATTTTTCTTGTACTCAACGAAACGTGACAAACTGAATCACTATCGCAGGGTATTCAAGAGTACACTTTGGACGCTATAATCATTAGCCTTTCTTCATGTATTGTGCCTCTCCATCAAATATTTGGCATCCGGATATGATTACTGTTTCTAGATTGTAAAACCAATTAGCAGTGGCTTGATAACCATGCCAAAAATGGAAAAGCAGTAGAACGCAAAATAGCTTTTAGCAAAAACAAGTGTTTTATAACGCATTTCTTGCCTCATTTTAAATTCGTCATTCTTATCTGTTATGATTGACAAGTTTATATATCACGTTATTATGCATCCATTTATCAAGACGACAAAGAAATTAGTCTGCTTGACTTTATCTACGCTTCCCCGGCAGTGCGCTGGATGACGAAGGAATGTTCGCAAATTAAGTTATATTTTTGTGTCTGTGCAGCTTGGAATTGAGCAATCATTTCAAGTAAACGTGGTGGTCATTGCTTTCGTTCAATCTGAGTGTCACGGACTTCAAAGCTGCGCATTTCAACAATGAGTATCGTTTTACAGAGTACTTCAATAATTTCAATGTGTATTTTTATAGTCCATTAGCGACTTGTTAGTGTTATACACATCCGATATGCTCGTGTGAAAATCATACAACGTTAAATATTATTAAAAAGGTTTCTGCATGCTTACAAACAGTAAGTTCATAGGAGGGGGGCTGTTTATAGTTTGCGGGACACAGAACTAACCACACATTATTACACAAAGCCAGTTTGCGCGCGCAAACTCCGCCTACATTCGAGGGAATTCCAAATTCCAGGTGGGTCCTGAAAGCAGGCTGTTACTAGTGCCTTCCTACTGATATTTTAGTCAAACCGTGTCCGTTGTAACTAGCATGAACTAATAAAATCATCTGGCAAATGTCATGTTCTGGATTAATCTGATTTTTTGGTGTTATTCTGCGACAGATTTCATAGTCTGATCACGGAAGCTTTAATTTTCTTCATATTTACCAAAACCAACCCTGAGTTGATAATGTTGTATTGAAATTAAGCTTTCTATCAGCTTTTTAACAATTCTTGCCGAAATGCGTTCCTCGACTGCTTCTGTGTAAACTCAGTGTTTGCATGCCTGCTCTGATTTCACGATAATCAAAACTCACACCACATGTCCAAAATGATTGTTCCTTGCCTCAGTTTTTTAGTTTTCACGCGATCTTTGACATGCTTGAGATATTATATAGGGCACAGAATCATTTATTTTCTACGGTATTTTGAGAAAACACGCAAACTTTGCGCCCAATTTACTAAAATCAACGCCATTTAACGCAAGGCCTGGTTCGAATTAACTTTGTTGTTTTTCAACTATTCTGAATTCTTGTTGCATCTTTATCATGTAATGTTAAAGCACATTTTTCAAGTGCACTCATTTAAATATTTTGCATTGCCTGTTTTGTCTCGCCATAGAAATAAAAGTTCATAAATTGTAGTCATGTTGGAAAAGCATCTCACCCAGCATGGGCTGAGCTGTAATCATCAGTAAATACATTTAAATGTAGATTTGATTGGATAACTATTAATGGTTTGTGGAAGTTCTCCCTGTTCCCCATCAGGGTGTATCATGGACCATTAACTATAGATGATGGAAATGCCAAAGACTGTAAAGCAACGTACTGTCTCTTTTTGCTTTTTGAAATTCAGAAATTGTAAGCTGCTCCAGGCAAATATATAGGTATCAGAATTACTGATATACAATTATTGTTATGCACGATTTATGAACGCCTTTGGCTTGCGAGAGGAAACATCTTTAGTAATTAGTAGATAAATAACAATCATATAAAGTTCAAAGCTAATTTCAAAAAGTCCCACTAGTTAAATGAAAGAGTAATCTCTCGATTGCCTGAGCGATGTTGGATGTTGCACTGAAATAAATAGCTACCAGAAACACTTCCATCCTCAATAATCTAAGCAATCTCGTTCCAAAAACAAGAGGAGGAAATGTAGCTGTGATGGCGAATTAAACAAGGCTAGCGATAAATTAGGCTATGCTTCCAATAGACAGCTATACGATCTTCAACATTAGACTGGATAATGTTTCTCTATAAAGTCCTGTTGTTTACGGAATTTTCAAACCATAAATTTGGTTTGCACATTCTGATGTATTGTAATTCATAGTGGCTCGACTATATATATATATGAGAAAATTTTACTCCGAACAATAATATGAATAATATGGCCTCATAAAATAAAGCAATCACCTTATGTTTCCGGACCATATAAAAAAAACAGTCAGGAATGTGTAGTTTGCTTCAATAGAGTATAGTGAAGGGCTATGGTATATAAACAACTTATTACAAACATCATTTGCAAATCAAACATGGATTAAACTTTACTGACCTGAGCTCCGTGGGACAACGGCTAAAACATCGTATATAGAGAGCCGGGCTTTTTTTCTTAATCCAGTTCTTAGTTTAGTAATCCACTTCAACGAAGGATCAAAATCTTCATACAATTCTTTACTTTAATTTCTAGGGAAGAGAGTTGGAAAACGTAAGCCAAAAACTGCGGAACAGAAAGCGCTCCACCGGCGCGAGATATCCTGATAGCAAGAATAATATCATCAAGCTGCAGCGAGCCTATTTAAAATAGGTGTTTTATCGCTGGGCTGAAGATTGACGTACCCAAATGATAAGGTAAGTTTTGACCTCAGGTCAACACATATTAGGCATTCCTGTTTGGCGCGCATTTAAAGGCCTCGATCGACTCGCAACAGCTGACAGAGACCCACATTAATTAGCTCGCTTTCTGCGTAATACCGCGAGTTTGTTTTGCGCACAGATAAATGTTTGATATCCTAAATGCGGATCCGGTCTGTCCTTCTTGCGGCTGTTCCCACGAATAATATAACACCAGTGTGTCTTTCTACACGCCACAAATGCTGCAACTATAGAGTCTATAATTACCAGCAGGAAAAGCAAACAGTATATCTGATGCATAAAGGATAGAGTAATGAGATTGAGAGACGATTCAATCCTGAAAAGATTAATTTAAGGAAAGAAAGTTCACTTATTTGGAATAGTTTTTTTCTCCGTTTTCATCTCAACGCACCATTCTCAGTTTCTCACGATTTATCAGCTTTGGCGTAACAAACAAGATGACCCATGCTCTATATAAAACCGCATATATTCCTTGCAGACATCTGCATCGCTGGCGATCTTCCATGCATATAAAAATTTTAAAAAAATGTTACAGTCGCATACCAAATCTCCTGCGATACTTTGATCTACTTTATTATTGCACTCCTTATTTATCCTTCAAAGAGTACAACTTTAAGTTGTTCATTTTTTTAAAGTTTTTTTAAGGCAGTTTCCGAAAATCTTATTGGCACCTGATGTTAGCAGGTGATAGCATGAAGGATACTAGTTTATGTAGCATGAAAGCTTTTTTAGGCATATGTGACAACTTATACATAATTTGTGGCTATTTTGAGCGAAATATATCGAAAGGAAATAGCCTTGCATGAGATGAATGTCAAACTGACCCGATTGATAGATATGCCTCTTAATTTTCGCGTCTGCACATGGATTTTGGCAAAATTATACTCATCTCATTCAAGGTTTTAGTCTAAGAAGGAAAGGAAATTGACAGCATAAAGACGGATTTAAAATTATTGTGTCTAACTTTGTTATACGACAAACACACTTTAGTATATTTGGCACCATGTAAGCTGCAATTAAAACCCAATAAGATTTTAATCCATTTCAAAACCTCAGGCTAAACGTTTGTTTGAAGGGTACACACCCATTTTGGTTAACCTTGAAATTTGTCCACGAATTAAACTACGCTAAAAAAGCATATTTTGTTTATGTGTACATGTTTCCTAGCTCTATATCACCACAGCTCTATATCAAGAACTTACTCATAATACTATTAAAAAACTGAATATATATTAAACCAGAAAATACCACTTCCCCACGCAAGGCCTAAAAGTATTTACCAAAGCTCATCTGAAATTCGTAAATTTCTATTAACCAATTAGAGTTTGACATTGGCCTCTGATAGAAGAGATAACTTGTTTAATTTAAATCAATTTTTATCAACAAACAGTTTTTAGTTTTCATGCTACGTGCATGGAGTCAAACCAACGCAAAGACTAGCTAACTGCAGTCTATACTCCGTAGAGAAATGTATAAAATGCTGCATTATGTAAAGTGAAATGAATTTACAATTTTATTTGAATTCACACAAAGGGTATATCAACTTTTCATTTAGAAGATTATTATATACGCCTACAAGGGTTATATTAACTAACGTCCTACGCAGTTTAATTCAAGCTCTCATGCATGCACGGAACCCGACATTGAGTGGAGATCTTTTGAATTAGGCTCTAAAATTAGTGCTCTAGAACGCCACATTGTTTTGATATTGCATGTGAATTGATTATGACTTGAAAAAAAACTTTCGCTCGCAGATGTCTCGTGTTGATACGTTACTTAAAAAGTCTGTCGAATTTTGGTTGCGAAAACGCGCAACGGAACGCACTTTTACATAACATGCGTCAGCTTTGCCGTGCATGCATGGCAAGAATTTCACAAGCTTTTAACATCATTTTAATATAATTGCATTTAGTTTTAAAAAAATGTTATCTACGTTGTGTTTCTAAACAGATAAGCCGAAAGATATTATGAGGTGTCCTTCAGGCGAGCGTATATATATATACACTGTCTATTACAATGCTTTCTGGAAGGATATGTTTGAGCTACATACTCTATATATAGTATTGATTTAAACCTCGTTTTCGCCTTTAAAGTATATTAAACGCCAATTAATAATCTTTTAAAACGCAATATACGGATCAGTTCAGTTCAATATTTATAATGGGGAAATACAGTTCAGTCAACAAGAAAATGAGCATTTTTGTCTACCTCTGAATTTGTTATGAATTTGTTATTTTTTCAGGTTTATAACCGTAAGAATTATCTTAATACATCAATGAGAAAGTGTTCCTCGTAAATTGAGAAACACAACCCTTCTCTTCTATTTTAATAAAAGTCTACACTTTTAAAGGTCAGTCGAAGAATTAAGACACATGCAGCAACTAAGAGTGTTGTAAAAATTAATATTTTCTTTCACCATGGACGCCTATTATATACGCATTTTCAGTCGAAATTAAATACGAATTTCCGTAAAAATTGAATTCGACCTTATGCGCCTATAATCCTGCAGAAAACAAAATAGGGCCTAAACTATTTATAAGAACATTTCAGCGTTAAGATCTGTAGGTGTCTAGAGAGGATAGCTGTGCGACCTGCTGAACTCTGCTGGATTCAACCTGATTCGATGAGATGTGCATAAAATAATTTATTAAATTTATCTTTTGTTGTAGTGATATTAACGTTTCGTAATTAAACGACATAGAATTTGGTGAATATTACGGAAGATAAGCTTTGTTGAGATGACTTTTAGAAGAGATTACATGCACTATTCAGATTATTTTTAATAAGAAAGTGACTTCAAATCCTTTCCCAATGAATTAAGCGCCCTAGAGAGTTTGATCTATGAAATGAAATCTTGATTCATGAAAGCAAAAACTAACCTTCGGCTTAGCTCTAACAAGGAAATCAATCAAACGGCAACAATAGAACGATTCCGATAGATCACTGCTTCGATTCCCTCAGTATCTTTGCCTCAGTGCGCTGATTATGTTTGTAAGAGAGAAAAGCTAAGCCAGTGTTTTCATTCTTCTACAAATTTGCATGCAAAAGCTCTCTTTATTCTGTTCGTGCAAGTGATTCTCATCTTAAACGTAAACTATAAATGTCCTGGATTTCGGGGGAAAGCCGATAAGGAATAATCTCAGTTTAAAACCTGCAATAATTTTCTCAAAGCGTAGGGGAAAATAATGATGGGCAAATTTGAAGAAACAGGAATGGCAGAATATTATAGAAATAATAAAGTATATCTTGTATTAATGTCGGCGACATGAATTTGCTAACTTTCGATCGAAAATTAAATTAATAGACTTGCAATGAAATATCTTATTACCACGCATATTGTGAGAATACTGACTGAAACAGTAAAATACATGACTTACACGAAATTCATCGATGACTAGCGTCCTCTGTGATAAGCAAATCTAATCTACTTGAACATTGATTGCTCTTCAATAAAGTTGTTCCCCGACGTCTGCAATGGCTATGCCAAGCGCATGGATGAAGCGAATATTTGTAATTAAAATTTATAACGGTGACAATGCGCACAAAGGGCTTGTCCCATAATTTATAAGTGATTGCCACTCAAGAGAACAATTAGTATTGAAAATCTTTTCAATCATGTGGCAATCATGTCGAATCAATATTTAGCCTTGTATAGAAATCTATTTTCTGTGCATATATACGACTCTATGGCTCATTAATTCACAGCCTGAACGCGCTTTTCACTGTGCGCAATGCATCATGTCGAGGTTTAAAACACGTCACAGATTCACGATGCTCTGCTGCGCATGTCATTACAATCGGTCACTAATTCCCATACCACAATCATGATACAGAACTTGAGGTCAGATCTGCGTATGTATGATCTGTGTTTTTACGTCTGAAGGTGAGAATATGTCTCAGTCCTGAAATTGAAATCGTGTTTTTAACTTATTACAAGATCAAATAAATCAGATTATTATCGAATTAGTTGTATATAGTGGTGCGATCATTGCGTTCTAATGGGCGATTGGCGAACATAATGATATCATGCATGGATCCAGGACCCGTCACTAGCGCCATGATCGGGAGGGGGCGCATGCGCAACAGTCCTGTTGAAATCCTATGAATGTATCGTATGAATATTTTCAAGCTCCTAGTCAAAACTGGTATCACTAAAACCTAAAACGCCTCGAAAACAATTACAAAGTCTGTCTTGGGTAATCTCTGTCATCATTCCTCGTGTCAACCTACTGCAGAGCGTTTGGTTTAAGCATGGGACGTCAGTGTTGTTGAATGTTGACCAAAAGCACTCCAACTTATCTCAAGTATAAGTGTAATTATATACTTAGTTTCTGTCAAAAGTAGGACTAATATTGCCAATCACTGAGTCCAGAAATAGAGCGACTAGCAACACAGATGTTCAGATTCACACGCGGATTTGGTGGCGAAGGAAATCCAAAAAACATGCGTATAGAAGCTTCAAGAGAAATAAAATTTTTTGTTTCTTCAATATTAGATAGACCTTCTCCTGGCTAGGTTAAAATATAAACTTATTTGCGCGAAGTTCTGATGCAATCTACGCGTGACGACATCGGGTGAAATATGAATTGCAAAACAACCTTAGTGATGTCATCATGGCAGAAGAAATATGATTCAGCCGGAGCGTTATCAAACGGTATCAGATATATTAAAACTCTGATAATCCAATACATGAGTTGTATTAGTTTCGTATTAAAATGAAAAACAAAAAATTAATTTAAGGACGTGCAGAACGTCGCTTGTTCGCGTGTCAAAACTTGTGGTAAGGAATTGAAACACACAGGCTTTGAGACAGTCAAAATAACTGGTTTGCTAGGGTCAGATTTTAAAGACCATGAAACATCAGTAGATGTAGTCTTCCCTTCCCAGTTATATTCCTGATAGCTCTCTTTTATTTATACTTAAGATGTCGATAAGAGTTGCAGAAATAGAACTGCATTAATCATGTGACTTTTATGTTCCGTTGATCCTATGATTTATACGATATTGTGGTCACATAACAGTCTACATTACTTTCGTCCCATCTTTAACGAAGTTTGCTCATTTTGTCACGCCTATATAATTCCTTATACGATAAGTTTCGATTATAGCCTATCGATAATCATTGCGCCGTTTTGCAAATATAGATATCAACATAAAAAAATCAGATGTAGTAAAGTTTTGATGTGGCTTCAACATGTAAAATATTAAGAAATAGTAGGTTTTAGTTTTAAATACAAAACAATAGAGAATAGAAAAACTTTGGTTAATACAAGACAATGTAGTCAATCAATATGTAAGAATCCGTACGGAGCTGGTAAACTGCAACCTTAGGTCGCCGTTTTGAGACTTCTCATGAATATATTAGGCAAGTGATGAAACTATATTATATTATTTAGAAATGTATATATAGCTGCAGGGTATAGAGCTAGTGCACTCACATGTATTCATCACGGTAAATAATGGTGCACTTACCAATATGATGATATATCTCTCTGTATTTACATTATATTAAACCACGTTGAAACAAAATTGTACAGTACATGCTCAAGGAGACATCTTGCAGACTCGCAGTTTTAAAGATTAATTCTAATTGCAATTCCTCGACATTTTATTAGATCGGCTTGGTTTTGTGGTTGCCATATCTTTGCCAATGTCTGTCAATTCATGCCAAATATCTGCCGACATTACTTTTTTTCCTAAGCTGTTGCTTGCATACTTATAGGATTAGTTGCTGGCGGTGTTTTTAATGATTCATCTTCCAACACAACTCATTAAAGAGTCTAGCTATTTCTGTCTTCTATTTACATTTCTAACCATATACTGATATAGCTAGCGAAAAACAAGAATTTCTTTTTCGTATCATCGTTTTGATCGATAAGAATGATCTAGAAACAATAGATGTTTTCTTTTCAAACTGACAGATGCTGAAAGTTTATATCCTCTCATATATGATCATTGATTTGTGACTAAATTTCCCAAGATTTCAAGTGCATGCAGCAGCATTGTTATATCATAACACGAACAAGCTGCTTGTTGTGAAACTAGTTCCTATTTTCCTTAAAATATAACTTTTGAAAACAATGTTGAGTGGATTAATTTTTTCTAATTTTTTCTGTATCGGTGTCATATATTGACGCGGTGTTTTGAAACGAACCGCGCAGGGTTCCTATTATAGATAATTATAGTTTGATTATTAAACATCCAGGATAGATTAGACGATTATATATACAAAGCTCAACGTAAACTCTGAATGTTTGCCCGCGGGAAACTCCGTACTCAGTTCCACTCGTATCTGGCTCAATCTTACTGGAGTTTTTTTTATCCTCAGCACCTGCTGTGATTAAAGATATACTATTTTTCTTTTGCATAAAATAAGTTGATATTCACTCTGATTTCCTCATGCAAACAATCTTTGAGGCGATCTCAATGAGCCTTCAAACAGCTGAAGAGTTAAGGGCCTATCAGAATTATTGAATGATACAAAATATTCGCATCTTCGAATTTGATAGGGGCTGGACTTGGATAAGAAACGATATCAGATGAAAAGGTTAAAAATAAATTGCTTAGACTATCAAGGAAGATGTATCCATAAACTCCTACACCATTGTTATGATGAAAACAGAACAGAAAAATGATAATGATTTTAATATTCATATTGATTAAGGATAACCATTTAGGCAAATGGGCAGCCTGTATGTCAAGATTTCTTACGATTTTACTTCGTTTTCGACAGGATATAGCAAACCTTGTCCTGTGAAAAGCAGGTTATATCTCAGTCAATTATAGGAAATGGCGATAGGAAATGCATTTAGGATGAGTCGTATAATCTTCCAAGTCAAGTTTAGCTCTTGAGACATATAACTTTAACAATTTTTTGATCCCTCAGAGCATTTTATCCCTACAAGAATTCACGGCTCGTTATCTTGAGTGTGTACAATCAACTGGGTGTGCAGCAAACATTGATATCAAAAGCTCACGCGTGCAGTACCTGAAAATCCTTGTGTAGAATAACGCCAGAGGCATTGGCAATCATGTATTTACATTTATCTCTGCGTCCAACTTGCAATTTGTGACAGATCTCTTGCGTTAAATGTCAGTTGTAACTATTAAAAGCTTCTAATTTGATTCATTAATTCTAATTTCGTAGATGAATAGAACAACATTTGTTCATGCGCATGATATGGTAATTAGACGACGCTGCAATTAAATTAAACTTCTTTACCTCATCTATGCGCAGTATTTTTTAGGATTACAAAATATTTAAATTCATTTCGTATAAGAGGATTATAACCCTACGTAAGCAGAACACTGGTCTTTGTTTGAGAGGGTGTTGTATCAGTTGATAAGACACTCCACTCATCCCATATTTGTGATTTCGAATCGATCCGCAGTGTAAAAATATTTGAATGCTGTCAATTCTTGCAAGACGATAGTGGTTTCGAGAATTCGATTACATAGTTCGTTCTTATCACAGGATTTAGCTTAGAAAATCATCTTAAACTGACGGCGCGTTAAGAAAACTGACACGCTGAATTAACTAAACGAATAGCTTGGGCGTTGTGCTTCATATCGTATCCCAATTTATGCCCTCAAGATTTATTTTGTGGTTATGTCGTGTCCTATATATTCTTAGAGCTAAATTATCGTGCAAAAAAGATTCAGCCTAGCTTAAAAATTTTGGAACACTAGAAGAATGTATATCTAAGTGCAAGACTTACCTTAGATGAAATATTTCTCCGCACAGATTCAATGATAGCTGTTCGTCTCCGGCTGTTTGCAATTAAATGATGCCTAAATCCTCCCAAAGTCTTATATATATGATGATATGTCAAGATAAGTCGAGTACACCTTGTGTTGATTGAGTCAAAACATCCTGCCTCTATCTTGTTTTTCCTTTTAAAACTGGCATAATCGTCCCAATTGCAAAAAGTGGGCTGAAAATATGAAGAGAACTGATATATATATATATTATTTCTCGCCAGATTAGCCCTGTGGAGGTGATCAAGTTCACCAGCTGCAGGGACTTACTCAAGATTTTAAACAAGATTGCATGGCTTGCATGTCATTGAAAAATATAGAGAACGTTGGGTTAATGTTGTAGAATAATTGTGCAATTTATGTTAAAAATTCGTCAATAACTCAACAGTGTCGCGACAGACTTATATATGACATATATCTCATATCCGAGCCCTTATTTTTGTGTTAAAAACATTAAAAATTCATAGGATTTTTGGCGAATCCTGCCAGGCATTATATGTCACATGAAGTGGCTTTAGCCCTGATAAAATTCATCTTTCACGTATTATTAGTTAAAAAAAGAATATTTCTGAGCCGCTTTTGCAGACAGTTTTAATAATTCTGCTGTTGGTGTTCTTATCCCAAATACCACTCGTGTCTCAGCGCTGGTTTTTCCCTTGCGTTTTCACACTATTAACCAACATCAAAAACTCGCTCTGATGTCTCAGGTCATTTATTGAATAATACAGATATGTATATGAAATCCGTTAAAAGAAGATGGCAAGAAATATCTCATTCGACAAAGCTATTCCATTCCAAATACGATAGCACAGTTTCAGAAATGAATTTAACACCACGTTATATAGTGGCTTGCTCACTGGGGCCCCATACACGGTTATTATTCTAGGAACCTTTATATCATAATACAAAAGCATAGAGTAGGAATGAGAATGAAAATATGTGTGAGATTAGAATATACAGCGGTGACTAAAAGTCTAGAAATTTCAACACTGAAATTTCAATTCATAATGATTTGAATTTCTGGTTCAGGTCATTTAATATGCTTCACCTGCAACCGGATCAATGAAAGTATATCAAGAGACATTTACGGGGATATATTACCGCCATAATGACAATCCTATAATATTTAACGAAACAAGCGACGAGCCAAACTGGGAATTTATAAATTACAGTTTTCAAGCATGCTTGTTCTTCTAATTGGGTACTGATAATAACGCCTCAGATAATGACTCTATCACTGCACATCTAGATTTTTATCTTGTTTTGCAAAAGCCGCATAAATTCCATTTGTAAATATTACCTTTTTTGATGGCAGAGTATCCGGTGATCAGAATGGAGAAATGTGACTGTGAGAGAACGCAGATGCCTAGATTTGGTTGTTATGATGTTTCTTAGTGCGAGACGACTCGTTGTCAAAGGAAATGTTAGCTAATTATATTGCTACAATTTTGATTATTCGGATAATGTAATCTTATATTAGTGCTCAATATGACACCGCAGAAATTGGTGTTTAAGACGTTTCAACCCGAAAATCTAATCGCTGGTTCACAATTGTGCATTTCTGTATCGCCCTATCAAAGAGAAACCTTTTGAATATCTTAAAAAAGTTCAATTTTTTTTCTGAATACGCATTCTGCAATCTTTTGACAGCTCATCATACACATCTGACCGCTGTGAAATGGCCATTTTGAGGCTTAAAGTATACACAAAGTTATTAATTCAGACGATTCGTTTTTACCGTGAGCAAGCTTCAAATTTTTTGTGCAAGACATATTTTCTTGAATATTTATAAATCTTTTTCCTCACCAAGTTTGAAGTCTAAGTATCGAGAATTGCGGCTAAGCCTATACCAATTTCCGCGGTGTCGCTCAATATCCACCCATTCACGGTCATTCTTACGTAGACCAATGGCCAAGCTTGGGCCTTTAGGAACGAACGACAGCAGTTAATTCGGGACAAAATGAATAGGAAAGAAGTCGAAACATGAAACACCAGAGCCATGTAGTTCACAGCCAAATATTCACTACGCAGTGTCGAGACTAATCTAGTAGGTTTTCATTTCCCCCCCTAACACCTCGAGCGTTCTCCACCCCCTGAAAATGTTTATCATTGTATCAATTCTTTCGCCTGCTATGGTCGTTACTTCGTTCAAACTCTCTTTTCCAGATGTCTGACTGGTGCTAATGACGGTATAATTAGAAGAGAATCGTTTGTCTTGATAAGTGGCGCGCGTTTTTCTACCTATGTGTTTCCATCTGAGGTTGTTTCATCGTGTCATTATCTCCACAGAGAGCCTAATTAGCATATTGTCCGTTAGCGTACTCAGGCTTTTCTTAATAAAGGTTTGTGACCTTGAAATCCGCTTACAATCTCGCCAAGCTTTATTGATAAAGCTCTGCCTTAATATGATAATATAAGAGTTTTAATCCTCACAAACAATTCCCCACTTGTCGATGTTTTTGTTAAACGGCGCGATTAGTACGATTTGAAAAAACAAAACAGTTGGATCTAACAACCGAGCCGTTATCGTAGATATATTTGTTGCGACCATGGTATCTTTATTGTTCCAACGACGATCATGCCTGCAGCCTGCCTGAACATATCTTCCAACTGACTCAGCAATCTCTTCCAGAAAATTTCTTTAATTAGTACATATAGAAGTGCCTAAGATTACATCGCAGATCTGATCTAAATACGTTGACATACTATTTCTCATTTATTCAAAAGATGCTCGGATCTTGAGCAAGAACGAATATTCAAGAGGGTGACCCGTGTCCTTAAGAAACAATTTCCTTTCACAATTTTTCGCGAGATCACACCAATTAATGTTAACACAAAACCCGCGCCACCTTCATGACAGCCGACTGTATTTGACATCACATCGGTAATACTTTGTAAACAAATTCAAGCCGTGAAAATATCCAAACCAGCAAATACAGGCACGAAAATTGATTGAGCAAGCAAACAAGCACAGTCACACGTTATAACAAAGTGTCTTCTTTAAATAGAGGGAAATTTTCATGTGAACGGCATTCATTTTGCAGTTTAGTCACGAAAGTTAAGGTCACTGCTAGTGCTAGTGAATTCCCTCTATGAAGTATACTCCCAAACAGTTTTCATGATAATTTGAGACCTCCCAGATTCATAGCACTCTGGGGTCAGATATATAATAGTTCACAAAGATATATATAGTTGATAGTTCACCATCTAAGTTCATCCTGAAACTGTCTAATCACCTCTCCTTTGAACAGCCAAATATTTGATAGTTTCGAAAAACTTAAACTGAGTTAACAAAACGAGCATGACCAGAAAAAACGGAACTCGATGAAAATAATGATAGATTCAATTTTTCCGAAAAGGAAGCTTGAGGCTCAACAGTTATCAAAATGATCCGACATCTGATAATACCCAAGTCTCGTTATATGCGCCAGTTCAAAATGCGAGAATAGTTAAGATTTTTGTAATTCTGCAATTTCTAGTGGATTTCTAATCATAGACAGCCAGCATTGGTGAACAAACGAACACATGATAAAGTTCCTCTATTTATCACATGCGTAGAAACGAAGTCGCGGGATGTACGTACGTCGGGAATTACGATGTAGACACAAACGTTTATTTTTTAATCACGTAATTGCTTTTTTCGTTTAAGAAGTGGATCTTACTGAGCGGTATTCCTAAATCCTAAGCGAGCAGATATATTTTCTGGAGCGCCTTTTCGCACCGGAGCATTCATAGTTTTTGAAAGAGAACGTAAGCCGAAGACGGTGGAGCCATATGTATTATCTAACGTCATTTCGTTTTTTTTGTCTCTTTGGCTTCATTTTATTGAATGTCTCCTGGTTGCTCTCTGGTTATACAGTCCTCCTACTGTGAATTACATTACGCTTGTTTTATTGTTGAGTATCTAGAACACCAGAGGCCATACCATGTTTGCGCTGTTTGACACAGTCAGCATATTGCGAGGTCTTTTCCTGGCTATTTCAGCAATGTCAATACAACTAAATGAGTTATTCTGTAATCATTGTTTAGGCCAGATCAATGTAAATATGTAGATAGTGTTTTCTATATGATAATAATTAGGTGGCTTAAACAGTCTGTATGGAGATAATATAGCGATATTACGTTGCTGAACATTGATAGGCCCATGGCTTAGTCCGAAATATTGTTACACATGGATTTTTCAGCTTCCGGAGGATGTTTTAAGCAATCTAATGAAGGAAATAACGGACAAAGGCAATATACAAACATAATTACATTACCAAAATGCAATCATTTAGATACATTTTCTGTGTTAGACCGCAATACAACGCAGTGAGGTCTTCGCTGAAAATCGCTGCATTAACGATAACATTAAGATATGCTTTGCATGCACCTGGGCAACATACCTCTTTACCAAAACAAAACACTTTAACGCGCCACCAAAATTCTTTTTCTATCTTTAATGTCGAACTCCACTTCTGGAGGCTAGTGTTCCTTCTTTGGTAGTGCTAAACTATCTTCGTTAATGAGTCCTTAGAATAATTGATCAAAAAGGCGATTACTTTGCGATTAAGTTGCTCGGTCTCTGTTTAGTTTCATCGACAATGAGATATTATCACAGCCAGGGGTAAGGCGGTGTGGAAAAGTTATGCACAGCACGTTTTCAGTACCAGATCTATGCAGTATGCGGTTGTTCGTTGCAAAAAGAAGGTCTAAAGGTGCACTGGTGAACGTTTAAAATTCTTAACGCTTCGGAAATTTCTCCTTTTGCATTTAACCTCGTGCTGAAGTGAAGCAAAAATTCAAACACAAAACATTCCTATCAAATTACCTTAGCTTTCGTGTGGAGGCGTGAAAGTTATCTAAATTCACAAAGAAAGGAACATAACAAGAAACTGTCCCGCCTGTTAAAAGGCGATATTAACCACTCAGCAGTGGAGAAGGCTCGTTATTTTAATCCGTTTAAAATACCACAGTTGTTGTAATGGCTCGTGTTCCCTCGGCTGTGGCCTTTACCTTGCCAAGAAACACACACACGTTTTAAAACGCTCTTGTTTCTCAATATATTTGTTTTTGTAGCTTTTAAGTTTAATTCGCAACAGGAAACGAGAGTCTGAAACGTTCATATGAGCTTTGACAATTCCATTAATTTTTTTACAACGCTAAAATTTGCGGTATTTGGTTATTAGGATGATAATTTTCGTCAAATGCCTTAACACTATAAGTTTTATTTATGAGGTCATGTTATTATTTTTTTTTCTTTGTAACTACACAATAAGAGTTCCTTATTCAGTCAAACACCGCTGTTATTGTCTCTTTAACTTAAATTTTCGGCAACAGCTTGTTCTTTTTAATTTCGTGTCCAAACCAGAGAGTAAATGTGAGGAGAGCTAAGGAGCCTGATTGATGTAGCGCGGCCAGAGGAACTGGAACATAATATAGCAAGGTTGATATTCCGAGCAGCACCTGTAAATGAATTTAGAAAAATCAGACTTAAACATGGAAAGAACCAGATTCTGTAGTGAAATAATATTATTCATTCTGAATGGGCTAAATTGTGTTTATTGAAACACACCTGCACTCCAGCCATTGCAAGGGTACTGTTAACTGCAAGCCTAGCTCGACGTGGTAGATCCACAGGTCTAGCCAGTGCCCAGAGACCGACCACAGCAGACAGTGTTACCATACCCTGGAAATATAAATCGAGATGTTTCGAAAGCCTCGAAAACGGTCAAAATACTCTTCTGTACATAAGATAAGGACAACTTTACCAGAATACGATGATCGAATTGCACTGTTGTTGCGTTTTCAAAGAAGTTCTTAATCTTAGGTTTCATCACCATCAGATCGTCTGGAATCCAGCGATCAGCAAACTTTGGAAATGAATTATAAACCAAGCCTGCATCTAAACCTGCTACAAATGCGCCTAGGAACATAATAAATATTACATTTTAAATTACTAGCTCAATTCATTACTGGTAGTTTCAAATTAACACATAAAAACAGGTTCGTACCTGACAAAGCTGTAAGGAAAACAAGCGTAAGGGCGCCATGTGTGTATATGCGAAGACGTTTTAGATTCTTCGTGTTTGCAAGCTAAAATATCAAAGAGTTACATAATTTTAGAATGGTTTAATTTATTCTTTAGTTGTATCACTACAATAGTGAGGCTAACTTCTTGAAGAACGCTTCTAGCCCTCTACGGTTAAATTTCACCTAAGGCGCGCGTTATTGACGGGTTGGTTTTCATCTGATCCACTGACCTGCTGTGCTGGAACAAGATGAGTTAACGCCTGCCAGAACATCAATGAATAAAGTGCAAATGCTGATCCAAGATGGGCTGCCAGACGGTATTGACTAACACGGGGTATCTGAGTTTTGCTTATTTTCTCCTCATCCAAACCACTTTTCACCATATACCAGCCAAGTAGGCCCTGAGAAAGTATTGATTGCTCGCATTTTACCTCAAATCCTCGTACTTTCCTAACCAATTTTTAACAATTTCACAACTAGTACTTAGGGTTAGGTATGTGATCGAACGACAAACAAGCCCGCGCCAGTGAGAACGCTGATGATAACGAAATATGAAGACTGGTATAATTTATAAGATATTGTGCTAAGTTTTCAGGTTTATTTGAACCACAAACGATTCTCCACTCTTTTAAGTTAATTCGATCCTGTGATGTGGAAAACTACCTGGAATGCTAACAATCCTCCATAAATAAACAGCCTGGGCCGTAACGATTTTGAGACCCATCCCTTGTACGCAAAAAAAACAGCAGGTAGAAAGAAAACAGCGCCAATTGAACGACCCCACATTCTGTGTGCGTATTCCATGTAAAATATTCTCTTGAATTCTGATAATGTCATTCCTTCATTTAAACTAGCAACGTAAATGTGAATATATATTGGGATTTTATATTAGTAAAAAACTGAATTTTCTGATCAGTTGGCATGTGTAATAAGGGTCACCTAACAAGTGATCTTAGGGAGAAATCCTGGAGTTTTGTGTTCTTATAATCATCTGTATTATTGACCTACTATTTGTACTCAGGAAAGTTTTGATATTTCTTGAACTCTTCTTCCCATTCTTGCTGACTTCTTGGTGGCTTCATTCCTTTAATAAGATGCCAGTCAACCATGGAAAGACCAGATTCTGTCAACCTTGTCACACCACCCAACATGACAGCACCATATACCATACCACTGCATCCAAGCAACCAATAACCTTCAAACACAAATCTTTTGTTTAACCCAGTATAACCAATGCAAGCATACTTAGAGAAATTGCAAGCAACGTATGTCAGCTAGGAAATCGATCAACATAAACCTTGTACAAACCTATAATTTTTCTAGTTCGTTCATTTTGAATAGCGTCGGTTGTGTTTTGTGTTGTGTACCATTTGCGAAGTTGAGCAAGCTTGTTTCTAATTGGCTGATATTATATAAACAAGGAACAAGTTGCATAAAATATCATAGATTGGTGTATTAATAAATGAATATATTGAAATTCAAACCACAACAAGCATACCAATGTTTTCCTGGCAGCTTTTGAGATGAATGTGGTGAAACCGAAACATCTTTGACTGTTGACCTAACAGACAATTAGAAATTTGGATGAGCCCAGAGGGTGGGGCCCAGCATGATTGAGGTCTACCCTGGGATAGTTACACAAATGCATAGTCAAGGTGGGGGGTGCTTATGCACACTGATAAAATAAAATAACCATAGATCCAACATGCCCATTGCCACTGGGCGCGCATATAGTGTCAACTATATTCTGTTTCCCCACAGCAACATTACGTCACGTATTCACCCCAAGAATGACGTAATTGTATAGTCATAAAAACACACATGAAGCAAACCTGTCTGATGTAACATCTTTGCATTAGTAGCATAGTTCGCGTACGACAGCTGCTGAATATCATAATGTTTTAGGAAAAGAGCCCAAATAATGCAGGAAATCTGAGAAAGCTACGCTCTGAAACCTGATAACTGTCGAAATCGTCCTTCCGAAATTTGTTTACAACCACACTTCGTAGTCTTCGTTTGACAATTGACGCAGTACAGTGCAATCATATAGTTCAGTAACCTGTGATATATGATGACATAAGGGGACATATGGGGACGTATGGTGATATAAAGTGTTATATGGTGCCAACACACGTGCAATGAGAAGAAATGGAGGAAAGGTTTGAATTTAAGTTTTAGTGCAATTGAGTGTTGTACCGCTTAAAACCTTTAAAATTAACAATCGTGGATATATATATTTGCCGTACTGAGGAGATTTTCAATATTTTTACTCTGTTCTAATATTGCACTTTTAAAAAGTTGGAGAACAAATGGAGTGTGGAGCACAAATGGAGAACAATAATAGTGCAAGTGAAGAACAAGAGAATGAGAACAGTTTGAAAAGATCTATTGATGAGGTTGAGGATTGTGCAACAAACTCTAGTGAAAAAAAGATAGATGTAAAGTTAGAATCAGCAGCAGAGATAAGCGTCAGTTCTGTAGAACAAGCAAAGTGTCCCAGTGAAATGGAAATAAATGAAACTACAGAGAGTAAAGATGCTGAATCAAAAATAGAATGGGAGAGTGAGAAGAGTATAAAAAGATCTATTGATGAAGTTGAGGATTGTGCAACAAACCCTAGTGAAAAAAAAATGGATCTAAAGTTGGAATCAGCATACACTGCAGAGACAAGCGTCAGTTCTGTAGAACAAGTGAAGTGTCCCAGTGAAGTAATTGAGACTAGAGAGAGTAAAGATGCTGAATCAAAGATAGATTATAGAAGAAAAAGGAAATGTGTGCTACTATTGTCGTATTGTGGGAAGGGTTACAATGGCATGCAAAGGTGAGATGGTTTTAATCCTCATTGGCGTGCGGCAGCTGGGGCCTTGCATGGCAGGAATATAGAGGGAAAGAGATATATGAGACATCCACTTAATGTAGATAGGCTTGCCATCACATGGATTAAGCTGGATGAGTTAACTTGAGTCAACCACATAAGCATTGTCAACAAATTTGCTTTCATTAAGACCATACCATATCTTATAACCTTTATCAATCAAACCTTATCTTAAAACCCTTAACATTGCAGAAATCCTGGAGTAAGAACAATTGAGGAGGACCTAACCAATGCATTGCTTAAAGCCAGAGCAATTTCAGAGGATGCATCAAGAAATTATTCAATTGTGTGTAAATATGTACTTTAATTTGGTTAGCATTCAACACTGTTTCATGGCGTCTTTAATTAAAATGTTTGAAATATTATTAGATGTCGTTCCAAAGATGTGCAAGAACTGACAAAGGTGTTTCAGCAGCGCGTCAAGTTGTTTCTTTAAAGATAAGTATAAACTGTAAAATAATCTTTTTTCTTTGTATAAATATTGCAGTCACCCATAAAATCATTTGTTATAAAGAGTCCCATTGTGTTATCTTCTAATTAATATTTTCAGCACATGGTTCCCTACAAAGAGCTAATTCCTGAAATCAACAAACATTTGGAACCACAGATACGGGTATTTGGTAAGCTTGAATCAAACACATATAACCTCATTTTGTCCTTCGGTTTAATACTGTGTATTTATATATTTTTTTCTAGCTTTGAAACAAGTAACGCGTGGCTTCGATTGTAAAAGCAGATGTTCATCCAGGACATACAAGTACATTTTGCCGACATTTGCGTTTGCACCAAGTTATGCTGTAAGATTCATAAAACAACATGCTTTTTAAAACTTAATAAACATTTCTCCCAATCTTTTATAGACTGATTGTAATCTATTATCCTTGTTTTTTAGCATACAACAAAGTATTTTAGGATGACAGGTACAGTAATGTATATATAAATGTCCCTTTCTGCTATTATATATTTTCCTTAGAAATCATTTAGATTTTTTTTCCATGAAAGATGAGATCCTAGAGGAACTGAATTTGGTACTGAAGACTTATGAAGGCACAAAAAACTTTCATAACTTTACATCAGGAAAGTAAGTTATCAGCAAAAATGACACAGTTTAGGCATGTCACAGTTTTTTAAATCTAAGTGTTTATCTTGTAGGGATTTCAAGGAGGAAAGTGCCAAAAGATACATAATTCAGTTCAATGTGGTAAGCAACATTTATTTCTTGATTTTATAAAGTACACATTTCTGCACAAATATTTGTCAAATGCTTCAGCCTAGCAGTGGTTAAATAATTGTTCAATTTGATTTGATATTTGTTTCAGGATGGTACACCATTAGTGGAAGGTGACATGGAGTTTTTAGTCCTTAAAGTTCAAGGACAAAGCTTCATGCAACACCAAATTAGGAAAATGATAGGTTTGTAATAAAGAAGTATTTTGATAAAGCTAGGGGAGTATATATATATTTTTACAAGAAAAATACAGTCCTCACATGGTTACCATTTCCAATCAATTGTGTTAACTTAGGTTTGGTTATTGCGATAATGAAGAAATTCACTGACGTGGGTGCTTTACAAAGGGCATTCCTGCAGCCAAAGGTAATTTTTAACAACATTTGATTTCCTCTTGAAACATACCTAACTTACACTAGGAATTAATGATACAGTTTTTTTACAGATGGACGTTCCAAGAGCTCCTGGCCTTGGGCTTATTTTAGATCAGGTATGTATATCATTCTTCAGATACTAAATTCTATTCCTAAATACAACATGGTCAATATTTCATAATTACGTTCTCCAGGTTTATTTCAACAGTTACAATGAAAGGTTTGGACATGATGGTCTTCATGAACCATTAGAATGGAGTGAGTGTGAGGTATATATTGTTATATTATGTGTCTTGCTTCTTTTATATTGGATCTCATAGTTTCTCCTTTTGCAGGACAAAATTGAGGAATTCCGAAAGAAGTATATTTATAATGATATTATAAAGACAGAAACAGCCACTAATTCGTATCCTTGTTTTACGTTTTCAATATTTCATAGGAAAAAATATTTTGTGTGTTAACTTTTTCTTTTTTGACCTTAATTGTTCTAAATCAGAATGATGAAATGGTTAGGCACACTGAAGCTTCATACATTCAACAGCGACAGAATGACGGAACTGACAAAATCAGAAGAAAACAAAACAGCAGAGACAGTGAAAACTTAAGCTTTAGAAGACAGTTGTTAAAACAACGTTGGGTGGTAATTCAGCTATTGAACCATGTAGAAGACATTTGACATAAAGATATTTGTACTGATTATCTGTATCATATACACAGTATATACCACACAAAAGTGATTTCTTTTCATTTAAAAGTTTCCAAATGAAATAAATAACTATAGTCTTCCGCCACCAGAACTGATGGAGCCCTGAGTGGTTAAGCTGATGGCCTATAATGTGGAAAGCAACCTTTTGATTTTCTAACCCGATTATTATTTCATTTATTATTCTTTAGAATTGAAGGTGAAAAAAAAAATTACATCGCTTCGCTATCAGCTTTGCTGGCCGAGTTGTAAAGGTTTGTCAAATTCTTATTTAATTTCAAAGATAAGCCTTACCATTTTGGTCAATTTTGACGACTTTTTGAACTGTTCAAAAACTGTCTTAAAATGCTAAAAATATCTTTCTAAGACTAATATCTTTCATTTTAGAGCATATTTGGTTGGTTTTTGGAACATTGAAAAAGTCGTCAATTTTGACCAAAATGGTAAGGCTTACCCCTTACCATTTTGGTCAATTTTGACGACTTTTTCAACTGTTCAAAAACTGTCTTAAAATGCTAAAAATATCTTTCTAAGACTAATATCTTTCATTTTAGAGCATATTTAGTTGGTTTTTGGAACATTGAAAAAGTCGTCAATTTTGACCAAAATGATAAGGCTTACCCCTTACCATTTTGGTCAATTTTGACGACGTTTTGAACTGTTCAAAAACTGTCTTAAAATGCTAAAAATGACTTCCCAAGATTAATATCTTTCATTTTAGAGCATATTTGGTTGGTTTTTGGAACATTGAAAAAGTCGTCAATTTTGACCAAAATGGTAAGGCTTAAGGCTTACCCCTTACCATTTTGGTCAATTTTGACGACTTTTTGAACTGTTCAAAAACGGTCTTTAAATGCTAAAAATGACTTCCTAAGACTAATATCTTTCATTTTAAAGCATATTTGGTTGGTTTTTCGAACATTGAAAAATTCGTCAATTTTGACCAAAATGGTAAGGCTTACCCCTTACCATTTTGGTCAACTTTGACGACTTTTTCAACGGTTCAAAAACTGTCTTAAAATGCCAGAAATGAATTCCTAAGACTAATATCTTTCATTTTAGAGCATATTTGGTTGGTTTTTGGAACATTGAAAAACTCGTCAATTTTGATCAAAATGATAAGGCTTACCCCTTACCATTTTGGTCAATTTTGACGACTTTTTCAACTGTTCAAAAACTGTCTTAAAATGCTAAAAATGACTTCTAAGACTAATATCTTTCATTTTAGAGCATATTTAGTTGGTTTTTGGAACATTGAAAAAGTCGTCAATTTTGACCAAAATGATAAGGCTTACCCCTTACCATTTTGGTCAATTTTGACGACGTTTTGAACTGTTCAAAAACTGTCTTAAAATGCTAAAAATGACTTCCCAAGACTAATATCTTTCATTTTAGAGCATATTTGGTTGGTTTTTGGAACATTGAAAAAGTCGTCAATTTTGACCAAAATGGTAAGGCTTAAGGCTTACCCCTTACCATTTTGGTCAATTTTGACGACTTTTTGAACTGTTCAAAAACGGTCTTAAAATGCTAAAAATGACTTCCTAAGACTAATATCTTTCATTTTAGAGCATATTTGGTTGGTTTTTCGAACATTGAAAAATTCGTCAATTTTGACCAAAATGGTAAGGCTTACCCTTTACCATTTTGGTCAATTTGACGACTTTTTCAACGTTCAAAAACTGTCTTAAAATGCTAAAAATGACTTCCTAAGACTAATATCTTTCATTTTAGAGCATATTTCGTTGGTTTTTGGAACATTGAAAAACTCGTCAATTTTGACCAAAATGATAAGGCTTACCCCTTACCATTTTGGTCAATTTTGACGACGTTTTGAACTGTTCAAAAACTGTCTTAAAATGCTGAAAATGACTTCCCAAGACTAATATCTTTCATTTTAGAGCATATTTGGTTGGTTTTTGGAACATTGAAAAAGTCGTCAATTTTGACCAAAATAAGGCTTACCCCTTACCATTTTGGTCAATTTTGACGACTTTTGAACTGTTCAAAAACTGTCTTAAAATGCTAAAATGACTTCCCAAGACTAATATCTTTCATTTTAGAGCATATTTGGTTGGTTTTTGGAACATTGAAAAAGTCGTCAATTTTGACCAAAATGGTAAGGCTTACCCCTTACCATTTTGGTCAATTTTGACGACTTTTTGAACTGTTCAAAAACGGTCTTAAAATGCTAAAATGACTTCCTAAGACTAATATCTTTCATTTTAGAGCATATTTGGTTGGTTTTGGAACATTGAAAAAGTCGTCAATTTTGACCAAAATGGTAAGGCTTACCCCTTACCATTTTGGTCAATTTTGACGACTTTTTCCAACTGTTCAAAAACGGTCTTAAAATGCTAAAAATATCTTTCTAAGACTAATATCTTTCATTTTAGAGCATATTTGGTTGGTTTTTGGAACATTGAAAAAATCGTCAAAATTGACCAAAATGGTAAGGCTTACCCCTTACCATTTTGGTCAATTTTGACGACTTTTTGAACTGTTCAAAAACGGTCTTAAAATGCTAAAAATGACTTCCTAAGACTAATATCTTTCATTTTAGAGCATATTTGGTTGGTTTTTGGAACGTTGAAAGGGTCGTCAATTTTGCCTTCAAGTATTAAAATGTATTATTTTATGACAAGTATCAAAACACTATGCGGTGGCCTAGTGGTTAAGGCTACCGCCCCACGGGGTTGTGAGCGTAGGTTCGAATCCTGCAAGGAAAAGTGCAATTTTTCCCACTTGAATTGCTATTTAATTTAAAATTCTGCAAATAGGATTAAGTAAATAAAGAACAAGGGCATTTGATAAGTGATGCTGTGGCCCAGTTGTTAAGGCTACGGACTACCAGGTTGTAAACCTAGGTTCGAATCCTGCATGGGAAAGGTTCGATTTTTCCCATCGAAGTTATTCTTTAATTTAAACTTTATCGAAAAGGATTAGGTTAAATAAAGAACAATAGCTTTCGACAAATGATGCGGTGGTCTAATGGTTCAGACGTTCGTCTCTCAATCCGAGGACTAACGTTTCAACTCCTGGCAATGCAACAAAATTAGCCTGAAAAATTTCGATGTGATTTGGAATGTTTAAAACAGTTAAAAGACTTCTCGGTCTTTGCAAAAGACCGTAAATTGAAAAAAATTTGAAATATAAAAACCAAAAAAAATTTATCGCCTTCAAAAGTACCTGAAAATTGAAAGAAAAGCACAAGTAAAAAAGGTTTTAAAAACACGTGTCTTCTAAAAAGCCTGAAAATGAAGAAAATCAGACGGAAAAAAAATTAACAATTTCCCGCTTTTAAAAAACTCATGTTTACTTAACTTAATTTTTTTTCACGAAAATTTGACAGGGTGATTTTCTCGAGCGTGAAAAAATTTAATTTTTTTCACTTTTTTGAAATTCTCTTAGATTTTTTTTTTACGAAGATGCATTTTGTCTTGGGCTACCTGTGTCTGTCTTGGGCTACTGTGTCTGGCTTGACACGGTAGCCCAAGACATAATACTTCTTCTTAAAAAAAAAATCTCGGAGAATTTGAAAAAAGTGAAAAAACCTCTTTGAAGAAGAAGTATTATGTCTTGGGCTACCTGTGTCAAGCCAGACACAGGTAGCCCAAGACAGACACAGGTAGCCCAAGACAAAATGCATCTTCGTAAAAAAAAATCTAAGAGAATTTCAAAAAAGTGAAAAAAATTAAATTTTTTCACGCTCGAGAAAATCACCCTGTCAAATTTTCGTGAAAAAAAATTAAGTTAAGTAAACATGAGTTTTTTAAAAGCGGGAAATTGTTAATTTTTTTCCGTCTGATTTTCTTCATTTTCAGGCTTTTTAGAAGACACGTGTTTTTAAAACCTTTTTTACTTGTGCTTTTCTTTCAATTTTCAGGTACTTTTGAAGGCGATAAATTTTTTTTGGTTTTTATATTTCAAATTTTTTTCAATTTACGGTCTTTTGCAAAGACCGAGAAGTCTTTTAACTGTTTTAAACATTCCAAATCACACCGAAATTTTTCAGGCTAATTTTGTTGCATTGCCAGGAGTTGAAACGTTAGTCCTCGGATTGAGAGATGAACGTCTGAACCATTAGACCACCGCATCATTTGTCGAAAGCTATTGTTCTTTATTTGACCTAATCCTTTTCGATAAAGTTTAAATTAAAGAATAACTTCGATGGGAAAAATCGAACCTTTCCCATGCAGGATTCGAACCTAGGTTTACAACCTGGTAGTCCGTAGCCTTAACCACTGGGCCACAGTATCACTTATCAAATGCCCTTGTTCTTTATTTACTTAATCCTATTTGCATAGCAATTCAAGTGGGAAAAATTGCACTTTTCCTTGCAGGATTCGAACCTACGCTCACAACCTGGTGGGGCGGTAACCTTAACCACTATGCCACCGCATAGTGTTTTGATACTTGTCATAAAATAATACATTTTAATACTTGAAGGCAAAATTGACGACCTTTTAAACGTTCCAAAAACCAACGAAATATGCTCTAAAATGAAAGATATTAGTCTTAGGAACTCATTTTTAGCATTTTAAGACAGTTTTTGAACAGTTGAAAAAGTCGTCAAAATTGACCAAAATGGTAAGGGGTAAGCCTTACCATTTAGGTCAAAATTGACGACTTTTTCAATGTTCCAAAAACCAACCAAATATGCTCTGAAATAAAAGATATTATTCTTAGAAAGATATTTTTAGCATTTTAAGACAGTTTTTGAACAGTTGAAAAAGTCGTCAAAATTGACCAAAATGGTAAGGGGTAAGCCTTACCATTTTGGTCAATTTTGACGATTTCTTCAATGTTCCAAAAACCAACCAAATATGCTCTAAAATGAAAGATATTAGTCTTAGAAAGATATTTTAGCATTTTAAGACAGTTTTTGAACAGTTGGAAAAAGTCGTCAAAATTGACCAAAATGAAGGGGTAAGCCTTACCATTTTGGTCAATTTAACGATTTTTCAATGTTCCAAAAACCAACCAAATATGCTCTAAAATGAAAGATATTAGTCTTAGAAAGATATTTTAGCATTTTAAGACAGTTTTTGAACAGTTGGAAAAAGTCGTCAAAATTGACCAAAATGATAAGGGGTAAGCCTTACCATTTTGGTCAATCTTAACTATTTTTCAATGTTCCAAAAACCAACGAAATATGCTCTAAAATGAAAGATATTAGTCTTAGGAAGTCATTTTTAGCATTTTAAGACCGTTTTTGAACAGTTGAAAAAGTCGTCAAAATTGACCAAAATGGTAAGGGGTAAGCCTTACCATTTAGGTCAAAAT